AATTTTGTGGATTAAATTTATTATTAAATTTTCACTGGTCAGAACACAACATATTCACATTGGTCCACGTAAATATTTTAAATGAATTAAAATTTGTATTGAAAATAAATTAAAACGTTAACTTTTATATTTAACACAATTACGTTTGAAAAATAAACGACAGCACCAGATTTAGTCGTGCGTTTTTCCATAAATCGAGAGGTTGAAATGAAAAACCGCCAAAGGATAGCCGTTTCGAAACCGTACCACACACATCGAGAAAGGGAAAAAGCCTGGCATCGCTTTATAATCAATCGATGTGCCAGCGACATTAACGGAATTAAATTGAAATCCAGAGTTTTCAATCCCCAATCTATCGCGCCCCCTTTTTATTTCCGTTGTTATCCGCTTTCCACGTTTGGCACGTCGTTTTTATTGCTACCTGTGCACCTCGTATCGGTGTACAAAAGAAACGTCAACTGCTGAAAAGAGGGATTTCGAGCGGCGTCCGATTTTGCTCGATTGAAAATTTCAAACTGGAATTGAAATTTGAGATATTCTATTATAAATACGAACAAAAAATTGAAACATAAAAAAACTTTCTAACAGAAAGTATTTTTATAAATATTTTCCCCAAAATCAAAAATAATACGACAATTCGAATAAAACTTTAAATACGTAAAATAAAGTCAGATAGAAAACAGTTCAAAAGCAATTTAAATGCATTATGAATTACGGGAAGCAAACCATTCCACTGCGTAATCGATTGAACAGTAAACGACTTGTGAATGATTTCTGTGTTGAGAATCGGAAACATAAGCAAGGTAGCTCGACCCAAAGTCGAGTCACTTGACAAATACGCTGAAGCGAGTCTGCTTTGAACCTTGAATAAAATAATATATACACTGAAAATCTACGGCTCTGACATGTTAACATCTGTGAATGATTGCGGTACAGCGTAATGTGTTGAATTCTCCCCAAATCAAATATGAAACGTACGGTATATAACGTTTTGTAGTTTCTGTATTTCTCTCTAGATGGATAACGAGATACGGTATACGTACTATATGTAGCGAAATTATTAATAACGATTATGATGTGACGAAATTTTATCAAAGTGTAAACTTTTTTGTAAACAACTTGAGTTTAAGGCTTCCATAATATTCCGATTATATGATCATCTCGAGAGTTTAGGTGAAAAATTTGTGTTAACTTTAATCATCTCATTTAAAGTAAAGAATCTTTGAAAGGTCATTATTAAGGTGTCAGTTAATTTGGGAAAACATATTATAGCAGAGCTGAAAAATCAAATAAATAAAAAATTTTATAAATTTTAATTGTCTCCGAATAGCTTCCTAATGGAATAGTTACAATTTATACCCAATTTGTACCCCATTACGTTCCAATGTACTTCGCGCTGCTTTTATCATCTTCAAATTGGTTCTTAACTACTCTTAATAACACATATTGCCTCCGAATGACTGCGAATTGTTTCCAAATTCTTCCCTATGGCTTCCTGTACTTTCCAAGTGTTTCAGATTTAACCAAATGCATCTCAATTGATCACAAAATGGCTTTCTAAGAACTCAACCTTAAGTCGGAAAGTTTTAATTGCCTGCAATTGCTTTCAATTCTTTGCCAACGGCTTCATTCAGTTTCCAAATGTCACCGAATAGGTATCCATTGGCTTTAAATAATTTTCACAACAAATATTTTTCATTAAATAAAAAACCTGTATGTAATTCACAGAAACTTACGGGTCTCATGTTTTATTTTACAAATTTTAATTGTCTCCGAATAGCTTCCTAATACCCTTTGTAACACTTATTATTTATACCCAATTTGTACTCAATCACGTTCCAATGTCAAATTGGTTCCCAATTACTCTTAATAACACATATTGCCTCCGAATAACTGCGAATTGCTTCCAATTTCTTCCCAATGGCTTCCTTTACTTTCCAATTGTTTCAAATTTAAGCAAATACATCTCAATTGATTACAAAATAGGTTTCAAAGAATTCAACCGTATGTTGAAGAGTTTTAATTGCCTGTAACTGCTTTCAATTGTTTACTAAAGGCTTCATTTAGTTTCCGATTGCCACCGAATAGCTTCCATTGGCCTTAAATAGCCTTTGTAATAGCTACAAATTACATCGAATGTTTTAAAATAATTCCCAATGATTAATTGAACTAATTAATTGAGATTCAGGGTAATAACGATAACTAATTGAGCTTTGATAATAACAACGGTTGGCTTTGATCCGCTAGTAACTTAATTATTATAACAAATAAATCCTAAAAGTGACTGTCTCTTTCTGTTATCCTTAGCATATTCTCAAATAACGAAGAGCCTATTAGAATTAGAGTCTCTGATGAAATCTCATTTACCTACTTTAGCGTCATCGATTAGTTTCACTGATTCATTTTTCAGAACATAAACTGAAACCATTCACAGGTAGACTTGGACATCTTTAGACCCAAATAACTATTATGATTTCTCCGTACCGGAACAAATGACTCCGGATTATAAAGGAAGTCAACAGGTAAAAATTCAAAGTCATGAAGTCGAATGTCAATGTCGGCAAAATCTAACTAAAGATTGACCTTAATTTTACCAAATTGTTCCTTGTGTTGTGCTTCCCCAGCTTTTCATCGTTAATTTCGTGACGTTAGCATATGATAGTATCGCGTGTTAAACTGTTTAAATTTCTGCCCCTTCCTTTTCAAGTTCCTTCAAGAAGGAGGGTGTATAGAGCTGTTGATAAGCTCGTGTAGTTCCTGGTAGAGAGATATTCTCAGCGCAAATTTTTGCGACTTCAAAGCAATCCATTCGGGGGCTGTGGATAAACGATGCTATGTTTCAGAAACATATGTGTGACCGATTACTTTGGCCATTGATTCTACCAGATAGTGGTTGACGGGCTTGCAGGCCAATTCATAGTAGTTCGTTTGAGGATCTGCCGAGAAAAGATAACTGCAAAACTCGAGTCTAGTTGTATGCCGCATTATCCCACCTGTATGATAACATCACTCGCTGTGTTTATCTCTAGTTACAACGAGCATGTGCTTACAACCTTGCGTGGTGACCGAAATGTGTGGAAAAAGTCTGCACGCGAATAAATTCCGATGCGTGACACGACTGAATCATTTAAATTGTTTCTCTTTTAAAATTTTAAAAGTTTTTATCATTAACAACGTTAGCTTCTTAATTGTAACCAATCATACAAAAATGCTGGTGCCTTCTTGATCAATATGCGATACATCTTCTGAATTATCACAGTCACTTGCTATTACAAAATTATCATAAACTAAAATAGTGCTAATCAGCAGGATATTTAGTGTAAGGATTTAATCCTCTCCGTGATATAAGATCCTTTAACGATGTTATCAATTATTGCTACTTCGTTGACAAATTCGTCAACACAAATTTTCGACTCTAATTAATAAAAAAAGATCAAACATCAAAGAGCCTTTTAAAAATTTTCTGTTGAATTAAAGTCATTCAACTATTGTAATCGAATATATCGATAGGATTTAAAAGTGCACTTTAAACTAGATGCTGAAATGGAATTGAATAGTTTGTCAATACAACACATCTCAATCCAATCTATTTTTTATGGTAGGTAATGTTTGAAAAACACTTTTTGCTGTTTCATATCAATTTATGTTAGTTTTAATTTTATATAAAAAATTGATTGAATTGAGTTGGATCAACATACAATTTTCAAAAACCATTTAGTAATATAAAATATTTAATTCTAACTTCGGTAGAGATGAAGTACTTCTATTAGCTTTGGTTTTAAACCCTATACTAGATGCAATTACGTTTTACATTTTTTTTTGTAATAAATAAACAATTATATTTCGAAACGAATTTATTTTGCACTTTTTTGCTGCTTCGTTTTGGTTGTAAACGTTTCGTGAAAACACAGGTACTGCACTTTATGTTAAATTTTATAGAATCTTGTAATTTTCCGCGCACTACAGACCTTTTTAGTGCCTTTCATAAAACCGTACATACCTTAACAATGTCACAATGGCGCAGTGCCGAGCATAAAATTTGCATATTTAACGAACGTCTAATTTTATTCATCACGTGTATATTTTACCAAACCATCCTGCACTTGTGAAGTTTAATTATTTTATATTCACTTGTTTTTTATCTATAGCAATTATTCAATGTAATACAAACTCCACTTTTTAAATTAAAATGATTCTTTCAAAGCACCTTCATAAAGCTAGAATAGATTGTGAAATAATTAAACAAAAAAAGTGTTAATCCAAAATCAATCAATGAATGTTTTTTTGTTCTATTGAAAAAAGGCTAGCAATTAACCGCCGCAGTCATTTTATTTGCTACCGTCAATAACAGAACCATCAAATTTACCGGAACAATTCGGAAGCCATCGTAATTTATTTACGAGGGGGTAATTTTCGCCAAATCGGAAAATTCGGCGATTCGTTCACGGAGGTTATTGAATCCAGAAATAAATTTCTATTGTGGCCCAAAACTGGCTGGCTGCCGTTTTTCCGCCTTATCATACGATGGTGATTTATAATTCTTCGGGGCTACTTGGGTGCTGCCGCCGCAAACAAAAATATACCGACAAAATCGAAGGATATTTACCGAAGCCACGCGATTTATTTAAAGCCGGTGCCAACTTCCGAACGCAATAAATCCCACGTTATCGATTCGTAATTGAGTTTGCCCGAAAGTTTCCTCAACAGCAGTTGTTTGCCTAAAATATGGAAGTGCTTTTTCGAAAAATAATATTAAAAAATACTAGAAAGAACATCATTTTATATTAAAATCTATGCAATAAATTTGAGCTGAACTATAATAAGCTTAACGGAAACGACGAAATTGTAATTACAAATGTAACGTTTAATTTCTTGACATTTCATGATTTCATCGGTAACCACGATCGCTGATCCCGGCAGTAATGTTGTTTCCCGAATATTAAATTGACCTGCGGTATATGTTATTAGCAGCAACTTCTGACAATTATACCCTGTTCCAGTTCGATGTCGTCAAGCTTGAAATCCCTGGACCTAAGCTACAATGAACTGGACGCGGTACCGTTCCAGGCCCTGAAGGAGTTAAGAAACTTGCAGTGGATCAATTTGCACGGGTAAGTACGGCGGAGAATTGCCCTAATCAGGGAGGATGTTGTCGTTGTACCGTTAGGTAGTCGGAATGGATGCTAGGGACCCAAGCTCGTGTTGTCTCCTAGTTCGAGAATTATGCAAATTTCGATACTGGGCGGTAGAAGGGCTTCATCCGCCCCTCAACAAGAAAGATATTACACTGTCTACGGTAATTAATAAGTTTGAGTTTCACCTTAAATTTTATAAGTACAGTAAAATCTCGTTAGAACATATTTCGAATATAACGCACAAAATATACAAGAAGACGATCGAAAATACTCGATAATACGAGACGTATTGCCTTAAACATCACGAGATCTAAGATCGAGTGTTGTTTTTTAAGGCAGTACGTCGAGATTCCAGTATTTTAGTTAGAGTGATTAGATATTTTTATTTTGTTCGTATCTCATCCTATCATTTTTACGTCTAATTTCGTCCACTTATTGATTTCGTTCATTCTGTGGCATATTCTTATACCAGCAGCTGTTTGGGTACTTTTACCAGTCATTATTCACACTTACAAATAATCGTTTAGTTTTTATATTTTCACTTTGTTTCGACATTATCTTTTTCCATAATCTAACAGGACAATGATCGGGTTTTGCTTGGGGACCATTTTGCTTCTATCGTTCGTGTTGGAAAAATGGGATAGTGACTTATCTATTTCTTGTTCAAAATGATCCACAAGACGTGACGCAGCCTCACCTCCTCTCCAAACAAGTTCTATAGCTGCAATGTGGTAAAATTTACGTTGTAATCCCATAAACTTTCTGAATTTCTTCAAACGTTAACGCTGCGGCGCTGGATTTCCGTTTTGATGGAACAGCTTGAAGAATTTTGCGTTTTGCAGCTTTTGCGAGCACTGCATCACGAAAAACAATATCCTAGAAAGGTTGATGGTTCTGTTAAATTCTTTCGCTTAAAGAAAGTTTAACCTTCTTTAACCCATTCTTGCTGTAACGTTCCAAATAGATTTTACAATTTCTTCTTTGTAGTCGGTACCATCGTTTATTTGCATCTTTGAGAATTTCAGCAAGTTCTTCATTGGAGATTTTTTTCGTTTAGTTGGTATTTTCGAGATTTACAAAACTGTTGAAACTGCCTTGAAATGTACTGCTCCGATTTTATTGTATTTGCTGGTTTATTTCTTTTAATTAATTCATTGATATTTTTCGAGGAATTTGTATCAAAACAACTCATTTTGCAATGAAAACAACTTTATAAAACGCAAAAGTAGAAAAAGATGGTGTTTATTAATAAATTACATTGATTATTATGGAAACTTTCATGGATTTCTCAAAATTAATTAAATGTCATACGAGCGATAATACAAAGGTTTGTATTACTGCGATAATACCAAGGTTCATATTATCGTTTAGATTAAGATATCAAATTTTGTTGGTGTATACAGGGTGAGTCAATAGTGCGGGGACGGAAGATAGTGGCTTTACTGTTGAAAATAAAAAAAAGGTTTCCTTTCATCATATATTACCATGAAACCTGTATCGATTAAAATTATTTTCAGCTGTACAGGGCGTTTCACCGTTCCAGGACCGTACTCCACTTAATTGTTTTAAATGGAACCCTATGTATCTTTTTACATATGCTGATTAGCTGTTTTAAATGCTTCAACTGCATATCTTGTTTTCAAACTTTGAATGCAAGTGATAATTTTGTGATAATTTTTAAAAATTCAGGACCTTCTCTGCCTATCCACCTATCAGCAAATATTCTATTTAAATGTGTTGTAACAATCCTACTATAGTGAGGAGGCTTTTTTCTCCCTCACCCAAAGAATATAGAGGGAAGAGATAAGATAAGAATAAGATTTTAGAAACACGTTAGGAACAAACGCGAAGAGATCAAAACTTAATTGTTTAACATTTCGAATTGCTACGAAATTCTTTTCATACTACTTGTGAATAAATCAGGTTTATGCCGACATTTTTCAAACAGTCTAATTATCTCAAAAAGTATAGGTATTAGATACACCATATGCTTAACAAAAATGAAAGGTGATTATTAAGACTAAAATAACAAAGTTATGGTTCTCCAAACATTGCGTAAATTAATTGCTTCTGGTAAAGACCCTGTATAATAACATCCAATAGTAGTAGCGGTGTTGGAAATACCAAAGCTTTGTTTATCGATATGCCAAATTGCAATCTTGAATATTTAATAATAATGCTGATAACGAATTTTCAGTGATCACATAAATTTTCTTAGCAACCTTGCATTCAAAATTTGAAAACAAGATATGCAGTTGTAGCATTTAAGACAGCTAATCAGCTTATGTAAAAAGATACATGTTAACAAAAATAAAGAAACACCCTGTATAGCTGAAAATAATTTTAATCGATGCAACTTTGAGGGTAATATATGATGTCATAAAAACATTTTTTTAATTTTCAACAGTAAACCCACTATTTTCTGTCACTGCACGTTATATACAAGGTGAGTCAATCACCCTGTATATAAACTTTATTGTTATAAAATGTTGAAGTTATAAAATAAAATAAATTAAGTACAGAACACGTTTACGTTTTCTGAAGACGGCTAAACCTGAATGTTTCTAATGCAAGGTCTAGTGTTAGTCTAATGCTAGTATTAGTTCTTGTTTTAGTTGTTATTCAGCGTTGTTGTATATTTTTCATTGAACTAAAACCAGAACTAATGTTAAAATCTGAAGATAAAAAAATTATAATAAAAAATGTCTGCTAACCACCCCATTTCAACCCCTTGTGATTATAATAGAAAAATCAAATTAACACTGTCCAATTTCAGTGTCCATAGTTTCAACTTTTCAGCAGGTAAAGTCATTTTTGAATAATTTTGAAAAAATTGACCTGAAGGCAGCAACTTAACTTCAAAGAGCTCTAGCTCCCTTATAAAGCATTTTCGGATTAAGATCATTTAAGATCGATCTAAAATCAAGTCTAATATCTAGGGTTTCAGTTTGGCAGGTGAGTTCTCAGACAACTGTATATTTATACAGGGTGCCCATTATGTATGGAATATTTGAAACAATTTTTACATTTTTTTCAAAAATTTTCTGATATAAGGGTAGTAAAATTTTACATCATCGTAAAAAGAAAAATAGCTCTATCAAATGAGCCCAACGAAAGGGTACATTGCCATTTAAAAACTTAAAGTGTTATTCGTTGCTCGTTTGTTTTCTGAAATAAAAACAATCGAATGCTTTCTTGTTATGGCAAATAAAATATTAAACAACTTTTGTATAAAATGTTTTTTTATGAAGTTGATATTTACCAAGATATATATACTATATTCCATACATAATGAGCACCCTGTATAGATATAGGCGTATATTTTGATGTAAATATGTTACACAATAAATATACAGGGTGGTTCAGTTTTTAATCGGGAAACTTTACTAGGACGTAGTACTTGCCAAAATAACACAAGTTTTTTATATGTATAAACATAGGGTCGCAACACTTTTGTTTTTGAGCTATGAGCTGTCAAGGTTGAGCCAAAAATTTACATTTTATCATTTATTTCTTTGAAATTTTGTATGTATGTACTACTGGTTAATACCTCATTTTCAAGCATACCTTAAACTTCCCTAGCGCGCTCTAAGGGGATGAAATTCACAACCTCTTTGATTTTTTTATAACAACTTTTTAACGCCATGGAATATTGACATAATAAAATATGGGTTGTAAAGCTTATTCATTATTGGTACTTTTTTGTCTGTTTAGTTTTTTCCTTAAAAATAATAATTTTAGCGAAAAAAAATGAAATATGCTACATTGTACTGTAAAGCGCTGCTATTACCATCACTACAAATATGTAAGTATATGAGTAACGTTCTGAAACGGGTATTTTAAAATCGCGTGGAAGCGGTACCCTCCTCAAAAATACCGCTTTAAAATACCGTTCCTCAAATACCGTCCCATCACTAGTTATAACGGACACTGCCTTCCCTCTAAATCTGTTATATCGAGATTTTACTGTACTATATATTCAAGAAGATAGTAATAGATACCTACTTAAAATTTCTTGTCAAATAAAGATTATAAAATTTTAAATTAAAATAATAATTGGGGTTATAATTAAGAATCTGCAACTGAAGCGAATGAAAGATGAGTTAATTAAAAAAAAATGCAAAATGTGCGAAGTAAAATTTTTCATCATTGTTTGGCGATAATCGAACGGTTTGAGAGAGATTTTGGTTTTACCGCTCTTTCATTTCCGGCGCTTCTTTTGTTTACAGTTCGAATATTAATGGGACGCCGGGTATTCCTCCCGACGCCAATCTACCAATCCCTCCGGTACATATTGATTCCCTCCGGACAGCACGTTCGGGAAATATCGAGAATTCCATGTTTGTGGACGACGTGTAAATTAAATGTTTTTATACCCCCTCGGACCGGCCCTGTTTTTATTCGACCGGCGGCGGTGGCGTCGAATCGTTTCTGTATCGGAGGGTCGCACAACCTACGCATCTTTTCATGCGAAACGGTGGAGGATATTGGGAGGAAATTGCGATTGGGTCTGCCGGCGTCGTTGGTTTTTTTTGCGCCTTGTTTTTACTTCCCCGCTCACGCTAAATACAGTTGCAGATCGGGGGGAAATCTCGATTTTGTTTTTCCTTCGAATCGTATTCTGATTTCTTTCAGCATCAAAGATTTTATTTTGCAAAGAATTCAACTTCAATTAAATTAAAATCTTTTATTACCTTGAAACAATAACAAGAAAGAGATTTTCATTTTATTTTTTCTTTTTTGCATGCAGGAATAGGATACAATCAATAAGTGGCGACTGGTCTCATGTTCGTACAACGTTAATGAATTTATTTTTGGGGGAGAACGACATTACCGAAATCCCAAACGACGCGATTCTAACAAAAAGCCACCACGGATTACACCAATTCAAGTCACTAGTCTGGTTAAATCTGGACGGAAATAGAATATCAAAGATACACAAGAACTCCTTGCCTCCAACCCTTCAAACAGTCAGTCTGTCCCACAACTTAATCGAAGACTTCCCCGTAGAGATAATCCTGAACTTACCTCGTCTGCAGTGGTTATACTTAAGAGGGAATCACATAAGGAACTTTCCTGTTCGGTCGTTTCACCGAAAGTTGTGGCTGGAAAAAATCGATCTCGGCGAAAATTACTTGACCAGTTTACGGGAGGAACCGTTCAATAACTCAGTATTTATAAGAGACTTAAACTTAGCTTTTAACGAGATTAAAGTTATCGTAAATAAAAGTTTTAGCGGGTTGCAATGCGGGCGGATTATTTTGTCGCATAATAACATCGATGTAATCGAGGAGGATGGATTCGGGGGTATTGAAACAACTTTGGAGTTCTTAGATTTCGATCATAACGATTTAACTTCCATCCCGACCGCTCTGAGTCAACTGCAGTCATTGAAATATCTGTATTTATCTTCGAACCTATTAACTGAAATACCTGTAAAAGTTTTTGATGGATTCTGTGATAATTTAAGGGCGCTGAGTTTTAGTGGAAACCAATTAAGTAAAATACCGTCGGATGCGTTGCAAAATTGTACGAAAATATCACATTTTAACGCGGCTTATAATAAAATTTACGACTTAACAGAATACGATTTCGAAACCTGGGGGCAAAATATAAAAAACCTAATACTGGGTAATAATCGGATATCGTTGCTGAAGGATCGGATATTTGCTGAACTAAAAGAGCTGAAAGAGCTGAGTTTAAGTTTTAATCCGATCAGATATATCGACGATAACGCGTTCGAGGGCTTGGAGGGGCTAGAAAGCCTGGAACTGTCCTTCGGACTTGAGGTGGAAACGATATCGGAGCAAATATTCAAGCACGTTCCGAACCTGCAATGGCTGTCCGCAGATAATAACGATTTGCACGCCATATCGGAGTCCTTCCTCAGCTTTTTGCCGGAAGTAAGGTACCTTAACTTGGAATCGAACCGGTTGCGACAAGTTCCGGTTGGGATATTTTCAGTATCGACCCATGGGAAGCTTAGAGAGGTCCGGCTGTCGAACAACGTGATATCCAGGCTGAACGAGAAAACTTTCAACGGTTTGCAATCCCTGGAAACTGTCACATTCGCCAATAATAGGATAAGATTGGTGGAAAAGAACTCCTTTTACAACCTTCCGACCCTTGCTACGGTAATACTTTCAAACAACGAATTGGCTACCCTCGACAAACACGCTTTTGTTAATCTTCCAAAATTACACCTGGTCGATTTACACAACAATCACTTAACCGAATTCTCGTTTGATGTTTTTGTTAACGTAACCCATCCCATGCTATTAAATATTAGTTCCAATCGTATATCTTCCTGTAGCACAAGCAGACGAATATTAAGTATTGAAGTATTGGATTCGAGGCAAAACTATTTCTCACAAGTACCGTCCTGCGTTGACAGCATATCACTCCTTAAAAAACTACTTCTATCTGACAATGAAATCTCGATGTTGGAGCATAATAGCTTCATGCACCTGACTTCGCTTGAAGTGTTGGATCTCGAGCGAAATAACATTGTCAATATACATAGGAGAGCATTTTTCGGCTTACAAAATTTACAAATTCTCGACCTGTCCCATAATTCTATATCCCTTGTGCATATCAATCAGTTCTCTAATACTCCCAAACTCAGAATACTAGATATGAGCAATAATAATCTAAATTATTTACCAAAAGAGGTATTTACGGGCACTATTTTAGAGAAGCTCGATTTAAATAACAATTTTTTCTCCGTGGTTCCTACTTTGAGCTTAACGGAAGTGGGAATTACCTTAAGACATTTTTGTATAGGCTATAATAATATTGAACACGTAGATAGTACAACGTTCCCCGATATACCGTTTCAGTACCTGGATTTAAGTAGTAACAAGTTTACGATATTACCCGACAACGTGTTCACCAGTTTGGGGTTTCTGCAGAACCTGATTTTGAACTCTAACCAAATACGTGCCAATTTCAAAGAACTGTTCCACTACGCACAAAATCTAAAAAAACTTTCGTTAGCCAGTTCAGGGATTATTTCCACGCCAACGTTACCTTTACCAAACCTCATTTCATTAAATCTATCCTACAATAACATCGAAATCATTAATCGTAATACCGTACAAAAATTAGGAAAATTAAAATTGCTGGATCTGAGTCATAATTTCATCAGTCATATTCCTGCATACTTATGGATACATTTACCGCATTTAAAAACGTTGGATATATCATACAATCCAATAAAGGTAAAGTCTCCCTTTTTTAATAATGAACATTTTGATTTATATATTCACGATTTGTTACAGGAACTATTAGCGGACCACTTTCACGGATTGAGAAATCTACAACACTTGAACATTCAAGGCCTAAAATCCCTGCGGAAATATGAAAGCGCCTCAATTACTCAAATTCAGTATCTATCGACCTTATTAATTGAAACTTGGCCTATGGTGGAAAACTTCCAAACACAACTTTGCGAAACGTTCGCAAAACTCGAGCAATTACGTATCCTAAAATTGCTCGTACGGGATTCTGTACTAGACGATCAGCTACTCTGTGTGTCAAATAAGAAAATCCGACACCTGGAAATAACCGGGAGGCAGCTGAGGGTTATAGACAGAAAGGCGTTCGCCCAGTTTACGAAAAACCCGGATTTGGTACTAAGGATCAGCGGGACACAAGTGGAGGAACTACCGGCTGGACTGTTTGCCAACATGTACAAAGTTTCGTACTTACGAATAGACCTGAGAGATAACATGCTCTCCTACCTCAGTCCTGAAGTGTTCTACGGGAATTCGAGCACTTGGAAAAATGTAGGAACGACACTCATATCAGGTATAAAATAAAATATAAAATATTACGTAGTTAAAAAATATGTGCAATATACAGAGTATATCCGATAAATTGAGTTCAACAATTATAATATAATTTCCCGTTTCTAGATTTTTAATATTTTAACAATAGTATTTAGCTAATTAATATTAAATTTTGAATCAATTATCCCTTGAGTGGTGTAATTAATTTCAATGATTATGAAATTAAAATTTATTTCACTTTTTAAATTATATATACTAAATTTATTTAGTTTGCAAGTTTTTGTTATATTATTATTACAAAAATTTAATCGTAATTTTCGTGTTTCAAATTTGATGGCAAAAAACTTTGCCAACTTGTTAATTACAAACAATAAACATATGATAAGAAAATAAATTCTTAAATAATACATTATTTAATACAGTTTGCATTATTTGTTTTATTTGTCGTCATTATAGGGTAAAAGGAAATTGTAAGATATAAACAATGATTTTAAATAATGTAATACAGATACATTTTTCTCGTAATAAAACTCAGTAAAATACAGTTATGCCTTCATCAGATGAACGAGCTTTCATAAAATATATGGATTAATAATATGGATTTATAAAATGCAATGTACCTTTCATAACCATCCTTCCTTGCACGTATATTGTCAAAGATTGAGCTCAAGATTTTTCTCTATGTCTTAAAAGTCTCGTCCACAAAAATTTGTCCAGAACTTAATCTGTATAACTTGAACAGAGGCTCATCTTTACCTGCTCCTTTTTCTACTTATTGCTGTATTGTCATTAAAAAGTATTAATTTTACATAAATTTAATCTGAAAATATAACATTTAATTTAGAGTTTGAAAACATAATATTAATAAATATTCATCAATATACCAAATTAATAGGAGTTTGATGAACAATCAATTATAATAAATTATTACAGTTATTATGTACAATTATAACTAAACAGTTAAAATTACATTTTTATAATATATCTATACGCTAAAATTATTGGAGTTGAGGTAATTATTATTATTGTAGTGTACGGTTTTATATTAATAAGAAATAACTGCATATAAATTCTTCTTTTAATAAAATTAAAGACTACCGTTTACAATTAAAGTTCTTTGTAATTTTATTATTTAATTTTTTAATATTTATGAACAGAGTTTTCATTCTAATTTCCGTAACTTGTAATGTTAGGTGGCTTTCAGAATTGTCAATTGTCATTTAAGGAATGATAATGCTTTATAAAATGTTGTATAACCACAGCAAAATGGAGTTGATTCATTCAGAGATTTTCGTCTAAGAAACATTATAATTACAATGAGTTTTTTCTTCTTAACGAAAACTTATTTTAACGTCTATGCCATAATAGTGCCAGTTTCGTCTAAATGAAAGATTCTTGTGCAGTCAAGATTTTCCTCAGATGATCAAAGAAAACACCAAAATGATGTTTATAAAAAGATATTAGAACAACTGCAACCCTATGATTAATTCAAGCTAATACCTTGATGTTTGCATGACAACATTGGCTTCAAGTTCTTCAATTTTTTATTAGATCTAAAATTCGATACTTTTAAAAAAATCCGCTATTATTTATCACCCCACGGTTCAAATGATCGTTTGCTAATTCCTTACTTAACTGTTTTCAATTGCAGACCTTGCATATTTTTGCTGCATATATTTTCAGAATCGTTAAAAATATTACTAGGAGCAATCGAGAACCAGATTTGGTATTATTGCAAAAGATTTTTATAGCTCTCATCGTCATCTCTTCTACGGCTATGTTACGAATAAAAAAAGATCAATGTAATCTATCTATTTATATTTGTAAATATAGATAAAATTATTTACATTGAACATTTGGTAACAAAAATTGAATGTCAGGGATTCTCGGTCTAATCCCTTTCTTGCCTTTTCAATCTCCTTAACATTTGTTAAATTCAGGTTCAGTCTTTTTTCTCTGACATATGGAATGTCATATCTGTTTAATCTAAATTTTCTTTTATCAGTCTCCGTTTCAGTCTTCCTATTCTGCAGGTAGTTCTTATCATGCGTTATCTTCTCTTTCTTATCTCTCCTCTATTGCCACCTTTTCACAGTTTGCTTCTTCTTTAATCTTCTTTCTCTTCAGAAGAGACTAGTTCTGAAGATAGCATATGTCACAGTTTCCTCACAGTTTCAAGAACTAAAGTTTTCATAACGATCCAAATATCATTTTGTTTTTTTTCTGTATAATAGTGTTATGTTGGTATCTGTATTATTATTTGTATTTATTATATCTTGAATAGATGTTAGCATTTCTGGATTTACCTTCCAGAAACATTAAACAATTTTATATAAATACTACTAAAATTCTTAAAGTTATTAATAAATTGAAAAACAAAATCCTGTATTTTCTAATTAAGCAATATGAATGAAAGGTTTCAGTTAAATTATCATATTTTGGTGTGTAATAACTCCAGTTCAGATATTTCCATTACCGTAATGTCAGATATTAAATGGCTTCAAAGGCCTTCAAAACGTTTTCATTCCTTTTTATTAAAAAGCTTTAAAGCGTAATTTAATTAATTATGGCATACCTAGTCTGTATTAAATCCTGTCGGTGCTTTCAGATGTTTGTTATTTCATAATAATATCTCAATTCGTCCTTCAGACAAAACTTTTTTAAGATTCGGTTCTAAAACTTTTTTTAATTCAATGAAATGTGCATTGTTTTATTCCAAAATTCACAACAACGAAGTTTCTGAGAAATTAACAATTATTGACGCCATGCTAAATATTTATTAAATTTGCTTTAAAATGTTTGTTATCTCATGATATCTCAATTCCCACTTAAGATACGTTTTTTTTTAAGATTTTGGTTCTTAAACTTCTTCGATTAAATCAAATCTACAGAGTTTAGATACAAAATTCATAATAACCTAGTTTTTGAAAAATAAGAAATTATTTATGGTATATCGAATCGTTATTAAATTACCCTTAGAATGAAAATGATTCATATTTGTCATACCATATAACTACTTACACTTGCACCAAAAGATTTCTTTATTCATAATCGTTTTGACGAGATAACTTGTGCTGGCTAGAATTTAGTTAGAAAACAATTTTGATAGTTTACGTTCTATTCAAAATTTTTGCATATCGATTAAATTTTAGAGTACTTTAAAATATGAGTGTAGGTACTTGAAAACATTGTTTGCTGAAAATTGAATTTTTTAGGAGGTTTGGCGCTATCGGGAAATCCGTTCAAGTGTGGATGTCACTTGACGTGGCTCGGTTACTGGTTGCGACGATGGATGAGAGAAAGTCTGCAATCGCACAGCGCTCCCGTGGATGCAGCCGCAACAATGACCGAAGCTCTGCACGAGGCCACGTGCACAGACATAGATTCTGGGGTTCGAATCCCCATCGTCCAATTGCTACCGGAAGACATGAGTTGCCATGCGAGCGCCTTGAGCACGGCCCCCACTTCGACCGAAATATCTGTGATCTCTATTTTACTTTGTTACGTATTTTACCATGTAATATAGTGCGCGTCTTTGTTATTACTGTATTTTATTAAGAAATAAACGAAGAGTATACTTCCTTTATTAATAATATTTTAGATTTAACCATTTCTTATAACCCCAATTAAATTGATCATTTATCATACCTCCATAAAACTAAAAGCTTTTTAGTAAAAATAACAAGAAAATTACTATGTAAAAACATTTTATGACAGTAAATTATTTATTCATTAATACATATTTTAGTTTCAACTGATATAATCCAAAGGCAGTCTCATAATGGCACTAAAACAGTGCGTTGTTTTCATGCTAAAACTAACAGTTACAATAGCATTAAATGAATTATCTGCGATACAATTTACCGCAAACATTATTAAAGAAACGTTTGATATCAATTATTGCGTCCATTTAATAGATAACACTGGGAATATTTTTCTTGCAAAAGCTATCATATCGATTAATTTAATGGTAATTCTCACTACTAACTCTACGACATTTTTGTGTAAAGGATATGTTGTTTATACCAATAAACTTTGGCAATTAGAAGATATTATTGATGAAACAAATTTTGAGAAGCATCAGGCTATATTGATATTTTACGGAGGAAAATTAAATCAATTATCTCAAAACAAAATATCAAGAATGGGAAATGATATAATATTAGTTGAAAATTTTCCCGATACTTACAAAATAAGTGATGACATAACTGTATCATATATAAAAGATCCGTTCAAATTTGAGAATAGTTCTTTTAGGATTGCATTATTCCATTGCCCCCCATTTATATCTCTAAATGGCACCAAAATTGTAGAAGGAATAGATGTTGAAATTATCAAACATAGTACTCAAAATTGGCCTATTGAGTACATAATTTATAATTCAACAACAAGGTTATGGAGAAATATGGTAAATGATATAATGATCAACAAATCAGATATGCTAGTGTGTTGTCCGTGGTACGAAGGAAACGTTGCAGCTGATGTAACAAATGCTTACACATCGCAATGTTTAACTTTTGTTGTCCCCAAACCATATCTACTAAATTTAAACACTTTTGTATTTAAACCTTATCCATACAGCGTATGGCTTTCTTTAGCTCTTTTTATAATTGCAGTGGCTCTAATTTCATTAATCTTTAGAAGATACGTCTATAAATCAATTGAAAGTAAATCTATCTCCTACATCAATGCCTATTTTCTAGCAATATTGTCTTTGATAAGATTGATAACTTTAGGACCTCTTCCTAATTCTCTTAGATATAATAAATATTCAATACGAATTCTATTTTCTTTTTGGTGTCTTTATTGCATCATAATTACAACGGGTTACTCAGCCGGACTTAGTACTTGTATGACTTCACCCCCAAGTTCTCCACCTATCAACACCGTCAAAGATATGATAAAACAAAACATTCATTGGGGTGTGACTGGAACGGATCAAATAATAACTTATTTACTTCCAAGCGAAAACGGTATCATTCATCAACTAATAAATTTATATGAACCCAATATGGATTCCGATGAAAGAAACGAACGTCTAAAAACGTCGAGGGACGTCGGCGGTTTTATAAAAATCGTTCCAAATGGATACATTATGAACTTGGACACGTTAGACGAATTCGGACTGAAAGAGACGAAACTTATTAGCGACTGTGCGAAAACTTTCGAATGCGTCCTTCAGTTTCAAAAGAATAGCATTTACATGAAGTATTTCAATCGCAAGTTAGGTAATTTCGTTGAACACGGTCTCATTAAGAAATGGACTCAAATCCAACAAGAAAAGCAGTTAACGCTACTTAGAAAATTAAAATCTAGCGATGTAGTTGGTGTTCCTATAGGACTTAGACCGTCGAATATGAAGGATATTCAAGGAGCTTTTTATCTTTTAGGGTTTGGTTTACTCTTTAGTGTTGTAGTTTTTATTGGAGAAGTATTAAAAATGAAAATGACACCGATATAATTTTATTTATTATTAAAACAATACTGTAATAAAATAAATAAATAATAATGTACCAAGAATTCATAAATAATACATCACAAAACTGCATATATAAATGTATGGGTTTTTCTTGCAAATGTAGTGAATTAATGAATACACGATGGCTTGTTTGCCTCTTATTCGAATTATATTTAAATTATCTAGACTTTGGGGAAGAAATGGAGATATGGGAAAAATTTATTTATTTATGGTGCGATTAAGCTTTAGTATTATTGTTTATTATTGGTTAGGGCTTACTTATCACTTATACTCTAACATGAAAGGCAAGCTAAATCATCAATGTAATATTATAATCAAATGTAATATTTAATAACAATAATAATAATGATTTATTTATAGATGAAAAATCACATTAGTTTTATACGTTAATCGAAAAGAAACGAAAGCTCTCTTTGAAGATTTAGAAAACTTCGGATACCCCAAAAATGTAAAAAACGTCACAAGAATTTTGGATTTATTCTGTTTTTGCATAGATTGTTAGTACGGAATTGGATGCATGGCATTTTCTTTGTTGGGATATAGGGAATACAATAATTATTTGATGCAAGGTTTAATCAATAACAGATCATCAACGTGTGGATTTTCTTTTAAAGTTACTTACCCTTACGATATAAGTAAAGGGGCGTTGTTGTACATACATTTGTGTCTTGAAGTATCTGTAGCTATAATATTCGTTGGGCAACGACTGCATGATAATAAAGTAAGTTTCATTTACAAGTTATTTAATAATAAATAAGTAATTTCAGAGTATTCACATCGGTGAAACAGTTTATAGTTTAAAATGGTTTAACAGCTGTAAAAATATACGAAAAGATATTCAATTTATTATACTACGTTCTAATAAACCATTAACGTACAGTTGGAGATTTCTTCATAGAAATATTTCAAAAGGTCTTCATGAATTTTTGTTAAAGTAATTGTATGATTAATTTTATTGTAACTTACAGATAATGTCGGTTGCTAACAAATTCACCAGCTTCAAGACAAGCCTTAATAAATAATAAAATTACTACAGCACATTTAATTAACTAAATTTTGTATTTTAAACGTAATAAGTCACCTTCAACATATTCGTATTTATCATAATTATATTACACAGTTTTAATGAGCTTGTTATAATAAATACTTAATCTTCATGTTATCCTGTTATAAATATAATTGAACGTTAAAATCCAATTTAGTTTAATTCTGTGTTAGCGTTGTAAAGGCAAGTTAAACGTTTTGTAATGATATATTAACCTATATCCAAGTAATTTTCAAAATTGCAGGATTATAATATACCAAGGAATTAAGTATAGTCCAGTTGCAAATAGTTAATCTAGTTTACAATATTTTTTAGTTATCGTTCATCAGATTATCGATGTTGAGTAACCATTTAGTTTTAAACTATTAACAAAATTCTCTAAATAAATAAAGTTACAAAATTAACTGAAGTGAACTACATACTTTCAACTTCCTCGTATTTCTATATGACACTGGTAGACTAACAACATTTGCATCCATCGATAAATAATTGAATATAAAATTTAAAAAAGTTCATCCATTACCAATTTTAACCCAATAATTTTGCCAGCTTATTCACTAAATTATACTAAAATTTTATAATTTTGACTTACAGCTTGGCAAATTTATCTTGGCCGGCCAGTCATAACTCATATAAATTAATATTATTAATATTTACGGTTATGCAAGGTTGATTTTAAAAATTCATAAATCTGATTTGAAAAAGCCATTTTCAAAACATTAAATACTAAGTAAATTTCCTTTAAATAGCTTTTTATTTCATGATGATATCTGAATTAGTTTTTGAGATACAATCTTTTTATATCTGTTCTTAAAGTTTTGAATAATCAAACATGGTAAAGACATGACCTGATCTCTTAGACGCTGAGGATAGTCTTATTCTTCACATCATACTTTACTGACTATCTTTCGATGTTATGCAATACAAGTGCACAGTGTTGAAGTTACTGCACAAATAGATACCATTCAGCGCATCCCACATCTTTGGAAACGTATTATAAATGTTTAAGTCCATTCTATGGTGAGGACCATGTAGATAAAGCAGGCGAAATAGATACGACATATCCACATCTACCTGGTGAACGAACGGTTTGGTTCGGTGTCAAACTTTCCGAACGTTGAGCATAATTTGAACTTTCAAGCATAATTTGAATGAAACTCTAAAGTTTTAAAAACCTTTACATTGAACGCACAGGTTGCATCTTAGCTTATTTTGCAAAAACTGCTCATGTTTTGTCTAAAGCAATAATATTTTGTTGATGATTTTTGTTCGTAATGATTTTTCAGACATCTGATAACTACTTTCTGCCCCCATATCTGATGTTTAATGATAATCATCTAGAAAATCAAGTGTCTTACGATCCAATCAGCGCAGAATTTAATAATAACTTTAATACTTCATTTGCCTATCCAAGGAAAGACATATGCAGTACCTGCAATGCTTTTAGGGTTCAAAAGGCTTCTATTACAGGAGGAGTAAACAGTGTCAGCAGTTTTGTTGAAAAAAAGTAAAGAAAATAAAAATTTGCCCAAACTCGAAGTTGACCATAACTTTCATTCAAAGAAAGAAGAAAAATTTTATTCCTTGAAGAGGTTCGTTAGAAAAAATCTCTCAAGTCAAACACAATAGAGGCTATTGTAATGGACTTTCAAAAAAATTGCTCACATCCAATATCACTACGAACGATGTTTATTACCGGAGGCAGTTAAACTTCTGAAAATTATTCGGTATTTCGCTATCTCTATAAGATTGCAGTATTATACAATCTTATAAGAGAAAAGATACAATACGAAGATATGTTCCGCACGTCCAAACCAGACCGTACTTTCTCCAATCTGCTTTATCAACGTTTTCAACCTCTCGTGATAGTTGAGACTTAAATTTTCATAGTAATTTTTAAAATATCTGATATTTGTGCGGTTTTTATAAAGTAAGGTTTCCAGTATTGGAAAAAAATAACAAAATAAGTATTTGTTTACTTAACCTTAGAAATATCAACAACGTTTTTTCAGGACAAATATTATCTCTAAATGATGTATTTTGATAATTTATGCTTTCTGAAGCTCATGCCAAAAAAATCGTTAAATGCAGTTGTGGACACTTTAAAATATTTAAAAAACTATGAAAAGCCTGAAAAGACAGTGTGAACAGAGAGCATGAAATATAAAAATTCTTTTGAACAATTTTATACGTATTCTTAAGTATAACTTTAAATTGCTTACTAAACATGTGTTATATTTTATTAATATTTAATTAATTGATCGTTAAATTAATAAATAATAACTTCTTCGTAAATTGTATTCGATGGGAAACTCTTACATAATAAAAATAATAATATAATAGAACTTGCATCTGGTAATTTTTATAAATATTACATCAATAATTCCCTGTAAGTATATAAACTAATACAAACATTAATAACCACAAATATAATTTGCTACGATGGAGTGTTTACCGCTTGTGAGAACAACTTTTAAAATAGCTGGCCTATGGGGCAACCATGAATTAGGAAAGCTACACCTTTATACAATTCGAATTCTTTCTTCCATAGCACTTTATTATTACATTGGTGTTGTTAATCACTTATACATTGTAATAACAGGCAAGTTTATGTACAGTATTAACATAAAATTTATTACAACAACTTTTGCAGATTCTAACGCTCCTTTTACAGAAAAAAGCAACTCTCTTTTCATATTTTTGTCTTATTCAGTTTCAGTAAGCAGCATGGCGGTTTTATCATTTCGAAAAATGGAAGTTAAGGAAATGTTTGAAAACATAGAAAATTTTGAGCAGTTTGGTTATCCAGAAAATGTGAAGAGAGTATCTCGAATATTAGATATTTTGTATACTTGTCTAGTAATTTATGCAGGAGGTACATCTATTTTATTTTGTTGGGATTTATTCAATACGAAAACTGTATAGACGAAAATCAAATTAATAATAATCTTAAACGGTGTGGTTTTTCCTACAAAATATTTTACCCATACGATATAACTGAAGGTGTATTGTTGTACTTAATTTGTGATCTGTGTTCATGTTATATTCTTTTTTGGTCTACAGTTGATGATTAGTAGTGTATCAGAAGGAGCCTGGTTTGGAAACTAATTGTAGATCAAAATAGATAAATAATAAAATAGATAAAGAGTATGTCTTAGTTGCTAGGGACTAATATCAATTACTACTCAACCTGTAAACATTGTAATTTTTGGTAATAAATGGTGTATACCTGATCTATCTTACAAGAGCGTTTAATTTCAATGTTTGATTAAATCTAATTTTTTCCCTTTTGATTGCAAAAGATCGTTCACATCTGCGTTAATAAACATTTCTTGGACTATCTCTAATAACATTTCATCAACCAAGTTTATTATAATGGTGTCTGGGCCTTTCATTTCATTAATAGGCATGTGGCCATGCAATTGCTTTGACTTTTTGCACAAGAAACTCCTTATTCCTCCAAGAGATAACATCCCTTTAGGATATTCCTGATGATTTCTTCAACAAAATTGTATAAGAAACCAACCAAAACGCAATTGGTATTATCTGTCTCCTGGGATCTCAGCTCAATCAAGAATTACTTTATGGAAAGACATAGTGATTACTAGATTATCAGTTTTCTTGAGAAACGTTATTATGGATGTATTTGAAGATCAAAAATATTGTCCCACAGTTTTCCTATACATTTTATAGATATTTGACAGAGTGTGTCACCAGGACTTGTCTACAGGTTGGGTAAAAAGCTGCCCCAAAACTACTGTCAACTACCAGAATCATATCTTTCTGAAAGAGAGTTTAAAAATGTCACATACTCAACATTCAAACCGATCTTGGCTAGAATTCCACAGCAGATGTTCCAATTTCAAAAGATTGTAGTTGGGACACTCGTTGATGATACAGTTATTGTGATAGAAGACTCAACTCAAATGAGAGTTGTGGAAAAACTTCTAGTAGCAGTTTACAAAATTCACAAATGGACTAGGGACTGGAAAGTATAGCACTAATGCGTTCTTGGAGGATTTCCCAATCTTGAAGCACAGTCAACAAAATATGTCGGTCTCCACCTTGATAACAGACTGATCTCAAAAGACTCACTCTTAGATAAATGTACTGGTTAGTCGATAGATGCTTCCAATTTGATTAAGCCCATCTGGGCTTATGTGTGGTGAAAGTGAAGATTCATACGACGTAACTGAAGATTAATTATCTTCAGAGTTTTTGAAGCTGATGAATTGTACTCAGGTAACAGCAACAATTATTGTAGAAAATCCTATCCAGGATGATAGTGAAACTAATAAATTAGCCGAAAATGAACTTTGCAAATACTGGTTCCGATTGAAATTCGTGTTGTATAGAAACTAGTTGTGCCAAATTCACCTCATACAAATACCGGGCGATGATTTCATCAGAACATGAGAGTGGCTTTACATCGTAACAAATGGTATTACTCAGAAAAATATTTACTAATTACTACTGAAGAAGATTGTGTTAATAATGTCTCGGATATTAAGAGAATAAAATTATAGAGATTAATCGGCAAAAAGGTAGAGGTGATAGCTATTGGATTGAGTAGCACAACTTTGGTGGCACATGTCAATAAAGCTGGTACTCTGTCAATCAAATAAAGATATTACGTTGTATCTCCGGATATTTAAAATTGTATCAACGAAGAACTAGATTGCAGAAGTCAAATCATCAAATCAGTTGTTTGACAGGTTATAATGGAGAGACCTCAAAAATCAAAGGTTTAAAGAGATGTTTAGACTCTCTTCATTCATTGATTTGATCTATATCTAGTTTGTTGAAAAATAGAGCTAAAATTATATGGAGTCTGAAACATATTTAATGTTAAATATGTAATCGTAGAATGATTTAATTCATAGATATGAAAAATAATTATTCTACAAATTCAAGAAGCAATTTTATTAATAAAAAAGATAAAATTGTAACCCAATCTTAAAAAGTTATATGTTAACTAAAATTTTGAACAGTTACCAAATTTTAAAATTTTTGATTTAATGATTAATTCACAACCAAAATTTTTCATGTTGACTAATAATATGTCAGGCTGTATCGTCTATACTAAATCTGATTTAGAAAGCTGTTTTATACAATGTACAAAAATGTGATTTCAACTGAAAAAAGAAAATGGATTCTTGATTAATAAGAATAATAAGCTTCTGTGCATATTAAATAGGTGCAATCCATACTTTAAATATTTAATTAAATGAACGATAAATTACCAAATAATATGTTACAAGTAATTTATATCGCGATGGGAAATTGTTACTTAGAAATAATTATATAACAGAACTTACATCTAGTTATTTTCATAAACATTTCATCAATAACACTAAGTATATAAGGCAACGCAAGAATTAATAATCGCAGATATATATTGTACAATGATGTATTTACCGTTAGTAAGAAAGGTTTTTATGTTGGGGGATGCCTGGGGCAACCAAAAACTGGGAAAATTACATTCATTCATAATTCGAATTCTTTCGTATATAACTATATATTATTATATCGGTACTTTTCACCATTTTTATATGGCGTTTTCAGGCAAGTATATATAAAATTTAATTTAAATAAAGATTGATTGTAACAATTTCTATAGTTCAAAACGTTGCCTTTGTGGAGAAATGTAATGCTTTTTTTATATTTATAATGCATACGTATGTAATCGCCAATTTTGTGGTTTTGAAATATCGCAAAGTAGAAACTAAGAAACTATTTAAAGATTTAGAAAACTTTGACAAGTTTGGTATTCCAAAAAATTTAAAGAAAGTATCCCGAATAGTAGACGTTTTGTGCACTGGAATCGTGACTTATGGCGGAGTTGGATATGTTTTATTTTCGCTGATGGGTTTCATTGACTACGAAAACTGTATAGAAAAGGATCAAATTGCTCGTAATAATATTGCCCAATGTGGCTTTACTTTCAAAATATCTTATCCGTATGACGTAACAGAAGGTGCATTATTGTACCTACATTTAATCTTTGAAATGTCAACATCCGCTTTATTCATTTTTGGAACGCAGTCGTTGATGAGTGGTCTTCCAGCTGTAGAATTAATTAACGTTAGAATAGATCATTTAGCTGACTTATTAAATGTAATGATGGTGGAAGAAAACAACGATATTATATGGAGAAAGCTTCGATTTTGTATAATGTATCATATCCACATTATCAAGTAAGTACAAAATAAGATTTGGTGAATATTACGATTCCAAGAACAATTTCTTAGGTTAACTGAACAAGTTAATACTTATTATAGACCGGGTACTACACTTGTCATAATAAGCTTTGGAATAATAGTTGGTAGTACGTTACTAGCTGTTTTTGAGGTAAAAAATATGTGTTTTCGATATCATTATTTAGTAACGAGTGTAACTTGTAGGATTGCACTATTTTAACTGTCGCTTGCTTTTTTGGAATTGCTGGACCAGTAGGTGTATTGTGTTATTCAGGACAAAGGATGTACCAAAAAGTAATTATTAAACAATTTTTATTGAATATCGTTAATTTTCAATTTTATTTTCATAGAGTTTAGCTATTGGAGATACGGCTTTTGGATTAGAATGGTATAATTGCAATAAAAAGATAATTAAGGATATTCAATTTTTAATTATGCGTACCAAGAAACCATTAACGTTTCAAGGGGCTTGGGGACTGGGTGAATTTACTTTGGAAACTTTTGGAAAAGTAAACTCTTCACTCATTAACTTCTATTTTTAAATATTTTCTGTTTATAGTTAATGTCGGCGGGATATAAATTTACCAGCTTAAGAACTAGTATCCAACAATAAAGAAACATTAAATTATTTGAAATCAAATCTGTAGCTATAATTTGTTTATTCATATGCAGTTGGATATGATACTGAACGAACCTGAATTAGAAGAACCACAGAAAAATTAGAAATAAATAAAACATTTTTAGTTACACAATTAAACTCACAAAATTCTTTGATAGTAATTGAAGCACTTGAAAATTAAAAAAATTCGAGTTTCAACTCCAGAATTTAGAATTTTAGAAAACTGAATAAGTGTTGACTTAAGCTATTAAGCAATGAATTAGATTTAAATATGTTGCAAAAAAATTTGAAGAAGCACACCACATCACTACAAAACTAATTGGACTTGTAATTCTCAACCTCAAGAATGCATATGATCAAGTGATATAATATTTACATATAATATGATCATAATTACTTTTATTGTTAAACTAAAACAGTTATCACAATAAAATTTGAAACAAAATACAATACTTTGTTTTTGACACCGCAGAACACATCGAACTCTCCTTACAAGAAAGCAGAGTCGGATTCATAAACTATGTCAATCAAGAGAAAAAACCATTTGAATTAGGGTAGTTGCTGTTAATATTAACGGTTTTGCCTAGCAATGTACCACTTACTACTTTTTAATAATAATATATTTAATAAGAATATCTTAATAATATAAATGTTTGAATGTCAACTCTGGTGCGAATAAGGTTTTTGATATTCTCTTAGATATAATCAGTCAATTTGAGTAATCTGCTCAGAACAAAAGCGAAGTTGCTCTTCAGGCTGCCTCATCTTGCAAATAGCATAACCATCAGTCATCATCCTAGGCATACACTTATGCCTAAATATAAGCCACAATATATTAATAAGCTACAATTCAAAATCTTGTTAAACCCCCGCAACAATTATTTTTTACTTGCTTCCGTTTACAACACAAAAGATTTCTTCTGGTCTGAGTTCTCTGTAATTGAATTTGTTTATCGATGATTTTAATTTAAGGCTTTTGCAATTGCAGGTCCTTAAAGAATTGTATTAGTTTATAATACCTGTAAGTATAATGTAGCGCCTTTTTAATGAACCTTCGGCCACTTTGTTGATTGTGCCTAAGTGTATTTCTATTCCGACTTGTCATGAAAAGGTTCTTTATTTCATCGTAAGGCTCAAACCCTCCACCAGTCTGGTCGTTTTTTACACCTTTGCAAATGTCTGAAGTGTGGCACACCCGTTGTGCTTATTGAAACCATTTTACAAGTCTTGCAGATAATCATCACTGACGACAGTTTTTCGTCTTCGTTGATGTACTCTTTTTAACTCTTTTTTAAGCTGATCTAAAAGCTGCTATATAAGTTCTACCAGACGAAACCTAAGCACACAAATATTAATCCCAAAACCAAAATCGATGACTATTGCCAAAGATCTCATACGTAAATGACCACACTATAGAAAAAGTAATGTCATTTAATTATCTCGAAATAACTATCTCTATTAATAGAAATATCAAAGTCTCAAACGATGGACTTTTTTTCGATGCTGAGGAGAAAAGAACGTATCCGACCTACTATTGACGCCTTAAGGATGGTGTAGGCGAAAAGTCTATTTCAATTTCTTTCCGTCTCCTACCCAATTCCCTTTTTCCTCTCTCTTTTAGTTAGATTTTCCACTCTCTCACTTCTCACCACTTTCAATAAATAGCTGTCTCATAGTATCACGTCCACACAAGACATATCAAATTTATATCATAGTCGTTGCTTCATCAGTCTTTCTTCCATCTCCTTCACGTGAATCACATCACAAAGTCTTCCACCATTTTCCATTTCGCTTCGCTTTTCAACATAATATTCACAATTTTATTCACTTCCAAGTCTTCTTTCAATTTCTGCCTTTCCTCGCATCATCTTGGACATGCAGAAACGATGTGATCCACGTTGTCAACTGTGTCACAGAATGGCCAGCGGTCACCCTGACTTACTTTGTGTATATTACGGTGTATGTTTGGAGGCTTTGTCAGTATTAACTGATGTAATAATAAACACTACCCCACTTCCTCTGGAGTCACTCTCACACTGCCAATAAGTCTTTTGGTTCGCCTCGCTCTTCTTTGAATTCCATCTCATCTACCACCCTTGCATGATATGCGGTTTGCTACCTTCGTTCCTTCATATTTCTTTGTCTGTTTAGCCACTCTCTTCTCTATCATTAACGCCCACTTTTACCACCTCTTGATAAATTTAACCGATAGATAATGGTAATACCATGGTTACAGCGGTTTATCTATCAGTTAAATTTACCAAGAGGTGGTAAAAGTGGGCCTAAGTCAATCGGTGGTATCCACAGCATTTGCTGTGCTTCGGTGAGCGTCGTTCGAGATTCTTCTTATGTTTCTTTATCTCTATCGCATTCTACCATGACTGGCAAAAATATAAAACAAATCTCCTCTATTACGATCACAGTACATTCTCCCCGTGCAAAACAGCGCTGATAAGATCACAATAACATTTATCTCCATTAATCCTCCACTTTTGTTTACAATAATAATGATTTATTATAAGGAGACCTCCAATCAAAATAGAAATATAGAAATTAGTTTATTGTACTTTATTGATTAGTTTTATTGCCCATTTAGATTTTCTTTTCTTAAAATACATTATTATGAGCTTTAATATATGTGAAATAGAGAAAACGATCTACCTTATCTACCGTATCTACAATTATTTACTAACATCAAAATAAATTACTAAGCTAAAAAAATTAACATATATATTATATTTTACAACCATACATAGCATTGACCTTAGCTATATCAGTTTGTGTCATTGCCTGTGACATTCCTACGCGCCCTTTCCATTTAGGATCCTAAAAAAAGACACAATTATTTATTTCAACTATAAGTAATTGGTATAAGTATATACTAATTAATCTTACATATGGTACTATCGTTGGTAGGCCGTTTTTACTGAACGCTGTTTCATAGTAGTGCATTATACTACCGTAATCGTAGGGTAATCCAAAATTTGTTAAAAAATCATATTTGTAAAAATTGTGGAAATTTACAGCCTCCATGTTATTCCATAATATTTGTATATATTTATCGCGATTTATATTATTGTGTTCGTGATGAAATCCGATTGCATGCAAAAATTCGTGAATGATGATTTTATAAGATAGACATCCCATAGGACACAGATTTATTATTTGAACTCCACCTTGTCGACCAACATTGGAATAACATTTATTTTTGTCGCGACCCTATAATTTGTAGTTATTTAGTATATTAATTTGTGATTTTAATGGTTGGTATTTACAGTGACATAGATGTAATCCTTATCGAAACTTCGTTTAGGTATGACCTGAACACAAGTTCTTTTACCAATTTCTTGGACTACTTGATGTATCCATCTGGCTTGTTGTGGAGCTAAAATAAATTTGTAAGTTACGTTAATAAAAATGTAATTAATCATTCTTACTATAGGAGCTATCCAATACGTAAGGTACTACTTTGTTAGGCCACCTAAATATTGGGTTTTTAAGTCCATTACGTGTTGCCGATAGAAGAATATCACCCTCAAATTTTCCGCTGTTAAGTAATATTTCTTGTTGGCTATTCAAATCATCTATTTAATTATTTAAATGTAACATTAGTTATTTCGATTTATTTTTGTAATGAAAGCTAAAACTTACCTTCTTGTATATCACTTACTAGTTGTGCATTTATAGCAACATTGACTAGAAGATATAAGCTGAGAAGAACAAGGCTTGTGTAAGACATTTTGGTGAATTTGGTGTTGCAGAGGACATGCATGAGAATTTATACAAGAATTTCTCAAAAACAAAGGGTACGTGGCAATAAAATGTTAAAATTGATAAACTAGAGAACAATGAGTATTATAAACATTTATGCTTTTACTTTTGTTTGTAACATTTTTAGTTACTCGTATAACAATATGTGAAATTGTTACATTTTACACAACAATAAAGATATATTTTTAGCTAAATTCAACTATGTAGCTACACGGGGTAATCTTCATTACACGTGTAAAGGATTAACAACCACTAAATTTTGTTAATTAAGAAGATTTGGTTACAAAAGTATTTTGAAACAACCACGCTCATTTAAATTTAATTTTCCATCGATAGGTGATAAAGATATGGGCTTCATTAATATATAAATATATAAAAATTGTAAAAGAATTGAATGCAGGTAACACAAGTCAATTTAATATTTAACTAACTCAACGCTAAATTAATAAATAATAAGATCAAGTAAATTGAGTTTATGTTCCGATGGAAAATTGTTGCTGACCAGAAATAATAATAATTTAATAGAAGCTACACCTGCTTGTTTACGTAAATATTCCAGCAATAAAACTTAAACTCCTCGCACATTGAATTTAAGATTGAAACATTTAACTATTTTTTTATAGATAACCTAAGCAGCTTATAAATTCACCAGTTTAAGAACTAGTATTAATAAATAAAATAATAATTAAGTAATGGAGTCACCAACATTTACGAGGGAAAAGACGTGGAATTCACATACTCACCTTTAAATCAGCAAATAAGAGCTTTACGATTTATTGAGTAACTATTGAAGTAGTTGGTTATTTAATGGATCATTAAATAATCAGATCCGCAGCTATAATTTGTATAGTATGCATTTATATTTATATATCTAAAGTTAGATTGTAGATAACGCTAATATAATATGAATAATGAATAGTTTGCAATTTTCGTCTCTTTAGCAATGAAAACCCATAACCGTTTTACCAATTTTCTTATGGCTTATGCTTATATATGGCATCGATATTATACCGTATTGGAGATCGATTGTAACGCCTCGGCAGTTGTTGATCAACCAAAATCACAGAATCTCTTTTTCAAAGGAAGTCAAGATCACTTGCGGCCGAGGCGTTACAATATTTGCTCTCCAACACAGCTTCGATGTGATCTCGATTGTAACACCTCAGCCGCAAGCGACTTCGACTTGGTTAACCAAAATCACACAATCTTTTTTTATAACATTCCTTCCCAGAGACATTGACTTGGCTAAACAAAACTGGCCTAGCCAACATTTCTTGCCTGAGGTGATTGAAGCTGTCCTATATAACCTATCATTATAAACAAACCTGACCGATACCAACATTTTTTGCTCAAGGTCATTGACCTGGGTAGATAAACCTAACCTATACCAACATTCCATGCACAGGAACATTGATCTGAGTAAACAAGTGCCAATATTCCTTCTCTAGGGTTATTAGAAAACATCTTTGGCCACGAAGAGCTTGATTGCACTAAATGATTGAAAAGCGATGAAAGAGGCAATGATTGTAAGTAGTTGTAGGACCTATTCTGCCAACAGAAAGCCTTTCTTCCATCAAACATGTTTGTCATAGAGAGACGACTAAGAAATTACAAGTTGCTTGAAATATAGTACTTTAACAGGAAATCGATTATTTGCAAGGATCGATACCAAGAAAGGTGATAGTGAGTGTGTAACCAATAGAAGGGAATCTATTATCAATTATGCAATGTCTATGTTTATATTTTGTTCTGTTTCTTGAAAATTTTAACCTTTTTATAGTTAACCATTTCTTTTTATATAATTCCAATTTTTATATAATACCGTCTTATTTATATCCATAATAGGTAAGATTATTGACTTTGTACAGTAAGTCCATCAAACCTTTGTGTTGAATTTCCAAAATGTCATTAATGTCCAATAATGTTCAATATCGATTAAAGTGCTGACAACCATAGTTACCTTTATTAGCAATATCGAATATGCTCCTCTTGATTGTCCAATTAAATCTGCCACATGATCATTCGTATAAACTCGATGCAGGCGAGTATCGATTATCATTGTAATGTCAAGGGGAGCAAATCGCTTGTTTCCGGTTATTTGGAAGGAAATAGGTAAACGGTGCCTACCTTGCATGAATATTCTACTATCATTTGTACAGTAGGAGGAGTTGGAATAATACTCGACCTGATCGAATTTGAAATGTCTTTATTCCCAATTTATAGAGTAGAGCTAGACCACGATCGCCTCGAACGCCAGACCTCAGCAGAGTTTCCGATATTCTCCGTATATTGCAAACTCTGCAGTATTTACAATTGACCCTATTTTGTGAAATTCCCTTAATCATGGTAATATCAAATAAACGGTTTTCCACAATCGAATTATTCAGAATCAATCTTCAATAAATCGACATCGTTTAATTGATTACTTTTTATTACTTACTCGAAAATCGAAAACTTTATAAAAACGATAATCAAATTTTTTAAGATAATTTTGGACTACAGTTACAAATTACAGTTACAATTACTAAAATTAAATCTCGCTAATTGTCTATTTTTAGTTGTAGATAATATGCTACACGTGTAATAAAAATTTCATGTTATTAAATGTCACAAATTGTTGCATGAATAATTAAAATAATCGTATGAACAAATAAAAATAGAACTTTAAACATTGTGTTTACTCATTGTTCTCCGGTTACTAAATTTATTTATTTTATTGTCGTAATCATTTTTACAACACCAAATTCGTTAATATGTATATTGGTTTATATTTAACATTTGCTGTTATTATTACAAAAACGCAGCTAATAAATAAAATTCAAACATCAAATGCAAGTTTTCAATAATAATATAAGTGTTACTATATAATTTAAATAATTGAGATGAGAAGACAACAGGAAATAATTTATAGTGGGTTGTTTGAAAGAGATATCACCGAAGCGAAATAGGTTCAAAAATCTAACAATAAGATATAGGTGGCCGAACAGCATAGTTCCTTACATATTGGATCCTGCGTACAGTAAGAGTCACTTTATTCAACTTTAATTAATTTATGAACTCATTTACGCTACTCACAAATAAATCCTTATTTAGCACCACAGCAAGCTAATACAATACACTGAGTAGTCAAAGATATACATTATATTATTAAAATATAATGTGGACAAAATGATTATTGTAATTATAATTGATATTAGTGAAATGATAATTCCGAGAAATTCAATTTTGACAATATTGTATTTTTCGATAACTCTTTCTAACATTTTAGTGAATATCTCGCCATCATTGATGTTGGACGGGTTAATACAATTGACACGGCTTCAATATTGGCATTGTGATCAGTACATCACACTGAAATTAATTGAGATTAAAATCGGCAGAATACGAGTGTATTAGAAATTGCCACAAATATATCACTTTCCAGAACTGAGCTGAACACAACATTTCATATAAATGCAATCTAACTCTTCTACTGGATTGTTCTGGATTGTTTCAAAAAGAACACAAAAACATAACTTATAAAACAGAGAGATATCTGATGGAGGAATTCTTAAATTTGTCCCACCTAGTCTTTCCAGAGATTGTCTCCAGAGACTTAATTTTTTTTTAGTCTTAACATACTCTTAGTTTTCTTTGGTCTTCACGTATTTCATAGCGGTAAGTCACTATTATGCGGATAGTCTTATATATCTATAAATTTTGTTGATTATACCAACGTGCTGAAAGTTTTGAGCTCAAGTTTTTACTGGAACAGATTCCTGACCACCACGTAATACCATTTAATTTTTCACAAGAGATGACCAACTCTTTTGCAAAGAAACCGCTTTTCGCTTTGTATATTCGGCAAGTTCAGTAGTTACTGTTTTCAGGATCATTATGCCTCGGATGACTTTTAGCTATTTCAAAAATAAATTCTGTGGCAATCAAATTTTGTGCTTAAATATCGTCCTCTATTTGCTAATTCCAGTAAATTAGCAGCTATATGTATTGGTTTTATCGATTTAATCATTCTTGACATTAAAATACTTTTAATTGTGTTCCACTCATCTTGAAGTATCGATGTTGATAATAATTGTCGTGATATAGCAGCTTCTATTTCCAAAAAGGAAAAAACCTTTGATATTATAGGAGCATTTGCTTCAAAATATTTAATCCAAGTCCCTAGGTATTCCTTGATTTTCTTGATATTACAGACATTATAGAGCGATTTTGACTGAACTCTTGGACGATAGATATCTCTTATAGCCGATGTTGAACAATATTTTAATCTGTATTTAGAGGGTTACCTTACGGGTAATATTACGGTGACTTAGCAGGTAATATTACCGCGGTAATATTACTTTTTACATCACTAATTGTGATAATATTCAAAATTCCAGTGGATTTAAATCTGGAGTTCTCACTATTAGAAAAATCATTATGTCGTGGTAATAACTTTATTGTTGGTAAAAATGATAATTGCACACGGAAATTTGATCAATGTTGACAATTAACAAGCAATTGTCGAAACATGAGCGGAGAAATAAGCCAACTTTGCTTATGTTAAAAAATAAAAATTTTAGAAGAAAATATACATTTAAACATTTAAAAATAAATAATTCGAGAACCGATAGACTTAGACAATTTAAATAAGAGTACCTTTTTTATGTAAAATTGAGTGCTCTTTGTGATTTGTAGCCCTTATTGGTCGTAGCTCGACAGCCAAAAAAGTTATGATTTGATTTATCAAACGAGCAGTGTGTATCTAGCGCCCTCTACGAGCCATAACAAAACAAGTTTCAAATTCGTATTTCTCATGCTCGAAAACGTAAAACTACCAAATTTTATGTTGATAGTAGAAAAAGCTTAAAAATTATCAAGAAATTTCGAAATAAGAATTTAACTTTCAACACCCTGTGCCTCGAAAACCACTGACATTTGTATAAGAGTTCAAATCATCATATTTTGGTGTCTAATATCTCCGGTATTCGGATTTCCCATTCTTTCTGACTCACCCTGTATATGTACATGACAAATTAGTCAAATTACTATAAAATTAAAAATTACACATTCACAGCGACATCTCTACAACGATGTTTAAAGCTACAATTCTCGTATCACAAAGATAGATGTCACCACATTTTAGCAATAATTATTTCGTACACAAATTAAACTTACAAAATATAATACTTCGTAAAAAAAGAATAAATTATGGAACTCTAGCATCATTTCAAAACACAAAACGTTATGTCAAATTTAAATATACTTCAAAATATTTCATAAAATTTCACAATTTCACAATTTCATTTATAACTAGCTTCAGAGCAATAATTCCATCTCACTCTTCCGTTGTTAGTTATCTCGCTCTTCTCGTACCGTTAGTTGTTGAGGTTATAATTTAACGTGTTTTTTATTACTAATTTTAAGTAAATCATCTCAAATTTCGTTAAATATCACCGAATAAGTACTAAAAAATGGCTTTACGTGTACAATTTGAAAATAATAACGAAGTTGGGGTGTTTGCCAAGTTAACAAATGCGTATTGTTTAGTAAGCATTGGGGGCTCAGAAAATTTTTATAGGTTAGTATAAATTTAACGTTACTCAAGATATGTTTAATAAATGTAACTTTTTGTAGTACATTTGAAGGAGAATTATCAGATAACATACCAGTTGTACATACTTCGTTAGCAGGATGTAGAATAATTGGTAGGATGTGTGTAGGGAATAAGAACGGATTACTCCTCCCTAATTCAACTTTTGATACTGAATTACAACACATAAGAAATGCCTTACCAGAAAAAATTAAAATACAAAGGGTGGAAGAACGTTTATCTGCTTTGGGAAATGTTATAGCATGTAACGATTACGTCGCTTTGGTACATCCAGATTTAGATAGAGAAACAGAAGAAATAATTGCAGATATTTTACAAGTTGAAGTATTTCGACAAACAATAGCCAGTAATGTTTTGGTGGGCTCATATTGTGCTTTAAGTAATCAAGGTGGTTTAGTACATCCACAAACATCCATTCAAGATCAAGAAGAATTATCATCCCTTTTACAAGTTCCATTAGTTGTAAGTAAATCTTTTTTTATGTAGAAAATTTTTACTCAATTTGTAATTTTGTTATAGGCCGGAACTGTAAATAGAGGAAGTGAAGTGGTTTCCGCCGGGATGGTTGTTAATGATTGGACTGCATTTTGTGGCATGGACACAACATCAACAGAATTAAGTGTTATTGAGTCTATTTTTAAATTAAATGAATCCGCCCCATCTTCAATTGCTACAACAATGAGAGCAAGTCTTATTGAAAGCATGTCATAAAATTAAATTGTCCATCAAATGCATTGAATGGAATTTTTTCATCATACAATTAAAGTACATTTTATGAATGGTTTGTGTGAATAACAAAAAATAATTATTAAAATATGAATAATCTTGTTTATATATAAAAAATAAAATAATATTCATTTTGAATATGTATTTTAACAATATGATCTTTTATTATACAATTTTAAATTATATAAAATCCATGGTAATCATCCTATTTTCCCATTTAGGCCCAGTTTTGCTATCCTCTAAGGGTATTGAATGTATCAAACTTGGACAAAGTTGAACATTGATTTGAAGAGATGAATATGGAAATACTACCAGAGATGATTATGCCATATTGAAATATATCACATATCTTATATAACAAACTTTATTGCATAATATAACAATAATAACCTGAAACATTCAGCAAAAATTAAAGTAATTGCAATAAAAAGAAGAATAATGATAGTTATAGAAACAAATTAGCAGCTTCAAAGGTTATTCAATTCCTATAAATCTTGAGTAAACAAGAGTGTTAAAAACAGCAACATCACCAAAAATTTAGATAGTATAACAGAGAGAACTGACATAGTTGGTCTGTCTGCAGATAAGTTGTTTTGAACCACTAGATGAAAGGTGATGTCTCTGCTAAGAAGATAAAAGTTACAGCGCGCAACTGATTTTTGCAAGAATGCTTGACACCTAGTTCTTAATTTGTTATCGCCCAATTCCTGTAAGTCAAATATCACTTAATTAATGCAGTGTTATTACCATCTGATTTATGGGGATTTGCGCAAGTTACAGATAAGGACTCGCCTAAGTAGTTTTTTCAGTGTTCCTCACATTGAGAGAAAGATAATAACAAATTGTTGTTTTCGAAATACTTAATTATTGTTGCCTATGTTGTCTACTGAATTTTGAAAAAAGTGAAAGCAAAGAAATTGGCGAGATGGTATCAACACATCTTAAACAACATTCGAACATACAATTACTTTGGTAAATAATTGCTGGAACTAACTTTATCGATTAATTGCTATAGGAATTCCGCTTGTGGTTCAAGATGGGCGGATCGAGTAGTCCGACAAAAACCATTTCCGATCCCATGACCGAATAAATGAGGATAGTTTCCAGGTGAAACTAGCAACCACCCGACGTAAAAAGCTATTGTTTGCTTACAGATACATCAATCTGCCTCGAAGTTGGACGGTCCAAACGATGACGAAGTTGGCGAGAAACTGGAAAACGAAGACAAATACGGAAAACAAACTCATCAGGAAACAGAAGTGACAAGAAAACTTTTCATAAAGATCATGGAAACATTAACGAGAGAGTATGTAAACATATCGAACGAACAACAAGGATTCAGGAAAAATAGATCAACCCAAGATTATCAAGATGGTATCCAATCTTCATAATCAGGCAAGTAGTAGAGCTAACCTCATCAAAGTGTTTCGCAGGATAAGACTAAACAATGTAATTAATATTCTAAAAGGGAAACATATGCCAAAAGACAGTAGATATCATCCACTATACAACCACTTACATACTAGTTGATCAAACACTGACACTGGAAATACAAACGCCCAGAATCCGACACTCTTATCCACAATTGTTCAAAAAAAGAGGATTTCTCACTCACAACGGGCAAAATCTTTCGAACAATAGAAATGAAGATTCTCAGAAATATTTCAAGGTAGACACTAAGATATAGAAAAAGAAACAGATATAAAATATAAATGTGAGGTGGAAGACATAATTAGATGGGGATGTAAACATAGAAGAGCCAGAATGGTCAAGTGAGAAGAATAGCGCGCGAGATGGCAAACCACGGACACGACGACTTTTGCGAAGACCTCCAATGAGATGGATATAATCATGGACAACAACATCTTAAAAGAACTGAAGAGTTCGAAATTACAGACCTATAATATGCGAAAGAAGAAGATATGGGTATGAATCACACTGTTAACCATACATTAAAATAGCAATCAATTTATATATAGCTACCACTATATTAAGAACTTAACCAAAATCTTAATTAAACTATGCTTAGGAATATCTCAAAATGTAGCAGAACACCGCTAGCTATCCAATTATTATTCTGCAATACATCTACTATTATCGAGATTAATACAAAGATTTTAATCTTTACAAATTAGTTTGCATCAGAAGTGTACGTAACATCGTTCTCTAGGGATATTATGATATATTATTGAAAGACGTACCCAAGTAGTTTTTAATTTAATAAAAAAATGTCGCTTTATAGAAAACAAACACTTCTTCGTATTTTGGAATAGATAAACCTAAGTGAGGGAAAAATCCTTTAATAGGAGAAATCTTAATACAATAAGAAATCTGTCTTTTCTTAAGAACTGTTTAATTTATGTTGAACATTTTACCATATCATAATATTTAAACAGTATGAAGGCTAAAAAAGTATTTAACATTTTTATGAATGTAAAATAATCTAGATATAATCTTTGTTTTTTAATATTTCTTGGTATTCACATTTCTTTTTAAATATTATCATACCCGCAACGAAAAAATCAATAGCGTCGGTCATGAGCAGTACAGACAATACGCCATATGGTTCGCTGATGACCAACATTGCCACACGCAGAGATTCAGCGACTATCTGCTTATCGGTTTAATTGAAAGAAAAGATCGTGACTTGTAAACAATGCAAAGTGTTGGAAGTGATTAATTTAAAAAAAATTGTGGAAAACAGTGATTATTCAAACGTAATCTACTAACTAATTTTATTAATAGGTAAGATATTTTTAGAAATTTTAATTTATTAAAACAAACTCAGAAAAGTTAGAATTAAAGTTTAATTATAATTTTATTTATTCGATAATAATTAAATTCGTTTATAATCGAAATTTAATCAAAAATTAAAAATTCTTTATTTTTTTTGTTATTTGAAAAAGTAATTCAAGTTCAAATTAAGTTTCATAAGTTTTTTTTGGAGATTATTAATTAATCTATGTATTATTTTTATAATAAATTTAAAAAGATCGGATTAACGTTTCGAATATCGTCTCAGATTAAAAAAAAATCATTATTCGCATGAACGAAAAAAACGATTATCAGTTTTGTAACTGGATGAGCTTTAATATACCGTAAAATCGATAACTCATTATGGACAAACATTCCCAGGAATGCAATTTCAACCATAATCCACAGTTGGAGAATTAGAACTGTCGATGAACTCTGTCGGGAATTCATCTCTTGGAAATTTACGTTAATTACGGAACTGTATTGCAAATATTCAAAGTTAGCGTTAAAGCTTCATTAAACAGCAAAATTACAAAATTATAAAAAATAATGCGATTCATAAGAATTTAATGTTAGAAATTGTTTCTAGGATAATAATGGCTACATATCCTGGAATGTCTTTAAGTGGTGAAGTTAGGGAAAGTGTATCGTTAGATGAAGATGATTTAAGTGATGTTGAAGACGAAGTTTTTATAAGAGATGGAAAAAATGGTTATAAGGTTAAAATTAATTATTTATTTTTTTACTTTATTATTTATAAAAAACTCAAATTTTTAGTTTTCTGAAGATGCGGGTTTAAAAAGACCTTTAATGGCTCCTAGGCGAAAACTATCATCAAAACCGGATTTTGCCAGCCGAATTAAAAATCGTCCTCCTTGTAGGAGGTTATGCCAACCATGTTGTTATGTATTTATTGGATTAGGTTTGATGACAGGTATTTAATTAATAATAGTTGACAAATATATAGATACTTCAAAAGTAATTTGCCAAGCAAAGAGAGTTTTAAAACAATTTTATCAAATTCGGCTAATTTATTTCAAATAAATTTTACACCCTAGGTGATTTATTCAACGTGTAGCCTCATATCTTAGTGGCAACGTATAGCGGATAAACTACAGTGTAAAGACTCCCAAGAGCCTGATACTGTCACGTTTTCATTCTAATATATTTCTAGCTTTGAATGTAAGGATCTTAATGAACGTTTTTTCATATCTTATACAACGAAAAGTGATCTATAGAAATCGAAAGCTTTCCTTGTTTAATTTTATCACGAATCAGATTTTTTATTTGACTTTGAATGGTACTAACGATTGAACATGTATTGATCAAGAAATATCCCGAAATAATTTTTGACTGAAAAATTCCCTCAAAATATCCAAAAGAGGATTTGTTTTATGTCTCTTTTATGTGCATGGTATTGTGCTGGATTATTGATAAAATGTCAAGTTTTCAGAAGAGTATGACACCAGTTATAAGAAAAAAAATCACAGAGATTATTATGATATAGATTTTGCCTTTTCGCTTATACTATACGGTGTTGGGGCCTCGATTTTAGTACTCTTTCCTATTCAACGCCATCCTCTTTGCTTCCTCAATGTTTTTCCCCTCTACTAAATCACACTCTTGGTGCTGTTCACCCACATCATGATGGGTCTCCCGTTTTCCCTCTTCTCTTCTCCTTCTTCTAAGCTCCATCATCCTATTTAACAGCCTCTCATCCCAAGGACCCATCCTTAGATGCTCTCTTATGGTTGTGTTTCTGATTCTATCTCTTCTTGTCATGATTATTCACCCTAGGTGCATCATTTCTGCAGCTGTTACTTTGCTTTTGTGCTTATCCTGCATTTACCAGATTTCCTCCCCATATATCAATGTTGGCACATATACTACTTTGTACATACAGGTGCATTTTTGTTTCTTTATTCGGTATCAATCTTGTGTTAATCTGGTAACACATTTTTGTTGCTTTGGACGTTCTGTTTCTTATTTCCTGATCTATTGTTTATCACTACCTTCAGGTATTTGTACAGATTTACTACCTCTAATCTATTCTGGCCACATCTGATATTTGGTCTTCTTGAACGTTGCGGATTTGTTTGCTAATCATCATTATTTTCCTTTTTTTGCGTTTATTTCCATTCCTGCACTTTGTACATTAATGTTCCATTTATAGAGTGCGGGTAGCAACTTTTTAATTGTGTCCGCCAGTAATAGGTACTATGTCATCCGCATAGACAAGACTTTGGAGGCTTACTTCTTCCATTCTGCAGTGTCCGAGTTGTAAGTTCAGTGCCCTTTCTTTAAGATTTAATCCATAACCACAATATACAGGAGAGGGCTAAGGGAATCTCCTTGTTTGATCCATTTTTCTACATTGAAACTTTTAGACTCCATCCCTCTTATTTTAACTATTCCAGCTGTTCTTTTGTAGTTGTCAGGTATTGATGCCTGACAATTCGTTTTGATGTCAGGATAATTTCTTTATTTATTCATTCCTTGCATCTGCACAATAACAGCTATGCACTTGAGTCTATAATTTTTTATCTTACGTTTATCTCTATAATATAAATGACTAAAATATAAATAATAAATACATGTAAAAATTTAGCTCAATTAAAAATAAACATTTACTCATTATCATTTTATTATTTCGTAGCATTGATAATATTAACGATAGTATTAGTATCTTTGTATCCACTACCATTGGAAAAATTGAAAAGCTGGATAATCACAAAAACGAAACATAGATATACAGAAAAAGTTTTACCATGCGCCGATTTAGCCGTCACAGACGTTTGGACGTTAACTTTGCCAAAATTAACTTCGGAATCTGTTATTAGAGCTGTAGATATAAATTCGGATGGAGTTGATGATTTCATTTTTGGTTTTGGAACCGGTAACATTTATTTATCTTTGTAATGTATTCATATTTTAATCTTAACGAAACTACTTTTAAGGTGATAACTATAACATGAACCCAGATGTTTATTGTCAAATGTTTTTTAACATCCCTCCACCTTGCGGTGGTGGTTTAATAGCTTTAAACGGAATAACCGGTGATGTGATATGGCGAAAATGGCTGGGTCACACTATTTTTACGATTTTTTGTGATGTAGATGTAAATGCTGATGGAATTTTTGATTGTTTAGCAACTGGAAAAGGAGGGGTATATAAATATTTCTTAATAAATTTGTAAATATTCATCCTTTTTTGTCGATAGATATTTTGCGTTATAAATTCAAGAAACGGTTCCATAATATGGAAATTTGACAACAAATTTAATCCACCTCAACCGCTTATTTTAGATATATACATGGCGAATTTTATTGAAGACGTTGACAACGATGGTGTAGATGATGTTTTAGCGGCACATACCTCACAAACAGGTTACTATAAAATAATCTCAATTGTTTGATTAAGCAGAGTAGAGGAAACTCGATAAAATATAGGGTATAATCCAAAGATAATGATAAAAAATTAATTATTTTTAGATATTGCGAAAGTTGGTCATATGATTTTGATATCTGGAAAAACTGGTGATGAAATGAAACGCGTTGAAACGCCGAAAGGAATCGAAACTTATTTTACTCCCCAAATTATAGCTAATAATCGGAGTACGTTTGTTATTTTCGGTACTGGTAGTCCTACATCACCAGGAAATCTTAGTGTTGTTTTATTAAAAGATATTACCCAAGGAGTTATGGTAACATTTTTTAATTCTAGAAGGTGATTTGTGATAAACAGGTGTATATTAAAAAATATACATTTATTTTTAACAAAATCTAGTATCAAAATTTACCTGCTTGATGTAGTTTTTTTTTTAATATGGTTTCATATGATCAATAAATATTAGAAAAAACTTTTGAAACCGATCCACTGCGTCAAGAGTGGATCGGTTTGATTGATCAATAAAAGCATATCCTCGACTGAAGTGTGGTCTTTCCTTCAGCTTCTCGATTGATGGCATAAAACTATTTAAAAAAATTGTTTTATAAAGTCTTACATTTTCCAAATATTTTGAGCAGTAATTAAATGCATCCGTTGCTCAAAATATTTGTATTATTTTTTACTAGCGAGATATAGAACCTAGCCAAACACCCATAAGAATTTGATTTGAGTAGAAACAGTGACATCCAGAGTAGTATCACTCTTGTGAATAATCTCCTAAAAAGTTCAACAACATCTAAGTCTTGTCAAGAAGTGCAACAGCCGAATTTTTGGCTTATTTTCATTGAGATCATATTTTTGCACCAGCCAATACATTAGTATGGACTAACACTCTTTCGGTATATCTCGACTGTTAATTCTGAGTGATACGTTCCAATGATTTAAAACTTGCCTGCATTTCAGTGAATGAAAATATACTCTTTCAACGTGGTGGGGCAACAAATCACACTACCTTATTGATAGTAAGCTGCCTATAGCTAAAATCTATAGTTTTCAGCTTCCATCATAACATACACTTTACAATTTGAAGATGCATTATGTATCATCTGCAGAGATGGTTTGTAGTATGCTCACTACAGCTATAATCTGCAATATAGCTATAATCATTAACCTGCTATGTCATGTAACTATGATTTCTAATAATACGGTTACTGCCGTGGTTTGTAGTTCGCAGTTATGATTTAGAAAATGCTGTCTACAGCTAAACCTTGCAGTATCAACCCTCAATTACAGCTAAAGTTTGCAGTACTGACTTTGTAATTTGACCCTATAGCATGCAATGTGCAGTGTGAAGCTATAATTTTCAGTATATCCTCTGCAGCTATAATTTACAGTCTGTAGTTTACACTATGCTGTCTATAGATACAATCTGCAGTCTTCAGTCTGTAGCTACAGTTTCCAGCTATACTTATACATATTTTCAGCATGCAGGAACGGTTTCAATATGCAGTCTACAAGTAAGATTTGTGTATTTGTAATTTACTATTTGTAGTCTGCTGTTTTAGTTAGGAATACCTTTAAGATTTGGTCCATAAATACAATAAACAGGAGAAATTTACTTAGTATCTGAGTATCTTTTGTAATAGGTGTAACTACTTACAAGGGAAGTGTCACAACTGTGTCTCACCGATTTCGATGCAATTTGGTACAGTCATAGAATGGGCCAAAATAAGGTTCGTACATTTTTTTATACGTGCGGTAAAAGCCCCTGGGGCGAGTTATAGGGGTTGAAAGTTTGGAGAAAAAGTACGTTTTCACTTATATTTTAAAAATGAAAAGTGCTATCAAAATTTGGTAAATTGTAACTGATATTCATTTTAAAAGAGCTTTCTTTTGATGTATCACACATATACCAGAGGGTTAAGAAGGGCGAACTACCCCTATTTTTTTGGAATTATTTAAAAACCACCCTATCGATTNGGTGTATTATGCCTTATTTTACACTAAACATTTTATTGTGCGACTAATTTACGGTTTTGTTTAAAGTATTTTCAAAATACCTGACAATTTTATCACATCATTCTTACGAAAAGTGCTTACATGTTAACCCCCGTAACTTCGCTGGGGTTGATCTAGGGCGAATGGGAAAAAACCCTTAACTAATATTTTTGAACGCACTAGAAGTATACTTAATGCCGCCAAAATCGATAGGGTGGTTTTTAAATAATTCCAAAAAAATAGGGGTAGTTCGCCCTTTTTAACCCTCTGCTATATGTGTGACACATCAAAAGAAAGCTCTTTTAAAATGAATATCAGTTACAATTTACCAAATTTTGATAGCACTTTTCGTTTTCAAAATATAAGTGAAAACGTACTTTTTCTCCAAACTTTCAACCCCTATAACTCGCCCCAGGGGCTTTTACCGCACGTATAAAAAAATGTGCGAACCTTATTTTGGCCCATTCTATGACTGTACCAAATTGCATCGAAATCGGTGAGACACAGTTGTGACACTTCCCTTGTTAGTAGATACATCAAACAGCAAATAGTGATTTACAGAGTTTTTTAATAAAAAGCATCCGTCTCTCACAAATCATCTGTATAAGACAAAAATTTTTAATTAAAACGTTTTTAGACCAACATAACTACTTTATATGCAGATGATAACAAAGGTGTAATTTCACCAACTGTATTAGTTGACATCACAGGTGATGGAATTGCTGATATTGTAACATCATTTTTCAATTCAACCACAATGGCTTTTGATGGATACTCGTTTAAGCAGCTTTGGAATTTTACAATTCCTAATTCAGAAACTTTAAGCATTCCAACCCCAGGGTATTTTAACAATGATAATGTAACAGATTTTTTGGTTAAATACCAAAAAGGACCTGGCTTCCCAGTTTATTACCACAGTGAAGTAATTATTTCTAAATTTTCAAGATAAAATTAATTTATTTATATTCATTAATAGACGTATATTTTGGATGGTAAAACTGGCAAATCTATTTACGAACACCCAATAATTGACACGGTAGGTTCCCAAATGGGCGGATTAACCATTTCAATGGAAAAGTTTGGTATGGATTGGTTCGTATTTTGGACGGGAAATTGTAAAGATTATGAAGCTCGACAAGACATTTTCGAATTTATATCTGGAAGCACTAATAAGCAACAAAATCGAGCAAATATCTGTAAATTAAGATTTAATTCAACAATGGTTGCTAAAATGTACGCTTTAAATCAATTTGATCAACCACCCGGAGTAGAATTATATAGTTCAGGTAAATAGAATTAATTTAATTTAGATTTTAACCCACAAAATCTTTGTTATATTAGATAACCGATGGGATTTAGAATACAATAACAGCCGCTCACCAATTGATGAAGCACGCGAATTTTTAAAAATGCACCCAGAATATGATCGACAACAAGTAGAAACAACCCCTCCAGGAAATTTAGAAACAACCTACAAAGCAATTGATCCATTAAGAAATCAAAAACCCCAAACGAACAATAAACACAAAACTCAAGAACCAGAATATTTAAATACAAGAAATAAAAATGTAAACCCCAACATGGATCCCCAACCGAAATACGAAAACGATTACGAACAAATCCGATTGAAACCTAAAATGCCTTATTACCCACAAAACGAGGATATGGACACAGATTACCCAGAAGAAGAACCGGATGCGATGTCTTTGTATGGATCAAGACAATCGCGATTACAGTATCATCCAAATAATCGAGACACAAGAAGTAAAAAGCAGGAATTAGATAACCCACATGAATACGATGATAATGAAAGTACAACTAAGAAAAAAAGTCTTTCCGAGAAAACTCATTATGGAATTTACGATTATAAAAATGTAAAAAATGCGAGAAGTCGCCTTATGCACGATTTAACAAATCTACCAACAGAAATTTTAAGGGATACTTACTTCAAAAATAGAGAAAAACAAATGAGAAAATCCCGCTTTGAACAGAGAGATTTAAAATCCCACAAAGAAAGGGCAAAAGGAAACGAAGAGGTTAAAAAGGCGATTGAAGAAGAAAAAAAGAAATTAGTGAATACTTCCATGACTTTATGGGATTTAGAATCAGAAATGGAAATAGAAGATAGAGAAAATGGGTATTATAGAGGTAAAAGACATATATATCAAAAGTTTGATGGTGTTCCTAAAATAACTTCAGTTGGTAAAATTTTTATAAAATAAATTCTTGACACATAATTATTTTTTTATTTTTTAGGTACTCTAGTTAAATCAATAAATTCTTCTACAAACTCAATCGATTTAGTTTTTCTTACATATTGGTTGCCAGCAATAGAAGGTGCGCAATTAGTGTTAGAAAAAGACGTTCAATGTATTAGTGAAAAAATTAAAAACGCAATGCGTTCTAAAGGTAATTTTATTTAATTTTAAATATTTTTTTTTTAATCTCTTTTTTGTTCTAGAACAATCAATAACGTTTCAAAAATCTACATTGGAAGAACTATTTAAAAAAGAATGCATTGAAGAGCGATTTAAAAATCAGAAACCCACCGATCGAACTGACCAAGACAATAACTTTTCTTACTACAATCAAGTGGCTCATCTGAATTTAGGTCAAATGACCGTTTACAGGATTAAAATCGAATGTAGATGTCAGGCGAGAAGAAGGTCTAGCGAAATGTGTCCAAGATTTTTGGACAAAGAGAAACAATCTTGGCCATCGTTTTTAGGTAGAAAAGGAGACGGTTATTTTAAGCGATTTTTGTAAAAGATTTTTTTATAAGACTTAAAAAGACAATTAATTGGTTTAGCTTAATATAATTACAAAACTCACCAAACACTGTAGTTTAATGGTGGGTCTAATTTTTCATCTTTATTGATTTCTTGTTATAGAATCAATTTTTATTTATGGAGTTTTAGAGAAACTTTTCGCGCTAATATGGACTAAGTTATTTTTTTAAGAAGAAAAATTGATAGGAATGACTTAACATTACTGCATTTATACATAGGACTGTGATAAAAGATCAGACTATTTCCGCCATCGTCTAACTTCCTTTGTACATAATATATTTCAATTAGTGACAATCTGCAAACGATTTTATTTTTTATCGAATTGATAAATTTATAAAAATGGCTAAAATATAAGTCTTAATTTTAATATGTACATAATTGCATATTTTATATTATTATATAAGGAATTTACGTAGCATAAATTTAACCTTACATTCTGAAGAAAGAATAACACTTTTTTATTCAATACAGTTCATTTAAGAAAGTATTTTAGATTTTAGCGCATTATTTCAAATAAATGTTGCCAAAATCGAAATTACACAAAAAATTAAATTGATTTATATTGGGTCATAAATTTACAACCATTTTCCGTTGGGCAAAGTTGAAAATAACAGAATTACCACATTCCCCCCACCAAAATAGCTCTGTTTCAGAATAAAAACGGTGCTTGGAAAGGATTACCTTTCCTTTTGTGATGTTCCTTTCCTTTTGTGATATTTCTTTCTTTTGTAGGAATCCTATCATAATTATTCAACCTAATTTTTTCCTTTAGTATACCAGGCTAAAATTATGTCATAAAGCCACAAAATTGTATAAAACGTAATCTTTATAAAATAACTTGTAATAGTAGATTTGGTCAGGTTGGTAGGTTATTGTATAAGTGTACAATAATGGAATTATTTTGGTGGATATAGTTTATATATTGTTGTGAAATAAAGTACCTAGAACAAATTAATAAGTCCCTTAATTTTGCGTTTATTTCATTTCATAATTTGGATTTCTCTGGAGAGTATTTAGATCTAAATGTAATTTACAAACATCAAAATGAAATCTTTCATTGTCAAATTAACCTATACCACAACGTTGTAACTTTTTTATAACTGATGATAAAACACAATTAGAAAAAATAACACCATGGCAGTTGCAAGTCCCGTAGATTGTTTTTTTGGTAATAATACTACGATGATAAAAGAACGAGATAATTTTAAATTTTTTTTAGATCCCCTTTTTATTGTTTCCGGGCCTAAAGATCACTTTAGAATGGCTGCTCCTGCTATTATGCATAATGCGCAATACGTAAGTAATTAATCTTACGACTTATTTGAATTTTACAGAAAATATATCATTGTATGAAGATAATTATATTTTTCTTGTAAATACAAAGACGTTACAATACGATCTTTACCCGCTATCCTATCGCGAAGTGAAGTTACACCATAGTAAATGGTATTCATGGTAAACATTAATTACATTATGATCTTTTGCCTTTTTTGGCATAATTTTGCCCTCTTTCAAAGTATTTTGCTGACTTCTGTTAGAATGTTCTTATCTGATTTCTGCCATGTTTCTAGAATCTAGTTGCAATTTTCTACCTTCACACCAATAACCTTTCAATATTATTCTATCTATGTACAAAATCTTTCTACCTTCATTCTATATTACTTATGGCAACAACATAATATATATTCTCAATCAATGCTGCGAAAGACTTGTAGGGAAACCCAAAAATGAGTGCCAGAATCGTTCGGAATTAGCCACTGGACTTTGAAGTCTCTAGCTAACGTAGATGGATAACCTTAACATGTCCGCTGCTGGTTTATAAATACTTGTGCGTTTGTAGAAGCCGAATAGGCAGCGACACATCGCTATATCAGGACAAAGAAGTTATATTATATCACGTCATGTTATGTTGTATTGCCCAAATAAATTCTAATGGTGCTCTTGGGAATTGCATAATGCTGCTGGTTAGAAAAGGTATACTGCTTTGGAAGATACCAGTACCACAAGAAATAACGCGATATTTCTATCTCTTTGCGTTATAAAAATACATTTCACTCCTCACTGAATTTCTTTCCAAACTATCGGCAATTAGTACAACCATTTCCTATGTGCTGAACCCCCCTATGATCTCTTTGTTGGTTATGTACTCATCAATAGCCCCCAACAAAAAAAGGCCCAGCACATTCCACTACTTACAGCCTTCACATGATATACAAACAGCAAACACTAGATCCACTATCACTCCCAGATACTTCAACAACCCACACTACATGGTCATCCATACGTAACACAGGCTGGTGTTTCTTTTGCACACAATATTCTTTATCGATACATATCTCGTTTATCATCTCCCGTACAATTCCAAACTGCTCATTCATACAACAATTCCAACACTGCTCCTAGGCACGAACTCTATGGTCATCGTCTATCTGCCATATATCTTAATCTTTCACAAAGCACAACTATGCAGTGTGTGCGTAAAGTAGCGGATATAGGCGATAAAATCATTCATATTAAAAAATCTTCGAATTGCCCCCTTTACAATCGAATTACCTTACGTTGGGAAACACTGCTCTAGATGTGTGAAAGCTATTTTGGAGTCATCCCATTCTAAAGATATGTAGAAGGTGTAAGTTACCGGTTAGTGAGCTAATTCAGAATAATTTACAGTCTCACTGCTTCAGGTAGGTACCAATATGCTTTTATGTGGGAAACTCCAAAACTTCTTTTTCGCAAATACAGTTCTACACTATCACTAGCATTTGCGCACGTGTAATAGAAAAGAGATACAAATTTTATTAATATACGTGCTTTCCACATCTCCTTGTATTGTAACTCCCGGTATTTTCTTCCAGTTGACTTGGAGAAGACCTGTATGTTTTTTCACAGATTTTAGACGATTGTTGCACCCCTTAACTCGGCGATCCAATTTATCCCAGAGATTTTCGGTAGAATTCAGGTCTAGATTCTGAGCAAGCCAGTCGATACGAGTAACCCCATTATCATCGGACCAACATGACAGTTAGCGTTGTTCTGAAAGTAACATGGGTCCAGTTCGTAAAACTGTCATAACGTAAGAAGCACATTGTTATCTAAAATTGTACAGTAAGTGTCAACGTTGAGCTTACTCCCTGGGGAGAAACATTCCCAGATCATGATCTCATCTCTGCCGAACACTACTGTTGGCACAATGCATACGGGCAGATTGCGCAACCTAACTCAACGCTGCCATTCAAATGGTAGAGGGTGAAACTTGATTCGTCGCGCCTAAAAACCTGTTTCCGCTGATCTACGGTCCACTATCGATGTTTTACAAAACATTTTCTGAGCAGCTCGAAAACAGTACCTGCAAATCTCTATCTCCAGTTTTCCTGTTCTATGAGTCTGCCAACTCGGGGAACCTTCCGGCCAACAGCGTCCATCTTCCACTTCTGAATAATATAGGCACATTTTGGGTAATTCAGCTTGCTAAGAGCTCCTTAAGTGTCAGTCATTTCTATGATACCCGACGATTACACTTTTCTCGAAATCAGATAACTGCACTGTGTGGCATCTTGCATGTATAAAGCCTATGTTGTTTACTACACGATATTAATTAAGCGGCAAACTTCTTAAGTTAAATTAATCTTAACTCTTTAAAAGAATAATCAATAAGAAGGTAAATCCAAAGAATTCCTTTACTATGGCTACGAATTCCACGAATCGATTAAACACATAGTTTCAGATCTCAAGTCGTTTTACAGTTATACAATTTTATTACAAAAATGATGAGATTTCCAAAAATACAAACTTCACGACCAAATGATATTATTTACGGTAAATAATTAGTACTTTTTTAATTAAAAAAAAAACAAGGAATTTTTTAGATCCCTTATTTATTGTTGCTACTTCTAAAGATTATTACAAATATGAACAAAAAACTATTATTAAAAATTCAAAATTTGTAAGTAAAATCATTTAACATTATTTATTATAACCGATTTATTTTGTTACCCAGACAATTCTTCCAATATTTCCAACAATGTTTTCCGATTTGTCGCACATTCCAAAACAACAAATAGGCATAAAACCGGGAATGGATAAGATCCCACCGTTTGTTGATAAAACAAAACGAAAAGGTGATAAGGTTGATGTCACAGGAGCAGACAGAGTTAAATATTTTCACAGGTAATATTATAAACAAATTAATTTTGGAATTAATCCCTTTTTTTTAATAATAGACCGAATACAAGCGCAGTCGTTACCGCATTATCTTTTTTAACTCCAAGACATGTAACTGAAGAAGTTGTAACTCCAAAAATTGAAATGGTCAACAAAAAAATACAAACTCAATACAGGGATTCGTCGGCTCAAACATCACCGTGGCAGCCAGATTATAATCTAGCCGAAGGTAGTGATCCGGAAATATTAAAATTAGATTTTTTAAAATGGGGCGAAGGCCTCCCAGCCGGCGATCATGAAATTAAAATGATTGAAAGAGCTCGGATGAAAAGAGCTTGGGAAAAACGATTACCTCCTTTAACAAATCCAAAAAATATCGAGAAAAGACGCGAAATTATTGCGGCGGTTGAAAGAGATGAATGGGCGTTTAGGGAACAAGAAATACAAGATATTCAAGATTTACGCATGGAGTTACTTGAAAAAATGCTTGAGGAGTTATTGGATAAAACAAAAATGAGAACTGATATAAAAATGAAACTTTATTGTAAGAGCAAACTGAAAGAAAGAGATGAAAAATTGCGTAAATTGAAGGTGGCAGCTACAAGAGAAATGAGACGATTATCATTTAATCACCGTGGTATTATTTTGAAGTATCATAAAGTAAATGTTATCGATGAAGTTTCCGACTATAAATCTGAAGTATACGCTCCATTAACAAGACATGGCAATCATCCTAAACGATGGCATCAAGTTATTAACGAACACTTTAAAAAATATAACGCTAAATACGCTGGTAAAAAAATAAAGAAACAAAAACTTATATCATTCGTTGCGATTTATTTTTTTATATTTTCAATTTAGGTGTTGAGAATTACGAAACTATTCCAAAATGGTTACTACATGGCACAGAAATTCAAGATTCTAAATTAAAACTACCCGGTACAAGATTATGTATACGCGAAACTAAATGGTCTTCTCCAGTACTAAAGAAACTTCATGAAGAATTGAAATGTAAACGAACAAAATTAATTGAAACAAAATATTATTATTTTTTCATTAAGGTCTTAGACAAGTAACTAGAACTAAATGCAGACTTCGCGTTCGAATTAGAGACCCACCTGCTGAACCTCCTACTCCAGAAGTGGAAGTTGAGGAAGAGGACGAAGATTTAGAAGCTGTGACCATGATGCAAAGCATCATTCGAGGAAGAGCTGCCCAAATTTTGGTAAGCAAAAAAATAAATTCGAAATATCATTAATAAGAATAATAATATTTCAAATAAAATCAATAAACTTTGATTTATATAAATGTTAGGTATTTGCTGGTAGAGATAATTGCAGAGAATTGATACAAGAATTAAGAAGTACTCACGGTGTATTGAACGAAGAGCAAGTACAAGTGTTTAAACAGAAACTCGAAGTTAAATATGACCAACGTGAAGAATCATTTTGTATCGAAAACGTAACAATTTATTAAGGAACAAATCAAAATAATTTCCGTTTTGATAATTTTGAATTATTCATTTTCAGTCAAGTAAAATACAAGAAGCACTCAACCGGTTACAAGGAACGGTTGTTGGGACACTATTGGATTTCCTCAATAAAGAATTACGAAGACTTTTAGATGAAAGAAAAGCTCATGCGATTGGTTTGGTGGCCGAACGCGAAAGAGCAAGGCGAGAAGCCGCCGAAGCCGGAAGAAGACAAGCTGAATTAAGACGAAGAAGAGAACACGACGAAATGTTTAAACAGGTTAGTCAATAAATATGTTATCAATTTGAACGATTTTGATTAAAAATTTAAATTAAATTTAGGTAGCTAAAGTACATCAAGAAACGGTTGATTTGTATTTGGAAGATATTATAACTGAAGGATTAGAATTTGCATCAACTGAAGAGGCGAAAAAATACGTAACCAGATTAGCTGAAAAATTGGATGAAGAAATATACGAAACCGACAGATTAATAAAACACGACATCTCGGAGCAAGAAGAATTAATTGCCGATATGGTGCATCATTTCGTTTTGCCGGAAGTTGAGAAACAAATCGTTAGAGATCGAATTAAACGAAAACAGAAGGGAATATTGAGGGTGATCCATGCTAAATTATTTGGAAAAATTGAAAACCTTCCAAATCCTGATTTACGTAATATTAAAATTATAATTATTAATTATGTTACAAGTGGGATAGAAATATGGTTATTGTAACGAGTGTGAATAATTACACAAATAGGTTGTAATGCTTGAGTTTCTATCCCAAGTGTGATACACAATTTTTTTTGCGTTGTTAAATTGCAACTTAATTATTAAAGTCCACTTTTACTATCTCTTGATAAATTTATGCGATAGATAAATCCTGCTCTTAGCTAATGAGAGCGCTTAAAACCACGCTAACCATGGTAACCTTCTTCTAGTAGGTAGTTTATCAGGAGGGTGGTAAAGTTTTAATAAAAGTTACCACTTTAGTGCTAAGTACAAAATTAAAGTCTTGAAACTTATAAATTAGTTGCTTCGTAAGTCAGAAACTAGAAATAAAACTAGATTCTTCTAAATTAATTAAAATAGTGTTTAACGTGTTAATTGTCGTGGATCATTGAACTTGTTTCTGAAGCAGGTTGCAACATGCCATCCAAAACAGCAAACACATTTTAACAGAGACTAAACCCTGATTTTATTTCTATTTACTTTGGAATTTCTTTTACTCAATATGATTTAAGGAGTAAAACTCGTGTAAAATCCTATCTGCATGAATTTATTTTGATAGGACCTTAAATAATTGTGATTTCACACTTGCAATACGTTTATAGTGAGGTACAGGTAAATACCATTCTGATCCTGCCACTCATCTCGATTGAGATTCTTGTCACTCATCGCTCTTCTAACGCTCTCTCCCCAGTACTTCGTTTCACTGTTCTTTGCTGCGGTATCCACTCCATTGTTCCGGCATTCGTTGTACGTGGTCATACCATATAAGTTGTTTTTTCTCAATATCTTTGATTATTGCCTCTTGTAACCCCATTTGTTTTCGTATCACTTCATTTCTTACACTTTCCATGCGTAGTCCGTAGGGGTCTGGATTGCCAGATACGGGTGTGCCGTACCCGTGGTGGCCGAGCTCCATCTACCTGTGGGCCCTAGGTGTAACTGTCATGTTTCTGACACCAAACATGTATGGAGGGGGGATTGTCTTAACCGGCCAACTGGAGGAGTGAACTTCCTAACCCTAATTAAATCCCCTAAACCCAAGGTCAGAACTTTGCAGATGGGCTCTAGTATTGCCAGCGCCAGAGGGGTTATTCCAGTACCAAGCTGCTCCGTATGGCCCTCCTGGAGGATGGTAGTAACCTCTGGGGTTGAGTAGCGTCGCCTGTCTAACGTACTACTCATGGGACTCAACATGGTAACAAATAAAAAGTGATTATGAAACTGACAAGTAACACTAGGGAAGTGTTGTACGGCGATTTTCTTGAAACTTGGCATACAAGTAGTGTATGGAAAAATATTCGACACGTGTATCGTCATATCTGCCCGATCGCCGTTTTAAGGGTAGAAATCACCCTTGTGGTTTCCATCTTTGACTCCACAGGAACAGATGACAAACAAATAAGATCTCGTATCATAGAAGCAAAAAATCATCGGAGTTTGCAAGACGTGGGAGCGTAAAGCGTTCGCCAATCAGAAGTAAAAGTGAATCCATGGACACATAGTGATAGCAAAGATCAGTCATTGAGAAAAGTATAGCGATTAAGAAAAGAATGATTTTTTGCTTCTATGATCCGAGATCTTATTTCTTTGTCATCTGTTCCTGTGGAGTCAAAGATAGTATCCAAACATTTGCATTCGTTACAGGATTCAGATCTTCTTTTTCGCTTACTAAAACAGCTTATTGGCATAACTTCTTCCACACGTGCAACGTTTTTTTATGTAAATTTTGAACAAAGTGGGCAAAATACAGCAATCCTTGACCGGGAATAATTTTTCTGTTTCATGTTTCAGCATCTCTGCTGTTATTCCTTCTGGACCACAAATTGTTTACTTACTTTTATAGGATGTTCAATTGTTTTAATTGTTAGATTTAATACTCCCAAGTCACCAGGCTTGTTTTTATGTTATAAAAAGCTCAATATAAGCAATCTTTGTCGCAAGGTTAGTCTCAAAGATTCAAGCTAAGGCATTCTTCACGTAACTTAAGATTGAAAGGACAAGCATCTGCTGATTCCGACGCGACGCAGCAGTATCCAAAATTCAATGAAATTATTTCCTGTAATTTCTACACTCCTGACCAGGTCTTTAATGCTGACAAGATCAAGTTGGAGAACATTGAATCGTATCAAGTAGATGTATCTAGTGATTAATGTCTGTGAAGAGTGTTTTTATTCAGAACTGCTGATTCTCTTTGTACCAGTGATCTAATGATCTGTGATCCCACAAAGCGTAGATTCTGATCATCACTTATAACTCCTTGTTATCCTTAATTATATATTTATAGTAGTAATTTGAAAAAAATCCAGTTCCCAACATTACATACAAGTTCATCCAAATTATTTAATCTGCTTACACCAAATCAAAATTTGTATTACTATTATTTATTTGTTTTCAATTGTTCCAGCACGAACCGAATCTCAACTTATGAGAGCTTTAAATAAAGATACAGATGATACTTCTACTGAACCCATTCAAACAACTGCAGTGCAAGAAGGAGGAGAAGACGAAGAAAATAATGAATTTGCATTTGAAGAAATCGAGGATATACAATGAAACTCAACTTATTTAGAAAGGATGTTCATTATAAAAACAAAAAAATTAAAGTATACTGTTTAAAAAACAGCTCAATACATCCTACAATTTATATTATTACAATAAAATTGTTTTTATAATAAAATAAAGAACAGTAGATTCTCTAATTTTTTTTGTAATCAATACTAAACTGTTATTAAAAAGTAAAATTATAATAATCTCGCGATTATTCTCTGCAAATTAACGCAAAATCACTTTTTGTTACTTAAGTTTCAATGAAATAAAAAAATGGTTTTAATTTTTCTAAATACTAACGTGTAATTAAATTACTGTGGTCGATGAAATATAGGAACAGCTCCAATAAGTAATTTTTATCCAACCTTTACTAAATATATCATTTTTTTATTCCAATATTTTTCCTCAATTTGGAGAATCTACTGCACCACCATTTCATAATATAGGTACATAAACTACGCTAGTACAATAGTAAAATTAAATCTTATATCAAAAATATTGTTTTCTCTTTGTAAATACATACTATAAAAATCATATATAACTTTAAAAATGATTCTCTTTATTTGATCTCTGCTTAACTATAGGGGACTGTGGAATTGTTACCTTGCCATCACAATGTATTTGTAATTCTTTGAAATAACTAATGGGCGTCGCTTTAAATTCTGCTTTTTTACGAAGCCTTTGAATTTCTAATTGTTCTCGTTCTTTCTCCTCTTGCGCACGCTGTAGACAAATCACATCAATAAAACAAAAATAAATTATAGTAGTTGATTTTAACCTTTTGTCGATATTTTTCCTCCATTTCTTCTTTTTCCTTACGTCGTCTTTCGAATTCTGCCCGTTCTTGAGCACGGGTTATCGTGTTAAGTTGAGGATTTATAGGAACGGTTTTTTTATTTGCTCTTTTTGGTATAAAAGGTTCTTTATATAAAACTTTTGGATCCGTTGCTTTAAATGATTTAGTAAGTAATAATCCGTTAAGTGCATCTTCACTTTTCTAGAAAAAAAAATAATTTTAAAAATGATAATTATTTATTTAAGTTAAAATATTCACTGATGACTTAACACTTGAACTTGCAGATTTGCAAAAATTATTTAAAACGACAGGCATGATTGGGGTTGCTTTGAATTCCCTTGCAATTTTCTCTTCTTGAATAACCTAAATTTTTTAAAAATAATTAAAATTAACGATAATATTTATAACTTACCTTTTGAATTTTTAATTCTTTTTGATGCTGCATTTTCTTGATTTTTTCGTCAAAACTAAAAGGCTCCACCTTAGTCCTCTTTTCCACTACTGGTTGTGGCTAAAAATAAGTAAAACGAAACATATTACACGAATTTAGTGTAATAATTTTCATATTACTTTAGGGGGGATTTTCTTCTGTTCTACTTTTTTGGTCATTCTTTTAGGTTTAAACGGCACTGGTAGCTTTGGTGCAGAAAAAACGGATTTAGGTATTGGACAAGCTTGAAATTTAAATACTTCTTGTGGAGCTTCATTTTGTTTTGGTTTCACCTGGGTCAATTTAAAAGGTTTAACAACTGTAGTTTGCTTTACAGGAACTTCAGGCACCTTTGGTGTTAAAAATATCTTTTTATTTAATGGTTGTGCTTTCGGGTGATCTCTAAAACGAAATATAACAGTTTAAAATATAAGAATAATTATTTTAGGCGTAATTTACTTTTGAGCTTCCAAAAATTCTTTAAATTCAAGATCCTCTCGCGACATTATAGTTGTTGAGCGGCATCTACCTTGTGAAAGCAGATGGGGAGATTGTGGTATTGTAGATTTGGATTTAGTGTATGAAATTGCGATAGGTTTGGAACTGAATCTACTTTCTGGTTTAATCCAAAAATTTGCTACTTGTTCAGCTGTGCTGCAATATTTTGCGACATTTCTCTTTTTCTGTAAAATAAAATTATTCTTAAAACGGTGTTATTAAATGGCAAAAACCTACCAAAAATTCCAAATGAGCATCACATCTGCTAGTTACTTTAAAATTCCTGGTAACAGTAGATAATAATAGAGAATTTTATGTAATACAAATTAAATTAAACTAATTACTTACAACGCACAATTTCTTTCCATCTCTTGTTCCAAAACTATATTACTAGAGCTAATAGATTTTCTTAAGCTATAGATTGGTCCATTAGCAGTCTCTATAAAAATATAAAAAAAACTTTATTTAATATTGTATTTGGAAAGGTGGGAAAATTAAAGAAACTTAAGGAAACTATTAAGATTTTTAACCAAAACGCTTTGCTGAGAATATCATAGGTGAATACCAGGAGTTTATCAGACTCCAGCGTTTAAGATGGACTGGTCATGTGATTAGAATGGGGGACAAGAGAATGCCAAGAGGATACAAATAGTACAAACTATTGACAAAAAAAATTACCACACGCATAAGAAAAAACCTGGTTGAATACCAACCTAATAATAAGTTGTATTTAGGAACGGATTTTCAACAGAAGATTGCTTACTAACATGGAATCAACATTGAACGAGAGTAACTGACCTAATCAGAGTTGCTGTAAAGCAAAAATTCACGTGTGCTGGTTAGCAGGCAAATGGAAACGGAGAGATGTCATGTATGAAAAACAGACATTAAAGGGACATATATCCAGCAATGGATAACTAAGTAAAACAAGAACTATGCAGAGGGGCAAAAGCTTCAGTAAAGTTAAATAACCAAATATCAGAAAGCTGCAACATCACAAAAGCCATCCAACAAGCCTGCAGATTGTCACCTATACTGTTTAATAAATAAGTGCAGACCGCGCTTGATGAATGGAGGAAAAAATAAAGAGGAAAGGGAACAGACAATGCTGTATACGCAAAATTTTGCAGATGATCATATGGCAGTGGCCCAAGATGAAGAGGTTCTTCAGTATACATATATCAAGGAGATTATAGACGCACACAACCAGTGTGCCTTGGTCACAAACAGAGCAAACACATAATATCTTTGTGTAGCACATTAAAAGCTGCTAACTGAATCAAATTTAATTAATCCCATGGAAATACAGAAAGGATAAAGAGAAATGTAACTCTCAACTCAATAACTGTGGATACTGTATACAGGGTGATTCTTAACCTATACGCATAAACTTGCGGATTCATTCCTCATAACAAATAATGACTAATTGGTGAACAAAATTGTAGCAAAAGTTTTTTGGTTTCCTAGATATCCTTGAAATTAATTCTCGAATTATGAATACATAGAAATTACTTGAAACTACGATGGTGATAAACAATTGCAATTTTAACAACTGTTGTTTAAGTACACTTGTGTCATTGTGACATGTAATAACATTTGAAGCTTATAAAAATTATGGCGCACAATTTCTCTAACGAGGATCTTATGAACATGGTAATGGCATAGGGGAATCACGGCAAAATTCTGTGCTTGCGACTCGTTTCTATGCAGAAAGGTTTCCAGAGAGAACGTGGTAGGGAAAATGGCGATATTCGACCGAGGCTTGGGCAAAATGGAGAAGCAGTTCGAAGAACAGCCACAATCCATAATTTGGCGAATATTGAGGCACAACCAACTCCATCCATATCACGTGCAACCTGTATAAGCCCTACTACCAGTGGATCATCCCCCTCGAGTACAATTTTACGAGTGATTGCTACATCAGCATCACTTGAACCCAAACCTTACTAATAACGTTTTAGTTACGGACGAGGCTATTTTCACACGTAACCATGGTTTAGGCCACGCTTATGGAAAATCGTAGATTCGGCGAGCCCAATTGTGTATACACTTCATTGAAACCAAAAAACCTTTGCTACAATTTTTTTCACCTATTAGCCACTATTTGTCATGAGGAATAAACCCCCAAGTTTATGCGTATGGGTTGAGAATCAGCCTGTATAGCAAATAAATAATTTGTTATAAAGAATTGAAGGCTATGTAAACAATTTTTCTAAAGATTTAATTCTTGTATTGAATAGAGTTCTTTGAGAGCCTTCCAATACTACATGAACATCTTTCCTAAATTGTCAAATGAAACTAAAGCAAGTATGATTGCTTTTGGAATCCAAGATAGTTTCAGATTTCCCCAGACAAAATTAAAATGAGTATAATCTTTTAAGAATATATTTAACAATTCTCTAAAACGTATCATAACTTCAGGTATTAATTATTTAAATGTATTCAAGGGCAAGATGATAATATGGATGCAAATAAATTATGAGAAATTAAATATTTGCTTAATTATTGTTAGAAAACATTACCCACATCAATCAATAAATTATGTTCATATTTTATTACAAAAAAAAAATAAAAATCTGTTATGGAAATCTTAAATATTAATAAATTAAGATAAATATACAGGCTGTTTCAGCGAGACTAGGCATTAGACGTTTCTGGGGTTCTGTGCAAAATAAAAATTTGAAAATTCATTTTTAAGTATTATTGATAGCATTCTTTTCGACTAAAATATTTTCAGATTTCTAACACTTCCGGTTATACCGGTAGTCGCCACCTACTTTATTTTTTTAAATCAAAGACCTGTATAGTCTTACAAGTTTGGATTTGTCTGTTTTCAAGGCTTAGGAATAACTTTAGTTTCTGTAATTTGATTCAGCCGTTCTCGAGTTATTAGAATTTTAAAAAATTAGAGTACTCGATTTTTGAGATATCAATTTAGGATTCAGAACCCCAGAAACGTTTAATGACCGGTCTCGCTGAGACACCTGTATATATTAACATTAAGAAAATATTGATTTTAAAATTAATTTAACATGTGTTCTTACAATATTCACACTTATTTCCAAAATAACTTTATTCCCAACTTCACCATGATTAAAATAATAGATCAAAAATATTAAAAGAACATCCATCACTTACGATGTGAGTGGAAACTTATTGAAAACTTCAATAACATTTTAAAATTGCAATTAAAAAAATAAATTAACCTGTTACTGAAAAAGATTGGTAATTATCGCTATTTTCACTGTTTGTTTCCTGATTGCCATCAACTTGATCTAAGTCCACATCTAAAAAATTAAAGTATCTTATTAAACTTCCTTATAACACAAATTTACTAACATTTTATGAGAACTTACCGAAAAACGTTTCTGTACTTTCGTCATCTTCAAAGCCTTTAAATCGGGGGACATTAAAGTTCGCAAATTCCTCCATTTCGGAGATAAAAAATCCTTGCAAATAAAATAAACGCAATAAACTAACAAAATAACACTAAATTCTTCCTATTTTAAATCAGATATTTTATTAACATCTAAATAAATGTTCTTGTTTGATACAACACGTTAAAAGAATGGAAGAATGCAACGCAACAGAACCGAGTAAAGATACGTTAGTTCGTTAACACGTTTTTTCTTTTGATACATTTAAAGTTGACGCATGCCAAGTGTAAAAGCTTTCTCATTGGTTGAAATTACAAACAAGATTGCAAAAGCGTATACAGAGTCATTTAAAGAATCGGTAACATTTATGGCTTACTGTTATTTTGAAAATTACATTCGTTGTAAGCTTACGTTAAACAAAATGATATCTTCGAAATGGCTTTAACCACTTCGATTTAACTTTAAAGTAAATGAAGTTCCAATTCGGATGATACGTTTAGGGAAATTTTGTGTTAGATAGTTGGCTTAAACGAATAAATTATGTTTCGATATACAGAGTGTTCACAATAATTGTAAAAATAAATTTAAAATTCGAGTTGATCATAACAATATACAACAATCTTACTCTGAATAACAACTGACACTAATAGTAGGCCTAGAACGTCTAGACTAGAACTGACAGTAGCACTACAACTAACACTAGACCTATAACTAGTATTAAAAGATTCGAAAAAAGAGACCGGGACATGGCACCTACTTTTTTCGTTTCTCTTATAGTTTCTGAGATAGCCTATAATAACACCGAAATTTGCCCACCTGTACAGGTGGTTCAAATTCGATATCCGAATAGGCTAACTCGGAAACTAGGTATAAGAGTTAGAAAAAAATTAGATAACATGTCATGATCTCGTTTTTCGAGAAACTGCTAATGCCGAAAACCTCAAAGCGCTATCGACTTTTGTTTTTCCCCTAGAGGCTCAAATTGAAAATATCGTAAAATCAGCAAGTGCAATTATCTTGGTTATTATTATAGGTGGAGTATTATAACTAACAATAAGACATTATATGGACACTTTTTTACAGAGAATTTCATGACGTAGTCAAAAAATTTTGATTTTGAGAATTTTCGTTTTTTTAAATGGACACAAACACTGATTATTTCCTTAATTATTATCCATTAACCAATTTAATGGTTATTTTCTTCTGATTATAAAAATATAGTGTTTGACAGGTCTATTTCTTATTGTTTTAGAATAAAGCTAAAAATAAACTTTTTTTTAGTGTCGTCAAAGAAATTAAATTTGCAGTTTCCTGTAAATTATACCTAAAAATTAAAAATACATATTACTGATATTTGAAAAAAATACATTTGTTGAACTATTTCATTTATATTTGTTTTATACAAAAGATGGAATAGATTGCATTATTTCACATTTTTTATTAATATTTAATATTGTTATTAAATGACTTAATAAATTATTGATAGATGGCACTCATATATATTTTTAATTCAAATAAACATAGCAACATTTGTTTATATTCAAACATTTTCTGAAGTGTCAAATTAAAAATCCTGTTTTTTAAGATGGATTACGAAAAGTTTAACAAGTTAGAATGTTACATATTAGAAAATAAAGTAAATTTTATATTAATTTTTAATAGAATAATTTTTAGTTATAGTACCGTAATTTACAGGAAACTGTAAATTTAATTTCTTTGACGACACTAAAAAAAGTTTATTTTTGGCTTTATTCTAAAACAATAAGAAATAGACCTATGTAACAACATATTTTTGTAATCAGAAAAAAATAACGAATTTAATAAGCGGTGGTTGTTTCCATTTAAAGAAACGAAAATTGTCATAATATACAGCCTGTTTCAGAGTAAGCGCCTTATTTTTGTTTAGCCGCCCTATGGGTACTACTTTCAAAATATTTACAGTAATATGTTTTAGGACATTCTCTACACGATGGTGATATCAGATTTTCAATTGGACAAATTATTTCAAAATGGCGACTTTCAACTTTTTCTTTATTAATTTTCTTTTTATTGTTGAGATCCTAAAAACATTCTTTTTACGATAGTATTTCGTTTTTCTTAAAAAATCATGTCTTACCTCATCAAAAAGCAAACTAACATTTTAATCTAGTAGCGCACGAATGTTTTACTCGATGTTATTTTTGTAGCCGTTGACACAAAGGAAACAATTAAACTTTACTTTGTAATAAACATCTACTTTTTGAAACTCAAAATTAAAAATTTACTTCAAATAAAAATTAGGTATTTACAAAAAATACTCGAAATGCTTTCCTTCTTTTTCAATACATAAATTGAAACTTCGTTCAATGGAGTCAATAGATTGATAGCATTGGTTGACGTTTGACTACTAGATTAAAGTTTAATTGTTTTTTTGTGTCTACCGCTACTTGATATTTGGACAAAAATAACATCGATCGTAAAACATTAACGAGCTACTAGATTAAAATGTTAGTTTGCTTTCTGATGGGGGAAGACATGAATTTTTAAGAAAAACGAAATACTATCGTAAAAAGAATGTTTTTAGGATCTCAACAATAAAAAAAAATATGGCATTCCATTTAAAAAAAAAAGTTGAAAGTCGCCATTTTGAAATAATTCGTCCAATTTAAAATCTGGTATCACCATCGTGTAGAGAATGTCCTAACACATATAACTGCCAAATATTTTGAAAGTAGTACCCATAGTGTGGCTAAAAAAAAATAAGGCGGTTACTCTGAAACAGGCTGTATATCAAAATCTAAAACCAAACATTTTTTTTTGACTGCGTCATCAAATTCTCTGTAAAAAAGTGTCCATATAATGTCGTAGTTATAATACTCCACCTATAACAATAACCAAGATAATGCTGGTTTTACGATATTTTCAATTTTGGCCTCTAGAGGAAAAACAAAAGACGATAGCGCTTTGAGGTTTTTGGCATTAGCAGTTTCTCGAAAAACAAGATCATGACATGTAAGCTACTTTTTTGCTAACTCTTATAGTTTCCGAGATAGCCTATTCAGACATCGAATTTGAACCACCTGTACATATACCATTGACATGTTTTCCAATTTAATGTTTGAATTCAATTTGTATTATATTACAATGTAATTATTGTTAAATTGACACACTCTACGATTTTTTGGTAAAATGGGGGAATAAGGTATTATTATTATTATAATGATTTTATCGCCTATATCCGTTACTTTACGGACACTCTGTATAGTGCTGGTGTTCTATAAATAGTTTTAGTTCAATATAATACATTAATAATAATAAAAGTAGTGAATCGGTGCATATCTGAGCTTATGGTGCAAATGGGTTATGTTATATGGATTTACTGTAAAAAAGTAAACAATAAAATTCGCACAATAAATTTTAAATTTAATAACTTCTTACTAACGCCATCTTTTGCCCGGCGATCGTTTCTATTGACAATTGCGGACTCAGTCCGCCGAAGACTTTAGAAGTTAAGAAATATGAATTATCACATCCAATAAACGTGATAAGTACTATCAAATAATAAATTTTGAAATTTACAGAGAATGTATTGAGATTTTCCAATATAAACATTTTAAATTAGTAGATAAGTTATCATCACTACAAAACAAACATAATATGTGCATACATATGTTTGTTTAAAAATACTGCAATATTTATTGTATTAAGATTTTTGATAATAAATTATCATTGTTATTTATTGATAGTAAACGACAAGGTTTAAAATGTTTTATATGATTAAATAAACATAAAATAATACATTTTCAAATTCATTCTAACGTAAACGCAGGTTTCATATAACCTCAAAAAATTGTGTCGTGTACAACGTGTGTATTGCTGTTTATTGTGTAAGTTTACGTTTATGGCTAAGCGAAATTTCGTGTTGAAACACAACCAACTGTAATTACTCAAGACTATAAAGGCTCGATAAATCATCTTTGTTAATTAAAAAGTCGCGTGTCTCGCTAAATAATACCTACAACTTCCCATTATTCATTTGGAAATTAATAGTTCTCTTCTCAAAATTCTTCGTTTCGCAGGTAAGGAATGATTATGCATATTCTTTATTTATAATTCGTTTTTAAATTAATACTAATCTTTGTTTTCTTTTTCCCCTTTCCGTTTTCTTTCTTTTCATTTTTAAATTTAGGTTTTATTAGAATGGCTTCGACGAAAACTAAATCGAGGCCCTTGGTGCTTTGTGGTCCCTCCGGATCAGGTAAAAGTACCTTCCTAAGTAAATTGATGACGGATTTCCCAAATAGATTTGGATTCTCAGTTAGTCACACAACCAGAAAACCTCGGCCAGGTGAAAAAGAAGGTGATCATTACCATTTTACCGATAGGGAGTCTATAAAAAAAGCAATTGATGCTGGAGATTTCATTGAATCTGCTGAATTTAGTGGAAATATTTATGGGACAAGCAAAAAAGCTGTTGAAACTGTGTGTGAAAAAGGAAAAATATGCATATTAGATATTGATATTCAAGGTGTTAAGCAGGTTCGGAATACACACTTACAACCGTGGTATATATTTTTAATGCCTCCTTCATTGGAAGTTTTGGAAAATAGATTAAAGAGTAGAAACACAGAAACAGAAAAGAGTTTAAAATTAAGGTTAGAGACAGCTGCAAAAGAAATCGAATATGGGACTACTCCAGGCAATTTTGACTTTATTGTTATTAATGATAATTTAGAACATGCTTATTCACAATTAAAAGGATTTATTGAAGGTAATGTTTTAAAAGAGGACAACAATATCAATGATGTTCAAATAGCTTAAATTATTTTTGTCTATCTGATTAATTGACTGTTGATAGAATGTTTAAACTTATTTAATTAGAAAGGAAAGAATAAATGTGGTTATTTTAAGAAATCAATTATATTAATGTGGGGTACTCATGTAGAAATATTTGATTAAAAAATGTATATTAATTCTATTTTATTCATTATGAGAGTGTCTGTTAAAGATATCAATATAAAAAGGACTGTAAAGTAGAATAAGCATTTATCCAGTCAAAAAACTGAATGTTAAAAGTAGCAATAAATGTAAAACAACAATGTTATTGTATTAATGGTAGAAATTAACGAAATATTCATCTATGAAAGTGAGATAGATATAGTAATAAATGTGTTAAGTTTCTTGAAACTTTTTTAAATATTTATTTGATTTCTTATATTTGCCAATTAAAAAATAATATCTACTCTGTCCAGAAAGGTTTACTTTTATTGTATATGCACTCATTTCACTACATTTTCTTTTGCATTTTATTACTAGTTTCTGTATTTAATTGCAGGTTTGTCAAGAACATCTGTTCTCAACTAAATTTCTTTTGTTATTACTATTATATTTAGATAATTTATTTTTTTATACTGTTCATATTTTTTGTGTAAGTCATTAGCTTAAATATTATACTTATTTTGTACTTTTTATTTATTTACTACCAATGTTAATGTAAAATCTTTAAGTTGATTAAACCATTTTTTTGTATATTTAAAAAAAATTATGTGTTAACCACTAAAAAGAACATCACTTTTACTTAATAGCTGAATCAAAGATTAACTGTAACAACTTAACTTAAACAACGACTCGTTTTATTTGAACAGTAGAATTTAACATCTGTTCCTGTAATCTGTGAGTACGTGATATCTAATAAAGTTTTCTCCAAGCATCTTTTTATTATTTATTTATCACGATTCCAAAATTCCGACTAGAACTCCGCCTGGGGCAGGATTTAGATGCCCAATAAGTGTCACAGTGTAAGATAAAGCCTCAAAAAATGGACGGACAAATCGGATAAAGATTACGCATGAACAAGGACGACAACAAAAACGATTAAGGAGTAATATCACCAGACTGGGATGGTGTAACATCACGTCATGGATCGGTAAGGATCTTGAGATTGTTATCGGGATGGAAAAGCACAAATTCAATATACAGGATGTATCTAAATTGATGCGAAAGATCAAAATAAAGCCTATATACTTGGAAAAATACAACATTGAATCCTTATTTGTGGAAAGTACATGAAAATTTTAGACTGAAACTAGTATACAAGAAGCTGCAAAAGAGCCGAGATGTTCCGAGATCTGGGCGAGCCACTTTTAATAATTATAAACTGTGTACATAATGTAAGGAATCAATTCGTGAGATATTCTTCCAGAAAAAAAAAGGCTTGGACATCTCTTATTTTTTTAACGCACATTTTTTGAGATAAAATTGAAATGTACAGGGTCCCAAAATTGAGATACGATCCCTAACTTGACAGTTTTAAATAGGAACCCCCATTTTTTGTTGCATTTATGGGTTCCACGTAAAATTCTGAGAATTTTTCATGTAGCACATCCTGTGTTGATATTAAGTTGTCTTAATTATTTGCGACGATCCTAAAGGAAAAGCAGAAGTGCAAATTGGGAACAGAGAAAAACAACTAAGATTCCGAAAATACAGATCAACAACAAACGCCATATTTATCATCAAGCAACTAAAAGAGAAATCAACAGAATTTAATAAACCCGCCTACCTTTGCTTCATAGAAATGACAAAGGCATTTGATAATGTATGCCGCCTATCAGACATTCTACGCATACTGGAGAAGCAAATACCATTTCAAATTATAAAATTAATCCAAAGTCTTGTTACCGGCAACGCAATAAGGATCAAAGCTGGTGAACACACAACCTCAAATATCGAAACACTAGGAGGAATGAGAAAGGTTGAGCAGGAATGAGCTTAAACTATCGCTCATTCCTGCTCAACCTTTTGATGGATGTGATTATACAACAGGTGGCATCATTGGATTAGTCAGCCATGACAAAGCCATGACATTTTTCAAGGAACCAGTGTGGTGCAAACTAATTGTAGAGGAGTATGCGTGACTGTAGTAGATACAGTCACGGTCTTGTTAGAGAAGTAAGAAGTTAAGTAAATAAAGCAACAGCCCTTTTGGGTGCTGAAAGGTGTGTTCAAATATAGTGCGGCGCACTTGTATATAGATGTGCAAGTAAGCAACAAGCGGCGTTTGGACATAGCAACGAACATTTGCGCGGTAGTGTTACGCGACATATGCGAGACACTCCGTGCATTAAAAACGTTCGCGAGCGGCAGGTAGAGTGCGGCATGTCACGCCCGAAGACATCCAATCACCGCGCAATGTTTGGCACACCCTAAGAGACACAATTAGGTCAAATCAATACATGTGAACAGATAGCATAAGAATTTATAAAACCCGCATCACATTATGACCTACAGTATAGAGGCCTGTGGAGATACCAAGAAGACAAAAAGAATGCTGAAGGTTGCTGAAATGAAAACTTTAAGAACTATTCTAGGCAAAAGCGAAGAGACAAAATAAGAAATACTAACATCCATATACAGTCTAGAATACAGGACGTTGTACGATGGGCCAGAAACATACAGCGGAAAAGAGAATGCTACAGCCATGTGTATAGACTACTGCGTACAGCAATGGAGGCAAAACCAGCAGGAAGCCGTCCATTAAGAAAATGGTGCAGGAAAGCTGGCAATCTAAACCTCAGGAAGTCCTCCGACAACGATTTCAAAATTAATAGACTGACAGATCTAAAAGAAAGAATCTTTAATGTTAGAATTAACTCAACAAATTCGGAAACTAAATGTATTAGAGCTGGTGTCTTTCAGGACAGCGTCCTGAAAATCTGGTATCTATCTGCCTGAAGTATTTTATAGCCGAAAAGTGCCGAAAAAAAGGAACCACGTAGCAGAAACTATGCAAGAATCTGTCTTGTTTATGGTAAGCATATTTGTCGCAAACATGCCTAGTAAGATACACAGATATTTACATGAGAACAACTAGATTTTAAAATAAAATTACAACAGAATGTGAAATAACATTACTGTTAGACGAATTATTTAAAATTATCCATATAAAAGTGATATAAAAATAATTAAAGGTATATAATAGTACATAGAAAATACTTTATTTTGTTACTGTTAAAACATAATAGGTAAAATACATTGAGCCTGTAAAATTTAATTATTAATAAATTGGATGGTGAAATTTTAATAAATCGAGTGTGTGACAATTTTATGATTGTAATTGTATTTTTTATTAATCTTGATATTGCTGATAAAATTCGCTTATACAAGTGATCTGGAAGAACTGAAACACAGCAACAGTGAATTCCATCTACTAAAAAATGAATCATTCTGTATCAAGAAAAGGAAAATTCTCAACGATTATTTCTTGGTTCAAATGGTTCAAATGGTTCAAATGTAAGTAATTAACTGTTGCTGTGGGTCAAATTTGAATAACTTTGTTAAACGAAAACAAGATTTTATTACAAAATACGACCAAACGTTAACAAGCGGCAGCATTTATTTTAGTTTACTAAACTTAATAAACGTAATAACATATTTAAATTTATTTATGTTTTGGTGCTCAGAAATAACACAATATTAGAGCGTAATGATTATGAGAGCGATACATATATTTATAAGTGTTCATTTAACACATTTTATTAATATTTATTTCTTTTTTATTTTATTTACAATAGCGTTAAAACACAGCCAGATTTATAACTTTAATTATAAAATTAATGTACGCAAATAAATTTTTATATCATAAAACATTTATGTAAAGAAAAAAAATAGTCAATTTAAATTAAGAGAAAATGATTTTGATAAAAACACAATAATTAATGTTGAATAAAAAAGTTATCTGGCATGTGCTTGCTCCGCTTATATTATTAGATTTAAACACATACATTTTATATATATGTAATACATTAATTTTCTTTATTTTTTGAGATTTTGTATCTACAATCATACCTGCTACGATAAATTCAGAGTTATCGTTTTCTTGTTGTTCAGTTACTTCATATTTGAGGTTTAAGTGTTAAGATTGCAAGTTATAAGAATCAAGTTTTTTTATTACAAAAACAATTTTATTGTGTTTGAGTCCAAAAGTTAATATTCTGTAAAATATTAAATATTAATCAGATTTCGGATTCGAATAAAAACCAACAATTTTTTTTTATTTAAACCTTTTAATTTTTTTAATTCAAATAATTTATTTCTTTAACCTACTTAGTTTCGTTTTTATTAACATCCGAATTCGTATCGGCATTTTAACTCTTCCCAGTTAAATTATTACTTTGATAAAATGCAATAAATTCATTTTGTGTGATATCTACGTACGTATTATAATGAGCGCTGGTGATAACATTAACAATAACAGCAACAACATTTCAATCTTAATTTTATTTTTTTTTTTTTAATTTTTTTCTTGTAGCAACAACAATATATAAATTTTTATACATATCGGTAGAAAATTATATAGAAAATGTACATAGTTTTGTACGTGTTCTCGACGGCTCAAGGGACGTTCTGTGCATTTCTTCTTGTGCTATCTACAAAAAATTTGGTTTTTATCCCTTAAGTGGTAGAGAGGGTTTAAAGCTATTTTTTTCATTTAGTTTTTAAATTTTTTATTGTGGATTACGAGTGGTTACGTATTCGGCTGCGGTAATTTTAAGTGCCAAATATGATAAATTGACTTTAAATCAGTTGAAAGGAGAAGTACAAATTTTATTGTCATATTTAATATGCAAGCTACGTTTTAGTGCGAAAATTTTTTCATTTTCGTTGTAAATTTACGGAACCTGCAGAAAAAATTTTGTAACATCCATAAATTAGCGTTTGGTGCTATTCATTATTAGCATTTTTATGTTTTTTAGTTAAGTTAAATAGAACGAAAAATTAAATACGTATTTTATCCCGGCATCCACAATATTCCAGCCACGTTTCGCAGTGTTTAATTATCGTCATTTGATTCTATATAATTTTCATATGCGACTCGGTTTCCATCATCATTTGGAGATCTTCAAGTCGCTATTTTCACAATAAATTCGCTGCTCTACACACCACATTACTCTTTGAACATTAGGATGATTATTATTATTATTATTATTAGTATTATTTTACTTAATCCATATTTAATTTTTTTTGTTTAATTTTTCGTACCTTAAAATCCAAGCTTTATCTGTGATTCGTTTAAACAAAAAATTGTTATTTTACGAATTACAGATAAAATTACAGTTAAGTACATAATAATTCACCTTAATTTTAAATTCACGTTATTACGTTTTTAAATCGTAGTATTTTTTTAATGTTTAAAGGATATACGAGGAGACGTGTAAATTCTTTTTTTCTTTTCTCTTTATCATTCGTTCATTTCTTTTTTTTTAATTTATCTATCATTCTTGTGCAGCTCATAAGAGTTTCTCGCGGATCGGAAATGAAGAGGCGTTTATTATTCTGTGGTGGTGTGACGGCAAATGTGCTGTTGGCGTTTTGGTGTTTTTGTTCTTTGTTGGGGTTCTCTTGTTCCATCACAGTACAGTTTCCATTTCAGCTATTTCCGTTCGAGGTCTACAATTAAAAAAGAAGATAAAATTAAATTTAATATCACATTACAAGTAAATATTTTAATTAACTTGAATTCATTTCTAGGAAATAATTCGAAATAACTTTTGTAAAGCTCTTAACTCTTGAAAATAATTCTTGGATATTTAAAATGTTGTTGCTTTCTATTTCTGGTGTTCATTTCAATTTAAATTTCTAATAAGTCTAATTTTTGTATGGGATTTAGTTCTTCCAATTTATTGCCTTTGTTAAGGCAATTTTTGTTTGATATTATGAGTAACTGTCCAGAAAGATTAATATACAAGTACCAAAATTTGAAAACTGCCAAAGCGGATTATCCCGAAAACGAACGGAAAGCCCTAAATTTAATCTTGTCTCCTTTTATGTTGGAATATCGGAAAAGATGGGTCGCTGTATCAAAGTAAAAAGGAGGATTTTTTAAAGAAGATTTTTCAGATTATGCTTTTAAATCCAGAAGAACTGGAAACCCTAATTATATTCTCGGCGAGTATTAACGTCCGGAATGCTAACACTTACCAGACAAATATGTAGTGGAGGGCCATTATCACTTATGTGCCAGTATTTCCCAAAAAACTTCTAAACCCCTTCTCAAATTACCGAGTACCCTTCGTAAAAGAATTGCATATACTTTAATTACAATCAAAATATATTTATTTCTTCCTTATTTAGTACATAATCAAAATATCTACTCCATTATGAACGATCTTAGCAATATATATATCTGTGAGGTTTTTCTCATTGATGGCCTTCGTTATTCCTTCATCCTACGTCTTCCTAAGCTTTCCTTTCTTACTTCGTTCATTGGGCCAACCCAACCCATTTTAATGCTATCTTTTTTGTGATATCTTCTATAATAGTTTCTTTATATTTGCTACTTGTAGCACATCATTTGTTATCCATTGTTTTCTCAAGATTCCGCATGATCTGCTAAGAACGTCCATTTCGACTGCTTATTCTATTTTTATGGGCTTCTGTTAACTTCCACGTTTCTGCTCCGAACAATGCTATACTTTTTACAATGAAACGTGCTGGTATGACTGGAGCTAGTTCCGACGCGGTACTGTTTTTATCCAAGAACGTTGGTGGGAAAATTTCTTTGTCAAACATCGTCATTTGTCTAAATGTTTTGGATGAGGGACTAACTCGCGTTAGTAGCAGAATCCTACTTTTTACGAGGTCAATCAATCGTCGCAGCTTCCCACCTTATGGTGTATGGAAGCTTTTAGGGCAGTTGAAAATAGGCCTGTTTTTGTTCAAAAGTTCTGCAACTCCGAACAGTTCTGAACTACAGAACTCTTAAACCAAAACAGGCCTAATGTGTTCTGTAAAAGACCAGAAGTAGCACAGACCGTTAGAGCACCTACAAAAATCAACACTTCAGTTCTGCGATCTTCTAGGTGTTTTGGGATTGTCAGGTTGTTTAACTCATCGATCTTCATGTTGACCTACGCTTTCATTCATACAAAATAGTAATCGTACAATAACTTTCCGAACGTGATTTGGTTCCGACAAGCGGCATCACACGTTTCTGCACCATATAATTAATATAAATACAGTTTACTTTTTCTTGAAATTTACTCACAAATGCTCTTTATAGCTCGTCTTCCCTGTCTTAAATGGTTTTTTATTTCTAATGAATCGCATTTCTTATCCCCTTTTTATGTTGACATGAATCACCAATTCCACTCTTCTGGGATCGGTTTTCCGATTACGTATCTCGTGAAGAGATAACTTTTCATACTACATAGTTCATCTGTTCCGTTCTGTAATAATTCAGTTTTAATGATTCTCGGTACACTTGCCTACCTATTCTTTAATCTCTTAATTGGTTCTCTCCACTTCTATATCCAAAAGTCTGTTCCTGTTTTTCAATTTAATGTCTAGAAATGCTGAAAACGCAAATTTACATAGGTAAGAAGTTGGAAAAGGTAAGATATATTTTAGATACATTGTTGTATTTGTAACCAAAATGATGCTAAAGTGCACTCCTTAAGTTTATTTTTCAAAAATCCTGAAGCTAATTCTAACAATCACTTATTCCGCATACGATAAACCTTCTGGCAAGGATATATAAGTTGGAAACTCTTATATCCTGTGTTATGTTTTATAGTATCAGCATCAGTTTTAGTAGACGAACTTGTAATAAACTCATGAAAAAAAGAAGAAAGAAAACGAGTCGATTTCTCCATTAGCAACTCCCTGTTGCCATAAATTTAGGTTTGTGGTTGTAGCTTTTACCTTATCTTGAAGGTGAAACAATGAAATTTCTTTACGTTGAACGATAAGTTGAGACAATTTAAAACAGTGAATATATCTGCTAAGTATGCCAGTTTACAAAGCCCTTTCTGGTGAAATATACAATTTTTCTGTTCAAATATATCAAATATATCTTGAAATTCATGTCTAAGTATAGATAATAAGTTTTGAATTTATCCTTGAGATAGCCAACGAACATCGGTATGAAAAAGAAACTGTGTATGAGTACTGCCCATTTCTTAATATATTTCTAACCCAGAATTTTCTATACATCAGCGGATATCTTACGTATTTACGTATTGCCAAAGCGCTTCTTTTTGTATGCAACAATGTGCTAATTTGACATTTGCGACAACATTTTGACCATACTTTTTGCTCCATCTTATAGAGCAAATTTCGTGCTTATTCCAACACGTCTATTCCAATCAATTTTATTCCGTTGCATAAATTTATGCATAATATTAAAGATATCTTCTCTTGTTGTGTGACCTATTAAAATAAAAAGCTGGCAAAATAAAAAGTCGACTTGAAATTCCTTTTCGTATCCATCAAACGCCATACGATTTGGAAAATTCGCAACATCTGTGAACTCATCGACTTGCAATACATTACATGTTGGTTCTGTGTCGAAAACTTTTACCGACTTCTTGTTGCTTACTTTTTTGTTGTTTTGTCCCGAATAGTTGCCAAAAATCCAGTAATGTTCAATAATAATAAATTAATGAATTATTAGGGCGGAATTAATGTTTTTGTTTCCACCATATCCAAATAATTAATAGACAATTTTCAATTTTTCGGAAACTAGATTCTACTTTATCATGTGTTGGTCGTAGTTTCGTTTCGTTGGAAAACAAACATAACGATTTCGTAGCACTGTATGGAAACGACACTTTAATAATAACGGGTTTGTGGCGAGGCCATAAACTGTTCGTAAGTTCGGTTATATTTGGAATACGGTTTGGCCTACTTTTCAACAAACTTTAAAGTCCCAACTGATTTAGAGCTACTTGTTATGAGCTTACGACACGATTCGATCTACGAACATTTTTCGAAAGCCAATATTTCTAATAAAATTTAAATTATGGTGATGCGTCGTTCTTTTTTCGTATTATACAGAGTGATCCTGTATTAATAGCGCGTGTTTCTACATTTTTAATTGTTTTGTAATCTGGATTAATTTATTATATCAACGTTCCCGTTGCTATACTCCTGTCATTTTGAATTTAAAAGCCTTTTAAATGTCTCAATAGTTAATGGGTGCATTCATCAACCGTCAACGTTTGAAAACAAAACCTAAACTAGTGGTAATCCTTCTAATGAACACAAATCCTACTTCAAACGTGTTTGGTAAACGCATACCATTTTAGAAAACGCAAAATTTATCCTTTGACAAATGTAAACGTTGACAAACGGTTGAAAACCTAAGCGTTTGCCGACGTAAACGGGATGCTTTGATGAACGCACCCTTTCAATAGTGGAAGTCAAATAGATAATAACTTCAAAACCAAATAAATCCACGAAAACTATAATTCTTTTTCTGACCAAATTAATTACATTTGAACATATGGTTAGTGCAAAAAGAGCTATCTATGCCCAAAAATATGTCAAAAGAAACTGAGTACGCCAGTCTTTAGATTTTTGTTTTGAATTGGGTCACAGTAAGAATTACATTTAAAATATTGATGTACATTGAGGGAATTAAGTACCTTAATTCATATGTATGACATTACAGAATATGTTATTGCTGCACCGTATTTGTTGCTTTAAACACTTCTGTTTAATTCATGATTTTGTGTTTGCGGTTTAGTTTCGGTTTTGCCGGCACTCCGTAGAGTGTTTGCCTAGAGAATCTGAAATGCCCTAAATAACTGGCCACAAGAAATTCAGGTTTGTAGATAGGCATTTATGGTATAATAAAAAAAATTATGTTGGAGCTATGAGAGAAATGGAGTCAGAACATAAAGCATTCTCGTAAAATGCAGCGCAATCTTTATGAAACAATTTTCTATCACATAAAATCTTTCAAAGGCATTAAAAGCCACACAGTATAAAAAATTGTAAAAGATTTTATTTGCTTGAAAACCTAAAACTATAAAAAATCTGCGTTAAGTTAAAAATGTACAAAGAATTCGAATACGAATCATTTACAGTCAAGATTAAATCCTTCCGATTTGACATCTCTACTGTTGAAGATGTACCAAGGACAACTTGGCGAAAGAGATGAAAATCCTTAATGATTTAGATAAATGGAAGACTGAAGTATTTTATAGACGCAAAAAAGCAGCTGCAAGTCAGGAACTATGGAAGCAACCCTGTAAAAATATTTGTTACAAACATGTCTAGTAATGACATTTGTTTTAAAAGTCAGTGAAATGCAGAAAATCAAAAGTCAGTTGAATGTGTATGTTTTCTGTGGTTTTTAATATTCATATTCTGACCATTCTGATTAATTTAAAAATACTACCCCGAAGCGGTTGCAAACAAAAGGAGTGCTGCTGTATTCTGCTGTGTTCTTTGCTTCAGCATTTTTGCTATAATTATGTGCATCCTAAACTAAAGGAATTTGACATATTCTGTAATTCTTTCGGAGGCCAGATTTTGTACAATATAGTCCAGAGCGCAAACTTGATTACGCTAATATTCGCGAATATTCTTATATGGGACTTGATAAAAATATAGGTATAATAAATTTAATGGAAAAGTAAAAGCTGAACTCATATCAGACTGAATTGAGATTATTAAAGATGCAGGTACTACATCATGTTTTTTGACGAAGTAGATGTTGACCAAACATGTTTCTGAATGTGAAGAAATACCTATTTCCAAGGTATGTAATACTAAAATTAAAAATCCAATCATTCCAAATTCATTCATTATTTTTTCAATAAGTTTGTTTGAGAAAAACCGAGTTGATAAACTTTTGTGTAGGGTATTTCTGCATCCTTTGCACATTTGTTTTGTATCGGTCCATATATCTTTTGCTCCATGTTCCGTATCAATATGTTGTTCTTGGTCTTATAATAGTGCTCAACATTAGGTGTTTGTATGCATAGTAGTCCTTATTGCCGCTATGTATTGTAGCCTCGATTTCTTCAGTAACCTTGTTGATGGATCCTAAATATATAATGGTTTGTACTCGATCAAATTTCCTATGTTAAAGTGGTCTGGGTCTCCTTTCAAATTCTTGTGGATACCATATTTTGTTTTTAATTCGTTAGTTATGAGTCTTACTTTTGAGGCTTCTTTTGTGAATGAAGTACATTTTTTCATCAGTTCTCCTTTGGTCCGACTTCAGATTTTTGGTTTCATCAGTACGATGAAATTTTGCATTCCAAGCTTTTGTATGACAGCTTCTACAACCAGATTAAATATTATGGAGGATAACGCGCCACCTTGCCTGACTCGACAGTTTATTTCAATCAGTTTTGTTAGCTCTTCCTGAATACTGACAGTTGTCTTCTATCTAGTTAGCGTGATACTACTTTAGTTTAGCAACTTCTGCAGTATACCCAGTTTTCCTAGGTGTTGTAGCATATTTTTTCTATTTATTTTAGCAAAGGAAATGAATTTTGAAATCTCTCAAGGTTCGTTCGAAAGAGACGTTGGTTTTTAGGCCTAACTGCATTTTGTAAGTGGTGTAAGTGGATGACACCTACCCTGAACTCTTCTGAAATTACCTAGTTCTTCTTTGAAAGATTCATAATTATTAGATAACTCGATCAATGGATAGTTATTGTCATCCTAGCACTGATAATGTATTTGCTCTTGATTACTTTTGCAGAAATTCATTAACTATGCACTTAGAATTAATTGGTTTTGTGAATAATTTTAATAGTTTGGAGAAAATGTGACTTGACTTGAATTTTACCGAAATGTCGCTTAGAAACTTATGATTCTAAGATCGCAATATAAAATTAATATACTTACTTGTTTAAATCCGTGTTACTTCCTATATAATTCGGATTGAGACCCCTCAGTCTAGCCCTAGTCTGTTCGCCGGACACAATTACGCTGTAAAATATAAGTGGCATTAATTAAAACGGTAAAACTGGTCCACCTCTTTGTACACGCGAGGTGGATTTCTGCGTGCTTAAAGACCTATAACGTCCTCGAGTGCCGTGCTGGGACAATCATTGCTCTAATTGCCCTCGGGGCGCTCTCGTGTGAATTTAATGGCGCTTCTCTAATAGGTATACTTTGTCTACGTCTGTCAACGTAGACATTCACCTATGTTACAATACGTTTTACCCCAAGGTAAAATCAGTGAAATTGTTCTCTTAAATTAAATCGTTCATTTAAGGATTAATTTGAAAAAAAGGAAATCCTTGAATTAATAAATTTAGTAATTTTCTTAAACCTATTACTTCTGGGTTATTCACCATTAGTAATAATTATGCCATAGTTTAATACGATTGTATTGATAAATCATTCAAGTGTAGAAACTGTTCAATAAAACTGAATTATACGTATTCCCGATCGAATTGGTGCGAACTCATTCGAAACGTTGGAATTAATCCGGATCCCTTTTGGGAGACGAGATCCTCGCCGGCCTGCTTCTCTTTGGTGCGGTCAGCGGTAGTAAATTAGAAATGGGTATACCCGAATCGGATGCAGCTATTCGTGAGGACTTTTCACGACTACTATTCAACATTACATCGACGATAAATAACGAACGCTTTCGTGACCCCGACTAATAAAAGTGTAGCCATCCCAAAAGACCATAAAACCTCGATAATACAGGATTAATTTAAAATTATGTATTGTTTATGGCACTCATTTTTATTTCCAACTTTATTATTTAACTTAAAATTATTAGTGTAATACTAACATTAATACAAGAGAGCACCCCATTTTGGGTAAAACATACATAGTTAAACAATAACTTATGTTTATTGAAACAGAAATATCTTGATTAATCAATAACAAATGCACGTACAGGCTATGTTCTCCTTGATACGTGTGGTAGAGCATGCACATTTGAACATTACAGCTTTGCAAACACAAACAATTCCACAAACACGCATTCCATACATAACAAGCTGTTTCTAGTCTACCTTGGGTTTTGGATTGCAAGCGATCACACAACGACTTACTCGGGTGAATGGGACGATCCAAGACAGGACTTGCAACAGTTGGATCGTCGATGACGCCTACTTATACATTAACAATTAACAAAGAGACGATTTTTTATTATATTCAATTGTATGTATAAAACTTTGTGTTTTAGCATTTAGTCCGTCACAAACGAGACAATAACTTTGTTTTCTTCAAAGTTGTTTTCTATTTTAATCAAGTTTGTTATCTTGTTTTGTAAGAATACACGACGAACAAAACTTATTTATGGTCCGTAGAAATTGTATCTTTTCAATGAAATGTTAAGATTTTATTGGGTCCGATGCGGTTTCATCAGACTTTTGTGTGCTTTCAGTTAGAAAAGATTGAAGAGGCTCTTTCGTAAACCTCAAATCTAAAATGAAACTATCGATCCGGAGTTGATTGAACCGTGATTCTTAAGACGTCTAACATGAAATACTCAACATAAAAGAGTTTAAAAAGATGATTGAAAAATTATTATTTCTAATGCAAACGGACATCATAGATACAGAATGAGTTATAAAAAATCTAAATAATTAATTTACTTTGTAGATTTCCCCTTTTTTTATATACTCACTCAGTATATTATAAGATTATGGAAATTGAAATATCACAATAGCTTAGTGCAGTACAAAACTGCCATACACATGCCAAGTGCACCCATTTTTCCATTGAACAAAAAAAATCACAAGATTTAAATAATAAAACGGTGTAAGTCGTAAAAATGATATGAGTAAATATAGAGAATAATTCTCTAAATAAAGATGAAATTACCGTGTCATTGTGAACAATATCCTAATCCATTTCCAGTGCACTTACCGTTTGCAAGCAGGCGGTGGCTTTAATCCGTGCGCTTCCAATTCCTTCTCAAGTTGCTTGCACCTCATCTGGCTAATGTCCAATTCCCGCTTCACCTTCCACAGGTGTGTGTCGCATATCGGATCTCTGCACCTGTGGTTTCTTAAGATATCTTGCGCCTCGTAAACGGCACCCCGAAACGTAAGACTCTTCCCCATCGAGAGGCTGACTAACGCGCAACATCCACCTCTATCGGTCTTCGCGAGGTGTTTTCTTAAGTACTTGAAGTAGATGTGCTCGAGAAGCAACAAGAGTGCCGCCAATAAAATCCCTGCGAAACGAGTTTAAATTAGATTTGGAACGAGCCGAGAGTGGGTTTAATTTTCTAATTAAATTGAACAATCTCATCGAATTTAATTTTCTATCTAAAACGTTAAGATGTTAATTTTCTTTTTCATTTTACTAAATACGTAATTTCATAGGGAATTCCTTATTAAATAGAACGACACTAATCCAAACAACATGCTATTTGCTAAAGCAACTAAAATTATGCTACTAATTACAAGTCTGCAGAATTATTAAAACAATTTATTATTATTATTAAATTATTTATATTTTACCTGCCATAAGTAATAAGAAAGCTGATAAAAATTGTTCAAGTGCCAAAGGATCCGAGCTTTTTGCTTGTTCTTTTCCTGGTTTACACGTCCCCGTCATCCAATAACGTCTGAGCCTCTCCAAGTCACCGTTTCCACGAAATTCGAGCATCTTCTTGTTGAATAGCTTTAGATATTTGAAGTTTCTTGGGAAGGCGAGTCCATACCCGGTCATTGCGTACCACGATCCGACAGTTAACAAGCGGCAATCTTCGTCTTGTGACGTTAGATAATCCAGGACGGTACCATCGTAGATGAAGGCATCCAAGTCGCCCGTCAAGACAGCATCGACACCCTCCAAAACTGTCGTCTTGTTAAAGTTTCGCATGTACTTGTGCATCTCCTTGAAATACTTGGAAATTGTTGAATCTGTATGCGACCATGGGATCGTGCCGTATTTGAACATTGGTTTATGGGAGAATGGTCGAGATAAACGAGAATCATTAACTCCTAAAAGTAATTAAGATTAATTTTATTGTGCTGTAATAAAGAATTAAATATTTTATCATTTTGATTAGTTTTAGCGAAAAATACCGAGGCAAGGGATTAAAGTATGACCGAAATACAACGTTTACGCTTAAGCCCTCGGTTTATACGACCATAAAACAAACACGATAAGGACGTTCCCTGCGCAATATTCATATTTTGAATACATCCTCACCGAGAAAGAACCTTAAATTTACCGTGGAAACAAATTATGTTGGTAACCCATATAAACGGTCAGGATCCACCTATTAATTATGACACCATGTGTCTATAAGAACAGCTTTTTATCGTTTCAACCAATTTCGACTTATAATTACTCCCACATTTCATTTAATTTTTCTTTTACGGTTTACAAATCGGTAATGAACACGTTTCCGTTCACAAGATGATTGTTTTCTGCGAAAATTAACTTTTAATAGTCAACTGTTACGAATTTAGTTTCAAATGGGAATGGGAATTTTCGCCTGAACGAACCACTACCAACTCGAACGTACCTTGTTCTATTGTACGTGTACATACATGCAAATTCGCCCGCTCATTCAAATGAAACGTAAAAGTATTGTTCTAGGTACGGGCGAGGAAAACGTGTTTGTTCGTGCGACTTGACGACACTTTTGTGTAGGTGTAAAGCGTACCAAAACTAGTTGAACGTGTTTTCGCACATATAGTTATTTCGGAAATTGTATGTTCAATTTAAAAAGAACTTTACGTGAAAAGGGCAATAAAAAATATTGATATGAACCAGAAAATAGTGATGTCGTTATTTGATCGTAAATAAAGAAGTAAATAAAGTACTTTTTTTAAGAGCTACATGCAGAGATGCACTATTACATTTAGAAGTTTATGTAATGAGGGGTTTACGACATCTATATCTTCGGGTTGTGAGCTAGTTTTAGCAATCAGTATAGTATGGTTAGAAGTTTACGTCATATATCACTTTTTGTGTTGTCATTACATAGATATGAGCTAACGCAACAGATAGTGAACTTCTAATGCACAGAAGTTTGCAATAAATTGCAAGTAAAAAAATACAGTTTCAAAAAGATTTTGTTCTATATCTGATGAATATCTGAATTGACTTTGTGTCAATAAATACCTAAATATTGAGGTATGGCTGGTAGTAGAAGACAGATGTTGAACAAAGACTCGAAAGAGATTAAACTGGAGCGAAATAGTAAATGATCTTGATATACAACAAAGAGATTAAATAGACGAGAAAGACTGGAAAAAAACTGGTAACAGAATAATGAGATTAACTAGATATTAGAAACAGAAGAAAGAGTTGTGGCTGAATACAGGGAGACCACATCGAAATAGAACAGAGGAAAGATAAGGAGGAAATTGGTAATAGAACAATAAGATTATATCGACAATAAAAGGAGTTGGCACAAAGGAGGGAGACTTGTATGAAACTAAAAGTAATAGAAAGAGATTAAATCTCTATTCAACCTAGAAAAATAACTACCAGACTGAGCTGAGACTTCTGACTATAGTACAGCACTATAAGGACAAGAAGGAGATGAGGCAACGAAGAGGAAGTATAGAAAGACGCGGATAGTGGGAGAAAAGACTGACATTTACTAGAAAAACAAGAGGGCCATTGGCCAGAGAGGAGTAATACTAGAAAGGAGAAGCTTTTGATAAGGTTACTGGTACTATTCACTAATACAACTCTTCATTTTTGTTTCTGCTGATTACGCAACTAAAATCTTCTAATAAAATTCTTTAGATAAGATTCCACAAATAATTTTTATTACGTCTATCCAGTGTATTCCTTGAAAGTGATTCAACTCTTTTAAGTTCTAGTACTCATATGCCGTTAAAATTCAGAGTTTTTAGGAATGACAAGAGGAGGAAGAAGGTGAGTGAAAAAAATGCTGGAAATAGAAGAAATTTAACAGAATTCGAAAAAACAAGAATAAGACTAGGAAAAAAGAACAAGATTAGAAAGAGATCCTAATCGCAACAAAATGGCTGGACAGTAAAGAAGGAGCTTGTATTGAGACTGGTTATAAAGAAATATATTTTATTAGACTGAATAGAAAATGATAAGAGAAGTAAGCAGCGGAATAAAAAATAAAAAAGTGTCTATAACGACAAGATAGATATTATGTAGAGAAGACGAAGGCCAAAAAGACACTTGATAGTAGTAGAAAGATACTGAACAGAGATTGGAGAGATTAAAAAAAACCAACTCTTTCATCATTCGCGAGAGATTAATGCAATTAACGGACTAGTCAAAATGCAGAGAGACTAGAAAAAGGGTAGTAATGAAAGAAAAAGATTTAATAGAAACAGGAAAGATAAAAACGAAACAGGTAGAAAGAAAGGAGGCTGAAATGAGATTGTAATCGCAAGAAAGCGACTAGACAGAGAGAAGGAGAAGTCGACTTGGCTGCAAAAAGGGTAAAAGGGACTGGAGAGCCAAGAAGGAAACTGGGCAGAGAGGAGGAGACTGGAAAGAGCCTGTAAAAGGAAGAAAGTAGGTGGATAAACAATAAAGAAATTGGTGAGAGAAGAATTGAGCAGACATTAAAATGGTAAAAAGGAGACCAGTAATAATAGATAGAGAATAGAAACACAAAAAAGATAGTGGTTGCAAAGAGAGGAGTAAAAAGGGATAGATAATACAAAAAGAGAGTTAATACTTAACTTCCCTTAACATTTCTACTCTCCTTTTGGTTTAGTTTGGCATTTGTTTTCAAACATTCCTGGGCCCTTTTTCTGTGTTAGCGCAAAAGTTCCACATTTCTCTATCTTTCTGGATTCGTCAAATGTTTGCCATTGAGTATGCAATCAATAATATTATTACAATCAAATCCCTTAAAGAACTCAGACAATCCTTGCATATTATATAAATACTCAAAAAATGCATCAAAACCTGTTGGAAATCTTTTAGAATTATTTGGAACTACCCTTTAAATTATAATGCATCATTAAATCTCAGAAATCCTAAGACATCTTTGAAAATTTTTAAATCGTAAAAATAACTATTATCCAGTAGATTAAATTAAATTATTTTGAAATACTTCTAGTATCCCTATTTAGATTAATCTCGATTGAATTCCAAATCCCTTAGTACCGCAGAAAATTATTGTAAATTAGAATAAATACTCTAAAAAAGCTTCTTAGAAATTTTTAGAAATGTTACGTAAATTATGATGCACCATAAAATCTCAGAAGTCCTCAAACATCTTTGAAATTCCTTTGAAGTTCATAGATATACTTGGAATTGGTTGAAAATCTTCGGAAATCCTTGAAATTTTATAATCCCATGGGACTGCTTGTAAATCTGTCCAATAGATTTACATCTAAAATTGTTTTGAAGTTCTTTTGGTATTCTTGAATATTCAAATTTATCTCCAGTAAACTTCAAATCCCTTGGCAACCTTGGGTAATCATTGGAAATTATAATAAATACTCTAGACATCCTTAAAAACTTGCTGGAAATCTTGTGGAAATTCTTGGAAACGTTACGTAAATTATGATTCATTACGAAACCTCAGAAATCTTTAAATATTTTTAAATCCTTTGAAGTTCACGATTATATTTGCAAATTCTTGAAAATATTCGGAACACTAAAGAAGTGCTTGAAAACTTGCTGAAAATCTTGTAGAAATTCTTGGAAATACTACATAAATTATGTCGCATCATTAAAACTCTGAAACACTCAAACATCACTAAATATACTTTGAAGTATGTTCAGAAATTATTAAATCTTAAGGAATGCTTGTAAATCTATTCTGCAGATTTGCGCATAGAATTGTTTTGTTTCATAGAATGTTTGCAGCATTGTTGAAAACTCAGATCGATCCCGAGTCAACTTTAAATTCCTTTGAAATGTCAGACAATCATTGAGAATTATTAAAGATTTTCCAAAAATGTTTGACAACTAGCTGGGAATCTCCTCGAAATTTCCTTAATACACTAAAATAAATTTATAATTTCCATCTTGGCGAGATAGGAAATTAATCAAAATCTATCTGACAATAACTATTTACATGTTTTTGCATTTCTCGCTGTGCTCCAGAAAGCTTTTAACGTAAGGATAAACGATACACTTTGCTACTTTTTATTTCCATTCTATCTCTTCGTCCATGTTCTACTACCAGATGGATTATATATTGCATATAAATCATCAATTCTAAAGCAAACGAAATACTCACAATGCCTTTCTTTCATTTGCATAATTAATTTTTCAATACCTCTTTTAATCGCAGCGTTCATTCTACCAGAAAAAATCTAGCAATAATTTAATAAATTTTCAATTACTATAATTGGAAAACGAGTATATATATAAAGCAAATTATTTAATTGGTGTAAAATTACATTCAATTTCGAATCAGTTGTCAATAAATAGTAAGCAATTAACGGTACTCTGGTTATTAAGTATTAAATATGAAAGTACCTCCATAATTGTCCATTAGAAGTTTGTATAATATATGATATAACAGTTAACTTATGTGATATTGATATTAAATTATTTACATTTATTTAATTTTATTAGTTTTATTTGCATTATAATTGGAATAAATTATTTTAAAGGGTTTGATCCTTTTATTTGTTATAAAGTAAATAGAAAAGCAATTTTCTGTATATAAAAGATAATTTTATTGTACGTATGTTGAGAATTGAGTGTATTTTAATGTAAAGTTTTAAAAAGTTTTAAAGTTGTGATGCGGTGTGCTCCGAAAGAACTCCATAACTTATTCAGCAAGGAGGCAATATTTCCATAAATTTGTAACGTGACAATTTTAAAAGTACAGTTTAATTTTATAAGAATCTAAATCCAGTTTGAATTAACATTTATTATTTTCGTTTAATCTATACCGCTTCTTAATTCTATAAATAAACGTTTAATTAAGATAAGGACACGAATTTATAACGTTGTCTACTCAATTTAAAATCTTTGTACTCTGGATGTTTTTTCAAAGGGAAATATGAAACCCGGTAGGTTTTTGTGGTGGCAATTTCATTTTCCACAGACTAAAAGGCAGACGAATAAGGAAGCCTTCCAAGATGTTATTCCGCATCCATCAACGTCTTAACCATAACAACCAAATTAATTTTCTCATTTTCTTCAATGCTTCTTTCACCAGTCTGCGTTCATGTTGCTTTTAGGGTTAACACAATAGTACTTCATGTTATTTATATGAAAATCTAACCACGCTATCGATTTAAAAATGTTATTAATATTTGTAGCACGATATGTTTTGAAACTCGCCCGAGAATTCCATTTAGCACTTACGACATTGGTATCTGATCGATTGACATGTCAGTTGCATCTTCTGTGCACTGTGTAAAAACGCGATGACATGAAACATGGACAACTTTGGGGTTGGGTAGAGAAATTGATGTCATCCAATTTCTCGTTTATTTTGAAATACTCATAATAAGAATGAACAACAAAAATATGACGTAACTTCTTTTATAATTTTAATATGATTTAGTATAATATAAATCATTTCGATAAAGTTTAAAATAATTTCAAATGGAAGAATCAATCAAATATTTTATTGCTGTAGATGTAGCTTGAGTTTTATTTTATTACTTCAATTTCAACATGATTTACGATAAATTCTTGGCATAAATGAAATGGGAAAGAGATAAAACACCTTGACAATGGATGAAGTTGTTGAAATTGCTTCGCTTACCTGAAAACTCATAAAACTCCTCTCTTGTTATCATGAAAGCGGCTAGGTTGGCAGTGTATATGGCCAAAAAGACGACCGCGAACATTGCCCATACGTTCGTCATGAAACGAGAAGTGAATCCTCTGGGAGAATCCACGTGTACAGCTGCTTGGAAAAGAACCGCCCAAACCAACCAATACGTTCTAAAAAGAGAAAATCGATGGGAAGCGGACGGTGCGGGCTGAAACAAATTAATAAATAGAGAAAAATAATTATTACTAAATTCAATTAATAATTTGAAAATATACATTAATTAAAGTTTGAATTTATTGCCGAATCGAAGGACGTGCATAGAATGAACTGAGAGATTCTCAACATTGGATAAGCTACCGGGTGTTGTTAACGTCATAGTATTTGCAGATGGTGTTGGCATTATGAAATGCTAAAGTTACGTGCCTACGCATTAACTAACGAGTTTTTATTTTAAAATTTACTTCTAAAGTTTTACAAACAAACCTACAAACTTGTTATTTCAAGCAAGAAAAATTGCTATTTGAATTGAACAACTCGGAGTTTTTTCTAATTGTCTCCATAAGAGTCAGTTGTTGAAACTAACTCTATTAAGAAAGACGGGATTTCTCTGTAGGGTAGTTTCTCGTCGGTTAGTCTTGAAAGGGCTAAAAGGAAATTTTAATGCAGTCTAAGAGAATTTTCCGGCGATTTTACGTCGTCGACCCTCGGATTTTCCGTCTGTAGTGCCGATTTAGTCGCGATGAAAGGCGACCAGTTTAATAGGATCGCATTGTTTTGTTCGACTCAAGTTCGGAGACAATGGGTTTTTGTGCATTCTAGGGATGCGTTGAAATGGTTTTGTTTCAGTGGGCGAACGGTTTGACATGATATAGAGATTACGTTCGAATCTCGTTAAAAAAAAAACACACACAATAATCTCTTGTTGATCGTGTTTGAGGCAATTTATAGTTACAGTTATGTTATCAAGTGGAAGATGAATTGGAAAATGTAGAAGTCATTAAAAGAGGTCATCATGCAAAAGAAGTCATCATTTTAATTAAAAGGTTAATTATTGAAATTAGCCAAAACAATTTTATCATATTAATTGTAGTTGCCTAAACTCAACTTTAATTATGTTATAGTTTACATATTTTTGCCCTATGATCTGTATTTTGCCTTAGACGTTGACTAATTATTTATCAAAAACTACATGAATACTTTGAGTCATAAAAAATTGGTCTCACTCATCCGTCTAGCTGCCAAAGGCTTGGCAAAGGAGAAAAAAGGGCCAGGCTGGTGGCTTAAGTTATTTGCAGCGGACTAGGATTTGAACTTTGGTTGTATCGTAATAAATAGTTGTTACACAAAAGTTCAACACACCCCTGGGATTATGGCCAAAATAAATGGAAAATACTTAACTAGACAAAAAGACTAAAAGAAAATTTGTTGGTCGATATTACACTACCTTATTTTTCACTTTTTTACAGAAACTTCACCTTACAATAACAAGATCTCAACGTGGAGCAAGAAAAACCTCGTCGTGTTGATACTGCCCTGAACGGTGCAATTCTACCTTAATTATATGAGAAACATTTTGAAACATGAATACCGCAGTCAGCGGTCAATCTACCAAGAAATTGGTCATAAATATATTGACAGCCTTTAATTGCATAGGAACCGTATGAAAGCTATCATCGACGACGTGGCTTTTGGTGGTGTTCTCGAACTCAAATCGATACGTGATAAGAATCATGGATCCGGTTATCATGGATCAGTACAGATCCTAACCCAATATGGCATTTCAAAAGGACCTACAAAAAGGTTTGTTAATCCGGAGTAAAACTCTGTTTCTAGGGTGTCCAATTAAGAGGACTTCCTTATGGTTCCTCAACGTCAGAACTCCCATACTTCCTATATGTGGTGGCCATGTTTAACAGTTAAATATGATGTACTTTCTTGCCAACAGTATTTAGTCTTTTATTAGCAGTGTCTATAGTTTTTCCAACCAGTATCTAACAAGTTTTTAGCAAAATTTAGTCTTTTTCAAGCAGCATCTACTCTTTTGTAATGAAAATGGGGTGTATTTCAATATTTAATTAGTACGAGGTCTTGCTCATCTGTCAAACAGCGTGTACTCGTTTTCAAAAGGTATCTAATCTTGTTCACGCAGTGTATGGTCTTCGTCAAGTATCAAACAGTGTATAGTCTTGCTTATGCAGTGTTAAATCTTAATCAAGTCTCTTTCAAGTAGATACTTAGTCATCTCCAAGTAATATCTACACTCTTGCGAGCAGTATTGACTCTGCTGCAACAACGTGGCCAATGAAGTATTTAAGCAACATGTGATTTCAAAATTTTAGTCCCACCAGAGTTGATATTCAAGAGGAAATGAAGCTTCCGTCGAACAGCGCATACTGCAGAATTATGGATAGATCTTGGTGGTTTGTTACAAGAAAGCTTATTACACTAAAATTGAAGAAACACTGCATGCTATTTTAAAATGCTATTTATTGTTAGGTTTGGCTGAAAACACACGTAACTATGTTAGGAATCTTTGGTTCCGCTGAGAAGAGATTTGTGGAAGAAATAATTCTACTTCCGCGAGCCTTCTCGTCCATAATTGTTCGGCCATGATCCATCTTCACAGAATATGTTGCTCATAGAAAATGTTGTTTATAGAAAAACAGGATAGTGTTCTCCGCCAACAGTTTGCAATTTGTTTCTAATACAAGAGATTAAGTTATAATAAGACTTTCATTTCGAGTCAGAAGTCATAACACATGGAGTTGGCATTTTCACAAGGACCTATTTAACATCTGTACCTACCATCCTAACTATGTAAATGGCTACTTTCTCCAACTGCCCTTATTTGACGATACACGAGGGAAATCCCTCCGATTGCGAGCATCTACGCTAGAGATGCCCCATTTAAACATCAATGGAAGGATTTCACACTGTATTAAGAAGGACTTCACCTGAATGTTAAACTGAATTTTTCAAAAATATGAAAATTAGAAGAGTGTTAAAAAAAATTGGTATCCGGAACATGATACAGAAAAACTTTTACAACAAAAGTTGTAACAAATTGTACCCTTAACACAATGCTCTGTAACATTTTTGCTCCCAGATGCATTAAGGTAGAGAATTTTTCAAAAATATGAAAATTAGAAGAGTTAAAAAAAATCGGTATACGGAGCATGATATAGAAAAACTTTTACAACAAAAGTTGTAGCAAATTGTACCCTTAACATAATGGTCTGTAACATTTTTGCTCCGAGATGCATCAATGTAGAGAATTTCTAAAAAATATTAAAATTAGAAGAGTGTTAAAAATAATCGGTATCCGGAACATGATACAGAAAAACTTTTACTACAAAAGTTGTAGCAAATTGTACCCTTAACACAATGGCCTGTACCATTTTTGCTCCCAGATGCATTAATGTAGAAAATTTTTCATGTTTCATAGAGAACATTAAAGAAAACTGCCTTCTTGGCATCATAAAAAAACTTCAAAACTCGTTCAGAAAACGCTTTTTGAAATTGAAGAAGTTCAATATCGAAACATTTTTAGATACATTATCGATGTCCTAATAAAAAGTACAAAGCCTGAAAGCATTAAGCCTGAACTTACATTTTTCTTAGAGTAACATGGTTTTAACAGTTGATTTGCGACTTTACAACTTGCGTTGGACCGTAGTATACGCCCGATAAATGTTTAAACGTTATTTTGAAACACTCCGTATAACATAGTTGGTGTCGGAGGTGCATCTTTTCTGCGAGATTTAGAAGCACAAAATGCATAAAATGTTTTAGGAAGTGACTGAGTGTGACTATTTTTGCGATAGTAATGTATACGATAGTGGCAGAACTGTTGATAGAATCCTGTCAATATAATTCTAAGGAATGCAGTGAACCAAGTTGGCTGGCAGGGTTAGATCCAGTATATTACATCTCGTGATTGTCAATCATTGAATCTCACCCGAATGATATCCGGAACAAGATGACGTTGAGTAGGCTGTATAAAAAACTTGTGCCTATAATTGACTATATGATGTGCTACTTAATTTTTAGATACATTAGAAGAGCTTATCTTGTGAAAGGTCCTTTTCCAAGCTCGACGACAAATGACGACAAATCCACGGTTCGAATAATTTGATGTTAACAGTTGCCTACTTAAAAGATATATAGATATAACTCATAGTTGTGGTAGCAAAAAAGTACGTTTGAATTTTCTAAAAACAAGACCCTTAGAGAACTGCTTATTTTCGAGTTTGGAGGTACAATTAATACTTACACTGATGTTGTTCTACACTGATGGATCTAAAGGAAAATATGAAGTAATTAGCAAAATCGATAGAAACAAAATAACACCTCCTTAACGCATACCAAACGTGATATTCTTAAGACTAATCCACCTTTAACAAACCTGAGTAGATTAAACTTGCAAGTCTACACATCGACTATATCCAATTAACCTCGGATTACATATTGAAGAGAGATCTCACAAACTGATGAGAGACGACTTACTGGGATAACTAACTTACGTGTTTTCATTTGGCTGCTTAATTTGAATAATAATAATTTTGAGATGATCAATATTTCAAATGGAAACTTCGCTTTTTTGTTACAGATTCGGAGTCTCCAGAAAATGTTTAGATTTATTATTTAAATGAGATAAAGCTGAACCTTTTTCTTTTACATAGGATTAGGAACGGTAAAAAAAAGGAGAAATTTTTTGAAAAAGAGAAAATTTATTATTAATACCAACTAGCTTATCTATTTAAATAGGGTATTTTATTATTTCTAAAATTAACTATGAAAATTTGTTTGATAAAATTGTTAATTCAACCCTCGTAAACCAAAAGTACTAGAATATTCAATGAAAATGAATTATATATTTATATCCGGGGTTTGTGACCTACGACCCTTTTTACTTGTTTTATGAGTATGCGTTAATAAATAAATTCGACACCTTCTACGGAAGGTTTTTTTTACGATTTTCTTTCAAAATCTTTTTTTTTGGGCGTTTTTTTTTAATGAAATTATCTTTTAAAGCCGTAATGGAAATCTTGTTATTTTTCTTTTTAAATCTTAGACTTATTTTCGAATATAATCATAAAAAAGAGATTCTAAAATATTGCTAAGTTTGCGCCGATTTCATACATCTTAGTATCGAATGGCGAGCAGATGCTGTTCATCTTTTCAGATGCCGCATTTTGCCGTTCTACTTTAGAAAATTTAATATCACACTGGGTGTCGTCCTCTCAAGACACCCAAGGAGTTGAAGTATCCCGTGGCGCCCTATATAGCCAAGTAGATAGCAAAACCACGATCGGCGGGAGTTCGTCGCCGTTGAACGACCTCTGAACTCCCAGAGGCGCGCTAAACTCGAATTTATCATGCAACTTCGGTTTCATCTCGAAGATCTTCGACGGTTTCAAAACGAGGCTAGTTCTATTACTTTGAGACATCTAAAGAATTTTCGGTGAGAAGAGTTCCTACCTTTACGCGAATCAATGTCGAGTCCTTTTGGGGTTAACAGACAAATAATGCTCGTTTGTCTCGAAATTGGTGCGTACTACTAAGAAAGTTGATTTGATTTGATTGGATTGGATTGGAAACCCTTCGATTGGAATGATTCGATTTTAAGTTTTCGAGTTTAAAGTTGTTGCTTTTCAATTACGATCTTCAATATCTAAAGAAGTGTTAAAAATTGATTCACGACCATAAAATTCTTGTTGTGTGGATTGACCTGATTTTATAGATTCTTTCCTAATATAAAATTACGATGATGATGTGTTTAACTTTATTACTGAATATTCGCGATTTGTTACGAAATGTAATAACGTGAAAATGACAAACTAGAAATCGATGTGGTGTGGTTTTGAATAACCCGATTTTAACAATGCGCAATGTTTCATGCGTATTGAACATCAACATCATCGGAAAAGTGATTGCACCCGGTTTCAGTAATTATTACTGTTCCGAGTTATAACTAACGTAGATTGTTACTCTGTATACAATAGCACGAGTAATACCCAATGGGATGTACGAATAATGATTATTATTTTTGGTATTGTGAATGTTAATGTAGTGTTTGCTGTTATGTTAGTATAAATAATGGAATCTGTATGTTATACTTCAGTGGAATAATTTCCCTTAACGTTTTAGGGAAAGGGGAAAGGAAATTATGTAAATATCCTTGAAAATTTCAACATAATTTTAGTTTGTACAGTTGGTAAAACTTTTCGAGCATCTGTTATATTACTGAATGAATTTTTTAATATGAGTTAAATTTAAATGTTATATTGGCCATCTAATTAAACGTAATTGTTTAAATGATCTATGTCCTAAATAACCGTGATAGTATCTATGCTTGTTTCCGGTTATATACACACATATAAATCTTCTTGGAACATAAATTACCTTGAATACCAGCCTCCATTATACCTTACAATTACCACATAAATATTAATGACCATAATAAAAAAATCATTTACTCACCTGATTCAGCGAAAGTTTCATATCGAATCCACTCGGAGATAACCATTCGAATAAAAATATCGTAAAAGTAGCTGCTTGGATTGCAATGGCTCCGACGAGCATCCACGAGGCAGTATCAAAAGGTTCGAGGAAAGCCGTTGGCGATATGATTCCGGTTCTTTTTGCAACCACTATGGCTATACCAGTTTCCATAAAAGGTACGCTGAAATCGACCTGTAACAAGAACGGCAACGATTGAAGAATCTAACTAAAATGTAAACTTTAAGGAAAGAATTCGACATATAAAAAAGAAACCGAGATACCGCTCCTAAAGTTATTTAAATCTTGGTTTTTCTTTCGGGAAAGATTTGTTCATTTATTTTAAAGAGGATTTATGGATTTAACTTGTACAAAGAAAGATCTATTCTTTTGGGTTAATAAGGAATAATTTTTGTATAAAACATTTTCTTTCATGCTTTTTAGTTTTTATATTGTAGTATAAAATTTTAAAAACGAGGAACAAAAATAGAGGAGAAAATGGAAGAGTGAAAAAATGAAAATATAGAGAAGACATATGAAGCAGATATAGAACTATTGACGAAATTGTCAAATCATTGCGTTATTTTCCGATTATCTCCGTGTCATTGCTCACGTTAATTCAGCAATTAAAATTGGAAATGTAATGGATCTATTCCATTAACTATTTCTTATTAATCTGCGTTATTAAGGAAAATTGGAAGATATTTATAAAGCATATAAAGAAAAAAAACTATAGACGATGGAAAACATCATTTGGATATTATATAATACTAAACTATCGATTCTCATTTATTAGAAATTGATTTTAAAAAACATTTTTGTTAACAACTGCTAAGAGAATATTATGTTTAGAGGTATCACTTGAATCTTCTTCTGCAAAATTAAAAGTTTTTGGAAGATTCATAGCAACAACAGAATTGGAATATTCTACAAGGTATATCGAGAACCAATTATTGATTAAGTTATTCAACGCGACGCATTCTTTGATTATCACAGAACCATACATCTGGCTTGGTAACTAATCCTAGATAACATATTAGCGAAGTTGTACTTGGAAGGATTATGAAGGCTAGATTAAAAGCTAATTGTAAGGATGTTGGAAGGATCGAAATCTCTCTACTTCAGTTTTCAACTTCAGATTATATATGTTAAAGGTCAAATCCAATTTCAGGCTAAAGTAGGCTAGTTCTACTGCTTTCCTAAACCTGTTGGTCATATACAGTATGTCCCCGGATCGAGTTACAAAGAGGAAAAAAAATGTTATTACTGATTTTTCAAACTTATCTCAGCATAAATAATGCGTCGGATATGTTCAAACCACTAAATCGCACGATCTTTATATTCCAACTATCGAAGTTAACTTTATTCCCATTTTCATGTAAAAATTAGATTTTTCCTAAATTAAAAATTTTTCAAGTTCAATTTACGATATGTAACCATAGAAACCGTAAAAGTTACAACTTATGTTAGTGCAAAAAAAAACGGACAAATCAAATTAAAATATGGCTAATTGAATAATAGTTATTTAAATGTAAATTTATGTAATAAGACACTATGTAAGTAATAAATATTATTTATTTGTAAGTGAACAAATTTTCATGCAAACAAATCACCTCCTAATTCGGCACACATTTGAAGACGAGTTCTAAATTCTTTATAAGAATTACGAATTTCCGCCAGTGGTAGAGATTCTATCGCATTAATTATTCTTTGTTTTTATAGTTCTGCATCATCTTGTAATGGTTCACTGTAAACAATTTGTTTCAATCGTCTCCAAAAATAAAAATCCATAATTGTAAGATCAGGACTCAAATAGGACCATTTCGTCAAATCCATTTTTGACGAAATTATAAATTTAACCATTTGCACAATGTGTGAATGGTAAGCTGGGCAACTGTCTTGCTTAAAGTACACTGACCGTATAATATTTAAGGGTAATTAGATTTACATCACTCCAATAACGACAATGCTGGAAAGAAACAATGTCATTTGTTGAAAAGCTATTAGAGAAGCAGCGTCTTCCTCATTTAGTCTCTTTGTCTGCTTCTTTATGGATAATACAGAACCCGTTTCCAAAAATTGTTTCATAAGTTTGCAAGCCCCAACATGAGATTTTCTTGTGTCCGGATATTTTAGCTGGAATTTTTGTATAACTACACGAAAACATGATTCACCAGTACCATGGCACTGTACTAAATAAAGTCTCTCTTTCATGGTTAACATCGCATGAAAAGACTTAATCTTACTAACATAAGCTGTAACTTTTATGGTTTCTATGGTTACATATCATAAATTGAACTATGAAAAACTGTCTAATTTTTACATAAAAATGGGACTAATTAGTTAACTTTTATAGTTAGAGTATAAAATTCATGCGATTTAGTAGTTTGAACATATCCGACGTATTATTTATGTTGAGATAAGTTTGAAAAATCGGTAACAAAAATTTTTTTCTTCTTTGTAACTCGATCCGGGAACATACTGTATGTGTTGGGATCAACTAGTTCAGTCTATGAAAATCTAGTGTAGCGTTAAAATGAAGATGGACTTTATTAGGCTATATTAGTATAGTAAACTAGTAACAAAATTTGAATTTCTTTAACGCTTCCTTAGCACTCAAATTTTTTAAAGATTAATGCAGCATCACATTTCTAGCGGATTAACGTCAATCAGAACGATGTATCTCTCAGTTCTTTTCTTGCCTGCAATTGATTTGCATTCAGGGAAACGAATGATCAATCCCGTTATTGTTAGGCACTGCAACATCTAGATATTTCTTACTAAATTATTTGTACATGTGGATATCAACGTTTTGAAATATATTAACTTAAAACTCGCTGCTCTTTGGAGAACGATATGTTTACAAAGTATTGAACCCCGCAATACAGCTGTCAAGTATCAGTTTTTCCTCACAATTGTGTCTAGATTTGTTGTTGGTAATATTGTGCGCGGTTTGTCGGTCCAACTGTATAATCGCAATAATCAATATTTCCTATTGAGTAGAAATATGTCTGTTGTCTTGTACCTTCTTAGTCGTGGTTTCCAACATCTGTTTTATCGCAGTCTTCTTCGATGATATAATCAGTGCGGGTTTATTAATCCTGACAAAAAATCTAAATGACATATTTAGAGCTTTTTGAATATTAGATAAGAAATATCTCGATGATGTTCGAATAGTAGTTGAGACGTCTTTCTTGTTTTATTGTTTTTAATTGTTTAAACAAAAACAATTTTGTTGTAATCGTTTATTTCAATCTCTACCAGATTTATTTTAGTACAATGTCGACGATGCAGTTAAAAAGATCTAGATTTACAAAAAGCTTTACCATGTTATTAAACGATATGTAGCGCCCTGAAATAACTAAAGACGTCTTTTCTTTAGAAGGTTTTATTTTTGATGACATCTCATGATAGGATACTTCGTGATTTATTCTTGGTCTAAGAGCACATAACTATGCCTACTGACACTATTTCCTAAATGGTACTATAAAAGTTTATAAAGTAAAACAGAATTGGTACTCTCTTTATTAAAGACCCGCTTTTTCGGGTCTTTATAGGTACTTTAGCGATCCTTCGACTTCATATTGTTCCATGTTATTGTGGCTTTGTGACAAATTCGATCTTCCTCGATATAGTAGTTAGTATTACATCATATTACGTCTATTATATTTGTCCATCTTTCTTTTAAAATATTGTTACAGCTACATTGTCACCAACCAGATATCTTCGTAGATTTTTAAGGTGTAAATATTCTGAAAAGACTTCCAATTTGTCCTTTGTGAGCTATTGAAGGTTTTTCTGATGCACTTTTTGCTGATTGGCGCTCAAATGATCAAAAGAGAATGCTTAGAATGTTGCTATTGCATATTTCATTTTTATTTCTGAATTATGGTGGTGAAATAAATTTATTTACTGAAAATGATTTTTGAGTTAATTAACAAGATCATCTAAACTAACATTTAGAACTAAATAAAGACAAACAGTTCAAAATAGCTTTTTTGTTTATGGCTTAAAAGTTTTCTTATTAAATTACTATATAAAAGATAATAAATTCTAATATGGGGCGGTTCTAATAGGTTCATTTACTTTATATGACTTTTATGTGAGAAGTTATCTTTATAGCCGGTAGTAAAATTGTCTAAAAAGACTATAAACTCGCTTCTATTAATGCTTCTTTGATCTTTCCATATTATGTATTTGCTTTGTATTTTGCATATAAAAAGTTATTAAAATCCTTTTCCTTATAATTTATTGTACCAATAAAATATAGTATCAAATAAATATTGATTAAAGTAAATAAGCTTTTGTTCACAATAATAATTAAATAAACATTTAATTATTTTAATTAAATAAAAGTATTGTTGATTTAAATTTTAGGATGGAAAAAAATATTATTCAGAGGTGAAAAAAATATAAATAGTCATGGGCAAATCTGCATGGAGTTGCATTAATCAATTTAAATTGGCGAAAAGTTTTAGATTTCTGGACGGACGATAAAGAGAAATTTATTGGCCGTAAATCACCGTTGCCGGTAATTCATTTCAAACTCAATTCCTCGTTAAAACAATGCGAAGCAGTAACTAGCTTAATAAATTAATGGATTCAAAATGATTTTGAAGTCTCCGCCATAAATTCTAAATTTAGATTTTGTGAACAAATCTTAAAAGAGATTAAGATAACTAAAGAAAATAAAATATTTTTTTTAATAAAAGTTCTAATAAACCGGCACCTCCACCAAAAATATTATCCTTCAATTTCCGTATAACTTGTAAATTGGAATGGAAATGCCACCGGTAATTACTTCCCCTCGATTCCAACTGAAGTCTATAGTGAGAAAAATAAACGTATGCTGTAAAGGGAAATGGAATTAAAGGCGATGGATGTGATATAGAGGGAGCATCACGTAGTAATCACAATTCCAATAAAGAACTGGGTTGATTGCTTCAGTCCGTAGAATAGGGGGTATTGAGGCTGGTACCGTATGAAGTCATCATTCGTCGTCGGGGTGCAATGTGAAAGACAGAAAGATAAAGCGACGCTCCCCTAAAACGTATAAGGGATCCCGAAAAACAAAAAGTACACGACGTAGGATTCCGGAACATATTGGCTTACCGCTGCTTCTCTCTCCGAGTTGATCATCAGCGACGTCATAACCATGTCGGTTTTTTTGTTGACGAGATCTGCTATTAGACCATTCCATCTTCCGTTCTCGTTTGTGCCCCAACGGCCGTCTTCAACCCTCACCAATTCGTACGTAAAGCCAAGCTCTTCGGAAAACTTTTCAAGGAGATCAATACAAAAACCTGAACAGCATTGCTTTACGGTTCCATTTCGATGGGATTGAGTTGCTTCAACACTGGAACAAATAATTAAAAGTAAACATTTTTATCCAATGCAAATCGCTGGTTCATATGACCAGACCGAATTTCAACGCAGTTATTGACGAATTAAACTATTCTATAATTCCCGATCAGAGTACTGTTGCAAAAGCTACTTTAATTAAAATCCTCTTGCCGGAAGAGTGGATAGTGTCACACGATCCGCGATACGGTAAACTCAATTTGATATTGTCGAAACGATCGGTAACGAATTGATGTTGGTTAGTTTTCAGTGAGTAAAGTGTTAAATTGATCGTTCGATTAAATTGGAATAAAATGTTACGCGTATGATGGGAAAACTTTGATGTTTTAAATAAATCAAATTTTACGGACAGTAAATAAATAAATATTAAACGATAAATATCTATGCTGTTATTTATAAAAGTGATGTATACGAATATAAGAAAAATACACAATACATTGTATGAATTGGAGAGCGATATTTTATATTGAACTGAACAGACATTGTCAGATCGAATTCATACGTGTAGATTTATTGAGAAGGAGGGAAAGTGGCTGTTGATTTATGCAAGATTGGAATTGTGTGGATAAATAATCACAACAATATAAAATCAAAATGTGATAATAAAATAGAGATTACAAAATTTGTGTTAACAAAAAGTAAAAATCGATGTGTTTTGAATCGGCAGGGTGTTGTTGTTCATTGTCAATAATTAATTTAAGTACATTTATACTGTTGATAATTTGATTTAATTTAGTTTATGAATCCATTTTCAATAATTAGTTACAAACTGTTAGTGAATGAGTCAACAAATCCTATATTGTGTATTCTCGCTGTAGTACTTGGAGTTTTTTCATGATTTCACTGATTACAAACTACTATAACTCAGTATTTTCGAAATATAATTATTTCTAATTTGCCACTTTGATAAGATTATCTACTTATTATTTATTTTTTATGCATGTTGCTTATATATGCAGACGATAAATTGCAGTTTTTTAATCATTTAATTTTCTTTAAAAAGACATGCTGCCATCAAAACTGCGTGATGTGAACTCCTATGATCAAGATTGTGCTAAACATCACTATTGTGAAACGAGGTCTTAAGCAACATAAAAACGTTATTACTTATTTAGAGTAGTTGGTGGTTCACCTTTTATTATGCCTATCATTAATCAATGTCTAAAATCGTATTTTTCTTTATGTTAGAGAGCTGTTCTGTGAACTTTTTCTTACTGTTTACGATGTTTGTGAATGAATTGTCAAATTTGTTCAAAAGTTTAACATTAATGTATGCCGACGATCTGAAGTTTTTCAGAACAATTGAATCGGACAATGATTGTACCAGCTTGCAGGAGGACTTGACCAAGTTGTGTTCATGGTGCCAATCAAATGGGTTGTTATTGAACGTTGCAAAATGTCAAATCATGACTTATACAAATAAAAGAGAAGTTATTCATTATAATTATCGGCTGGAAGATACAAGTCTTGAACGTGTGTCTGAAGTTAAGGATCTGGAGGTTTGGTTTGACAGTAAACTACTGTTCAGCGGCCACATAAGTAAGCTGTCTTCTGATGCCCTGAAAGTCCTTTGGTTTATCACTCGAAACAGCTGTGAGTTTGCCAGGTTGAGTAAATTGAAGTATTGTGCAATTGTCTGGTCGCCAACAACTCAGAATAACCTTTCCGCAGTAGAAAGGGTACAGAGGAAATATGTTAAATATATACATATACATTTCCTAGAATTCGGGCATTATCCTCCTAGAGGAAGTGATTACTATCATGCGTTACTTCAGCGATATGATCTCAGTACACTCGAATCAAGGCGACAGCAACTGTGCACCTCGTTTGTAAACAACTTACTGTTTGGCCGTGTGACAGCACCTGAAGTCCTATGTCGATTAAATTTCCGAGTACCAAGAATGGAGTCCAGGAACACTAAGACTTTCTTACCGCACAGGGGTAACACTATTTGGGGTTTCCTTTGGCTTTTCATTGGATTCTTGGGGGTTGCGGTTTGCCGATTTTGTAGGTAATAGATTGTGTTAATTTTTTTTATATGACACTTATTAAATTAGTTCATGTATTGTCACTTTCTTCAAATAACTTTTGTAATTATTATAATATTACCTTTGTTATGGGACTTATGTTTGTTGAGATAATAAAGATTATTATTATTATTAACTGTACATTCTTCTCAAAGACGATGAACGTGGAACGAGATTTCTGACCTATCAACGTACTTATAGCACGTATAAGTTATCATGCATCTGTAGATATGATCATTTTTTAGGGATTATGATATATTTGTGGCTACTTAGGTTGGTTGTAATAAAGATTATAGTTATCCAAGGGCACTAACTCATATTGCAGATGGTGTGTTGCATAAAAGAAGTACCACCAAATAACGGGTATGGTTTCTTTTGATTACTCAAAAGTTAATTATTTGACTGGATATGAAAGATGACTGGTTGCAATATTTATGCAAGAAAAGAGGTCATTAGAACTAGGACCAAATTATTTAGTCTTCATCACATGTTTGATTAAGTATCTATGATCGAGATAAGGTTGAAATGACGCTCTTTATGAGAGAATCTTACAGAAAGGTGCGAAATTCATTGATTGCTGATTATTTTGAATTGAGACTTGAGATTATGGTGAGAATTAGTATAATACTGTTCAAAATGAGAATCTTATAAAATGTCAGGTTTCAAGTTAAGTATTCAACCAACTCATATTTCGGACTATCTGTTTAGATTTTGCAAAACTTCTTCTATTGCGAAGAAGTCCGTTTCAGATTGCCACAACTGTATTAGCTACTTGGGCGACAACCCAAGATAAGCAACGACTCGAGAAGTAACAAAATAAGGTGCTGCGGAAGCATCATCGACACTCCAACGCACAGATTCAACAGCTATTCTTAACCTTTTCCGTCGCCTTAGGAGGAGAAAGCTCTTTGAATTGGTGTGGTGAGTTCGAAATAGCAAAGCGCACTGTATGAAGTAACTTAGTTTGGAAGAAGAATTTATGTTATCGAATTGAGACATTCAATTGAGGAAAAAATATATGTAAAAAATCCAATATGATGCTAATGTAGCAACCAAGCATTTTGAAGCTCTCCAAGAGTTGCTAGAAAATTTCTCTTGTTTAATTCTCTGCTCGTGTGTTTCCAAGAAAGTCTTATTATATTGTTCCATGCAATTTTCATCTTTAACAAGCTGCAATGACGCCTATCGGGACTGAATCAATAAAGTTTCTATTTAGTTGCGTTACAGGCTGAAATTTCCAACTCTTCAATCATCGCCTCGAAAGTATGACAAAAACCTACTTTCTCTTTAATGATAATAGTATACATTAGCTCCCTTTTCAAACAAGTTTTTCACGTGTAGTCTTGACGATAAGAGCTCTGAATTTTTTTTTGGATTATGCAGCTAATACCCCTATGAACGGAATCATCAGACTCACGTTCTCAAAGAAGACACTGGGATTTCAGCTCAAAGATGGACTGTGCGTATATCTTGGTTACTCTGTTTTATATTTGTTTTTTGTTGTTATATCCTGACATTTAAAAGTAACACTCAAATACCACACAAATAATGCAAACAAGCTAATGAGAGTGGGTGAAAACGGGTTGCCAATCAATTGTTCTACGAATAAACCTATCAAATAGTTAGGTTGGGATGATATTCTCTATATATTCTTAGATAGAAACAAGGTTGGAATGATTTACTTTGGAAGGAGAAAATGAAAATACGATGAAACGTCAGGTTGAGTTGAGGATTATATCAAATTATTAGATTGGTACACTTACCGCAAAAGTTTTTTGAATCATATGACACCAAATTCTGCACGAATAGTTATGAATGTTGGTTGTGTTTTTCTCACACTACTTATTGCCCGAGTACTAAATATCGAGTATTGGTGTGGGGTATCCTAACTGTAATTAGATCTATGATCACATCCAATCAGTCAGTAAATTCGTCAAAGTCGAACATGCTTCGGCGAGTAAATTTTTGTGAATTTAATGCCATCCGACTTGACATGGATTATACCCGTATAGGATACCTAATTTGAGGCGAAGCTTCCCAAGACAGGTCATTCTATGCTATTAGAAATTATCTGTTTGTTCAGGGATGAATGAAAAAGTCGATATTTCCAGTAATCGTTAGTTACACAAATTTATTAGTTAGACATGTACGATGCAGTATTGACAGGGATGATGAACAAGTCAATGACATCATTTTTGGAAAAACAATTGGTACTCGGAACGAGCTTACCCAGTACTGTTACAGCATGAGAACATGTTTTTATAACACACGGAAGGAACAAGATCATCCGATTCAGCTACCCATACGTGAACGAAATAAGCAAAACAAATAAATTTCGTTAATAAATTTATTATAAATCGCAATTAAAACATCACAATATACATCTTAGCACTTAAAGTAATCTCTTATTATCACCTATTACTGCACCATGAACTTGACCAAACCGAACAAGTTCCTACAAGTTTATCTAATTGTAAATATTCTCCGTTTGCAGCATTATTTATGAAAGTTAGTTTTGAAGTGTGTTTTCTCGAACTTTATGTTTATCTTATCCAAATTGACGATCAATTTGAAATGTCTTTGAAGAGCTATTATCCGGTTTAGTATATGCTTTAAATATTGGATCTAAATTTGAATCGGTGCAAGAAGGTTCGCGCATTTTTATTTTACTATTCCCTATTCCCGTCAAATAAAGCTAGTTCCAGATTTAATAAGAAATAAAAAAAGGTGTTGGTATATCACAAAGCCGCTTATGGTTTAATCCTTTAAAATAGTTTCTGTTTTTATATTGCCACATTCCCTCCCTGGTTTTAAAATTTTATTAGTTTCCGGAACCGAGGGGTATCCAATCTCACCCGAAGTCTTGGCAAACAAAACCCCCCGGAATTCTCGTTCCCGCACTAATCCACCCCGGGGCGTAATAAATTGGATTGTAAGTGGAACTTTCGTTTCTCGATTACGTCAGGAT